CTGTGTAAATTACACCCAGTAATTTATCTATGATATGTATGCATTGCTAAGTGAAGTTAATTAAGTAATCAAATTAGATAAGTAACAAACAATGTAAAGTAGGTAAATAGTAGGAAATAAAAGGCTTTTTTATTTTTATTTTTATTTTTATTTTTATTTATTTATTTATTTATGTATGCATTAAGAAATATATAAATATGTTTATCAGCAGTCTGATTACCATAGTACAGGTACTGCCTAGTTTGGAATCAGACTAGGCAGTACCAGAGAAAATGAATACGATTTAAAAGTAGCAATAATAATTTCCATGTCTAATCAATATCGCGGTGAGACGAAACAGAAAAGGAATGTCATTCCTCGAGTCATGATGGTACGAAATCTTTTTTATTCTCTGCTGAATATACGACATTGAAAATATTTTTCTTAATGGGAGAAACAAAAGACGGAGACTCAGATTACTACGGCGTGAAATCTCTGTTCAACACGGTTTGGTTTAAAGTTGGTTACACAAGCGCTATCTGCTGCAACAACAATAAAACTAAAAATAGTTTGATGGTGGAAAAAAAATCAAATAAGACCCGGTACCTACCTTTACCGGCAACATCACTGGTATCCCTTACATATCCACCCCTCTTAGTTATAGATGGATTTTGTAAGCTAAAAATAAGAGAGATATTTAGCCTTGGCTAGATTACCAAAGGACCTGGTGCAAAAAAAAAAGAAACCTGGGCGATACTCTTATTTTCTCAATTTTGAATGGAATCCAAACGATACTTTTTATAAAATGAAATTAAAACTGTAATTTCTCATAAACCTCAATGTTAAATGCAAAAAATTCAAAGTTCAATGTCTTTTTACTGTTTCTCTGTAGTTTATCAAACATTTAACGAGATCATCACCTTATCATTATTTACTAAAATGCCAAATCTGTAAAAAATTGAACGGTAACACTCTGACCGGCAGTACTACTTTAAAATCGTCTTACAACTTATTTTATTTACATTCCAAAGGTGGGAGAATTTTAAGCTAATTCAATACGAGGTTTGCACAGCACCGTCTAGCTCTTCGCTAGGCACTGCCGATAGCAAAAATATTAAACTGTAAACTTGTTGTCACAATGGTTAGCCAATTATAGGTATTTGTACATTCGCGAGTAACAATATTAGAGGAGAGGTTAACATTTAAATTAAATGGCAAAACCTCCTTTTTAAGGAGAGACCTATGTCCAGCCATCCATTGATTAAATATCTATTAGTTTTAATCGTCCGGTGGGCGATGAAAGTGGAATGTACGTACACAAGTTTAGTTTAATTTTTAATTATTTTATTCAGCAGGCGACAGTGCTACAGTGTCAGGTTTGTATTGTGTGTGTGATATTTTGACCTATTACGAGTATAACAATGTGTCTTGGAAGAGACGTAAATATATATTTTTAACGGTCCTTGAAGGACCTAGTTGCAATGCAATACGAGTAGTTGTGGATGTTAAAAATAGTGCTATTATATTCGGACAGGCGTTCTAAGATGTCCTATACTGAAAGAAAATAGCACTAATGTTATAAAAATTAAGACTACTATGTTGTGTAGTAGGTTATGAACAAACTATGCTAAAATCAACTACCTAAAAGGCTAACCATTATCGATAAAAAAAAACAATATTTACTTAGGTGAAAACGAAATGAGATTAGCCACGTCTCTATAAATCCAATATTTTCGCCAACCCATAGTAGCCATTTTAATTTTTTTTAATAAGCTATGTAAAATAATTTAAAAAAATATATAAAATCCTATTACAACCAATACAAGTCTAATTCTTGTAATACGTAGCTATATTTATATTTTCAAATGTTTTTCCCAGTTTCTCCTTTCTTTTTGTGCGAAACGGTATTTCCTAGTATTCAATTTTTTTATTTATTTAGGAATCCTAACTAAAGTGAAATGTGTGGTAAGCTCACACATTTGCACACCACTCTACGTTGGACTGGTAGAGAATGCCTATAGCATTAACTCCGCCATTATACATTTCGTGTATAAAGCTTAAATAAATGTGTTAATACTGTTTGTTAGTTTTTACTTTTGCGAGAGTGGCTTCTACTCTTTAATTAAATCAAAAGCCAACAATGAAATATTTGAGAATCCAAAGCAGTATGTCCCAACCTTGACTTTTAACATTGGGGAGGGAATATTAATTATCTTAGCTAAATTACTCCTTCCGCCTGAGATAGGAGAGATCCGGGAACAGCTGTTATTTAAGTCTTCTTTTAGAAATCTCTGATTTAGGCGAGAACCGGCACATCTTCTCGAGGCAGCTAATTCAAACCTTTTTTTTTGTTGACGGGGTGGAAAATCCCTTCGGATCGCCGGCTCTTCGGGTACGGAGGAGCCAGGAGTATGTGGTGTTTCCACTAAAACCACCCACCCACACTAAAAACCACCCCGACAGTCGGTCAGGCGCCCTGCCCTGGGGAGTACCTGGACCATGTTATTTCAGATCGCTCCTGGATCGACCCCGCGCCTACCCAGGCCCTATGCCGGTCCAATCCGATTCAAGTACTCACCGAAGCAATCATGCCCAGTGAGTACCTGCATCAGTCGGTAGGTGACGCGACCTCTCTCCCTACCTCCCCAAGCTTCGAGGCTAGGCAGAACGGCACCGACAGCGCGTTGGGGCGCACTCAGCTAATTCACCCCTAGATGACAATATTACCAACCATTTTTTTTTTATACCCTTTTCCCCAATCATAGCACATCGGGACCTTGTTACACTGTACCTGATGCCTATCTATTCCTATGTATCCACACTATCCTTTAGATGGGACTACACACTATCCCTTTCCGCTATTATGCTATTACTACTATTTTGCATTGTTGTTTTACATTTAAGCTTATAATACTAATATACCATATATAAAAGTTTATCGACTTGTTTACTTTATAATATTGTTTACATATTTCTTAACTCTATTATTATCTACCTATTGTTGTATACTCTATTAGAATAAACCAGTAGGCAATAGTGCTTATCGAAAGATCATGACGTCATCCTTACATACACACATACATATTAAAAAATATATTGTTAAGTAGTGAGGTCAAATGAAACAGTCAAAAATCTTAAATTTTTATTTATTTTTAGTGAATTAAAAACTAAATTTTATCCTAACTGCAGCACTCAGCAAGATCATTTGCGTCACCCAGCAGTTTGTATATAATTATGGCTCGCACAGGTCCATATTATTGAGAATATTGCTATATACAAAACTAACACTCCTTCATATAAACTATACAACTAATATTAGTACCATAAAGTACCAAAAGTCACGGTAAAATACCGTCAAGTCAATTCAATTTCAACATGTATATGAAACAACAGTTTATGACGTCACAAGTGCTTTTAAGTTTTCACATTTCCCCTTATACATAAATATCTACTGACAGCACTTTAATACAGGCGTAAGGGACGTAGTTACAAATACTGAAATGGTGTATGTAGACCATTATTCTGAGTCGAAAATCATTGGAATTTTCTGCCGGAAAATTAAACGTTTTATGCAAGCAGCTTGCAAAGGTCAAGGTCATTCCCCGTAGGTATCGCACAAAAGAAATAACTACATTTGTATTCCGTGCAAACAGTCTACGCAGACTAACACAAGACGGCCGGGGAGAGTATGCGGAGTATGACCGTGTGCGGTATTTATTTAATTGTTTTCTGTAAAATGTTCTGTTTACTCATTGTGATATCATTTTTCATCATTTTTAACCAACAAATTGAAAATTATAAAACAAAATTGATGAATTTTCCGGTTGAAAATTCCAATGATTTTCGACTCAGAATGATGGTCTGAATACACTATTTCAGTATTAGTTACGACGCCCTTACACTCTGTATATGGTATATACTCACATAACTATTGTACCTATATGATATACTTAAAAGAGTCGCAGTTATCAGCCTTTTCTTATTTTAAGTTATAGGGTGCAAACAAGCATACAGGTCACATGATAGTAAGCAAATATAGACAATCTCCAACCCCACTATTAGGTAAAAATCTAAGAAAGAAACGCTTAACACCAGTTCTGATCAGCCTAATTTCTACATTTGTGTACATAATTAGACTAAGATATAATATATAACTTGAGAGACTGATTGTAGAAAGCTAGCTAAGAGCAAATGATAGATTAGCTTACATAGCTCTGTAATTCATAGACCATATAACCATATTCGAATCGAACGGTGACTTAGACATTTCGAGTTTTAAGTTGCATAATTACCTCAAATCTTGACATTCATTACTTGGAGAAAATGTTACTACGCGAAAATCTAATTTATCTGCATATATAAAATGTTAAGTTGGTCTGTGCATGCTTCAAAAACTCAAACTTGAATATGTACAAACCACATTCCTAGTGTAAGTTTTGTTTCTCCCATTAATGCAATTACAATGTGCCACAGCAAAGCGTGGCAAGGTAATGCTAAATATTAAAAAAAAACATGAATTAAAAAGAAAATAATAACTTAATTGGTTTACTTAACATATTGTATGAAAGGAAACACCAAATAATTAAAATAGTAGGATTATGTAGCGATGCGAAACTCTGCATAGGTATGCAGAGTGCGGATGTCGTGTGACATAAGAAATCGCTTGTCACTTTAAAAAATAGTATATAATTTGAGTAGCAGATTAATTTTTAATGTCATACACGAGCAGTTATACCATATCAGCGATAACTAATAATATTTTCGGACATCTGACACACAACGCCATCTAGTTTTAAACTAAGCAGAGCTTGTACTATGTCAACTAGATTGACTGATAGAAAACTTTTATACTTTTTTTGTAAATACATCCATATTATGCATAGAAAACACCAAGAAATGAAGCGACCATAAGGAATTAAGCAACTTAAACGTACACAGGAAATAAACTTACTGATCTACTGCACTCAAGACCTTTTATAAGAGCCATATTACAATACAAACTACCAGGTCTTATCCACTTCTCATTTAGGCTTCGTCTCTTGATCTGTCACGTATCTAATGTAGATAGTATCTTCGGGTTTAGGATCTTCAATCTGGGACTCATCAAGTTGCGAGCAAGCGATAGCCAGAGCCGACCCGTCGTGTGAAAAGCTTAAAGATGACACAGCCGTGTTGTACCGATGGAATTGGCAAAGACGTTTCTTGTTAAATCCATCCCAGATGTTCACGTAGCCATCTGAACCACCAGTTGCAAACGTATTGTAAACAGAATGAAAGCTTATTGCGTTTACAGGGTAGATTTTTTCAAGGCCTGAAATTATGTTAAATAATATATATTAGGGATATTATAAGCAGTGTTTGAGCATCATTAAAATGCACACATCTTGGGTCTTTCCTTGATTTTCGTAGTGCTACGAATATCTTTTCGAAGTTAATAAATAAATAATTTCACACATGTCACACACGGGCGTCTGACCCCAAACTAGGCAGAGCTTGTACTATGGTAACCGGACTGCTGATAAAGATACTCATACATTTCTAAATACATACATATTATAGATATAGTACACATCCAGACAGAACAGATGACCATGCTCATCACACAATTATTTGTCATGAGTAGGAATCATACTCACGACCTCTGCTGTAGCCACTAGTAGTCACTAACCACTAGACCAACAGGCCCATCAAGAAGTATATGTACAAAGTATTAAATAATACTGAATACTTGTCATTTAAGTGAGAACATATCAAACACAGTATATAGATGCATGTCTCTAACTCCACCAAGAGCATAAAAAGGGCAGTTTCTCTCTCTCTCGTTCAAAATAAACAAATGCTGGAAAAAAGGTGGCAAATATAAATGGAAAAAAGGTTGTGTTTATTAAAAGAAGTTAAACATACCTGCTTCTTTAATCCTGTGACACTTAAAAGCATATTTCTTCTTCTGCACCTCTGGGTTACTGTCCAAATATTCTACTGCAACTCTTCCCTCAATAGAGCTTAATACATATCCTTGTTTGTTAGGAAATACTCTAATGCACCTGGTCTGGTACTTTAGGGAGGATTCCCGTCGTTGGTTAACGTGTCCCATGTTTCTGACATCCCAGACAAAGATTTTACGGCCAGAAGTCCCGACGACAAACTTCTCACCGACTATACTCATTGTGTAAACCTGAAAAATGAATATATTTTCTATAAATTATTTGCATTCAACTTGTTATTTTTTTTAAATACTTTCTACAGCTTTTTAATAGTTGTGTGTGTAGAAATTGGACAAGCAAATTCACTGACAGACTGACTGACTGAATACAGTATTCATTTAAAGTGAATTCTTTTCAAATAGACTCCTGTTTTTACTGAATATTATATGAGAGCATAAAAAAGTGGCAGTGAATTTGCTTGTCCAGTTTCTACACACACACACACAACTATTTTGGAAAAAGGTGTATAGAATGACACTGGCAGCAAACTTATTGGGTGTTTACACGCATGGCAAGCCTTGACTGCCTGACTTGGGACTTAATGTTGATGCCCGACCGCTCAACTTATGTCAAGTTGAGCAGTTGCCACAAGCTTCCTTTGATCTGGGTTCAAAACGGACACTAGCCCCGATCAAAGACAAGCTCACGCAAGCCAAGCCAAACACCCCGTTTACACGCTTGTGTTTGTGGACACTTGTCGAGACATCTCAAGGGTGTTAACTACACATTACAATGCAGTATTATTTATTATTAATCAAATCAAATCAAATCAAATCTTTATTTGCCAACCAAGTGTACATCAATGATCTTATAATATTATATGTAGTAGTCCCAACTTAGAAGCCTTTTCCAGGCATTGCAAAAATTTGAGAGAGAATGCAGAAGAATAAATTGTTACATAAGTACAAGCATTTTTTGAACAATACAAATTAAGTGACTCAATAGTACAGTATAACAATCGAACAAAGCATGCAAAAATACGAAGGCACCCGACATTCTACATCACTAATACATATACACATTTTCCTACTGTCCCTAGCATTTCCGTGCATCACGACCGATTTTTCTTTTTATGATTTGTACTTAGGTATATGCTTTCTGTTTTCCGTGTAATAAGAAATGTAGTTTGTTAAGTGTTTTTTTCCTCAATGTATTCTTTAACAGAATAGAAACATTTTGTAATTAAGAATGCTTTTAGTTTTTTAATGAATAGTGTAGTCTTCGTTTCATTTTTTATGTGGATAGGTAATTTGTTGTATATTTTTACAGCCATGTAGTAAGGGCTCTGGTTTAGCATTTTAATTCTTGATGGTGGTAGGTATAGTCTGTCTCTGTGGCGTGTGTTTAAATTGTGATTGTCTTTTACTCTCGCGAAGTGACTCATGTTCTTGGATACAAATATGCAGATGTCAAATATGTATAATGATGGTAGTGTGAGGATGTTATATTTAATGAAGAAGGGCCTACAACTATCACGATTTCCAATTTGTCCGATAATTCTAATACATTTCTTTTGTAATATAAATAAATCCTGAAAGTGTACACTGTTTCCCCACAACATAATGCCGTATCGTAACCAGGAGTATGCGTATGCGTAGTATGCTGACAGTGCGGTTTTTTCGTTTGTGCTGCATTTAAGTTGGAATAGAGCATATGTAAATCGAGACAGTTTATTTTTTGTATGTTCGATGTGTGCTTTCCAGTTGATGTGTGTGTCTATAGTTATACCAAGTAATTTGAATGTATCTACAGTTTCTAGTTGTGTGCCATTGTATGTTGTGTCGATGTTTACGGGGGTGTTTCTGTATGTTCTAAATTGGATAGTTTTTGTTTTGTTATAGTTAATTTCTAAGTTATGGTCGTTGAGCCAGTTATTTACTGTATCTAGAGTTTCCTGAAGTAGTGGTGTCGGCTTTGTGGTTTTGTAAAGCTTTTGTAAGCAAATAGGACAGGTAATGTATGTTCCTTGTTTAGTACTTTTGGTAAGTCGTTGATGTATATCAGAAATAGCACACAACCCAACACGCTGCCCTGCGGGATTGAACACTTTATGTTCCTTTTTTCAGACCGCACTATTTTAACCTCATTCGTATTGGGGTCGAAATGGTCAATTTGGACCATTTGTGATCTATTTTCTAAATATAATCGAAACCATGTGTAAGCTGGGCCGCGAATACCAGAACCGCTTAGTTTATTCAAAAGAATGTCGTACAATACTTTGTCGTCATGTCAAGTAATACTCCGAGTACATGTTTTTTGTCATTTATATGTTTTATGGTAGTCTGGATATACTTATATACTGCTAGTGTAGTTGATCTTGATTTTCTAAATCCATTTTGAATATCATCGAGAATGTTATATTTTTCTAAAAAATCGTATAAACTGTTACACATTGTTTTTTCAAATACTTTCGAAAATGTGGGTAACAGAGCAATAGGCCTATAATGACTAGGTGTGTAGGTGTCGCCTTTTTTGTGTATCGGTTTGATTATTGATATCTTTAGGGGGTCTGGAAATTGGCCATCTTGAAGGCTTTGATTAACTAAAAATGTGAGCGGTATTGACAGTTTTTCTGCACACTGTTTCAATAGAACTGGGGGGATTTCATCTATGCCACAGCTGTGTGTATTTTTAATTGAGCGTATTATGTCGATTATTTCTTTTCTATCTACAGGACGCAAGTACATGGAGCACATTTGTGAGTTTATGACGGGTCGACCCAGCGCACTGTTTTTGTTGGTGTTATTGTTATTCATGCCCATACCCACAGTAGCAAAATACTCACTGAAATTGTTGCAAATAGTTGTTGGACATGTTACAATGTGGTTGTTAATTTTTAATGATATATTTTGTGGAGGGAGTCGTGTTTTTGATTTATGATATTCCACATTGTTTTTGTTTTATTATCGGAGTTTTCCATTTGTTTACAAAAATCAAGTTTTTTTGATATGTTTACACTACACTTTAGGGTTTGGCTATACTTTTTATAAAATTTATGTATAATATCATTATCATTCACATTCAGAAAGGCCCTTAATTTTCTTTTGTGTGCACATGATTTCCTGAGGCCGGTAGTGAGCCATTCTTTTTTTGGTTTATTATTTATTTTCAGCTTTTTTATCGGTATATGTGTATTAAGTAATTTAGTCAATATATTGAGAAATAAATCGTAATTGGTGTTTAAATTGTTGTGTGTGTTGATTATTTCGTGCCATTTTATGTCATTTAATGAAGTGTTAAAATGTAATATGTTCCTTTCTGTGAATAGTCTTTTCTGTAAGTACCAGGTTGTGTTATTATTAGGATAAGAGTGTTTCGATTTTATTTTTAGTGTAATACCCTTATGATCAGAGAGACCATAATCTTGGACGCTGGCTTTATTAATAATGGGCATGTAGTTAGTGAAGAGTAGATCGATGCAGGTTGAGGAGCCTTTTGATACACGTGTTGGTTCTCTGATAATCTGTTTGAGATTGTTTGAAAACATTAAGTTGATATGATTCTCCGTCTGTTTATTTTTATAATCAATCAAGCTACTGTTCTGGTGACATTGTGTTGATCTATATTTTTAAGATTAAAGACAACCAATTTGTTATACACTTTTTAACTTTAAGTTACTATAACCATACAATAAGTATTCAGCTAGTCAACTTTTTAAATTAACCAATTTTGAAACCAGGTTTGAATTCACGACTTCTTGATCACTCTATTTTAACACATTTTTTATTAATGATTTTCTAGAATATGATAATAATAGAACTGATGACCATGAAACCCATCAGATCCTACATCTACTAACACATGTCATATTTAGAACTTAACTTAAGGCTTAACTTAAAATTATAAATTAAATCAACTATCTTTGACTAGCAATATTATGCCACCATTGCCACCATAAACCATGTATTTGGATTATATAATAGATATAATGATTATTTGGTTATAAACTTATGTGATTAAATAATGTATATTATGAATACAAACCCTCTCATTTCCCTGGTTATAAGTACCAACACAATTTGGTACCCTACTGTCCCACATCTTCACAGTCCCGTCCCAACTGCCAGTCAGTATGGCATTCACCTCGGTAGCAAACTCTACACACCTGATGGCGTTTTTGTGTTCCCCCAGATCTGTCTCTACACCTGCATTCAAATCGTACATCTTGAGAGTTTGATCCAAGCCACCACTGTATGTATGTACTGCATCCTGAAAGAGTTGAAAACATATTTGAACAATTGGTCTTCTTATGTCAAAGGAAGACTAAATCACCACAATGTACAATTTTATGGTTTGGAGTTAACAAACTGACAAAAGTAGATAACAAAGAATGTGTTGCAATGCACCAAGTATGGCAGTTAGGCAACTTGCGCACTAGGTTTATGTATATCCTGTGTCGCATGAGACTTATAAACATTCATGAAACAGAACACTCAGAACAACAATTTGTGGAGCACACAAGGCGTTGTCCTACGTGGGGATCGAGCCCGCAATATTTAGGAAGCGGCAAGGCGACCGCTGAGACCACCTCACCATCCATCCATTCAAGTGAATATTAAGAAAACGGTTAGAAAGATGTTGGTGATGATGATGGTTAAAGGTGTTAAATGTTGAAGCGTTAAATATTCTAAGACTTCTAACGCACAAATCAAGCGTGTTATTTAGAGAGCACATTTAAAAATAAACATAAACTTACTCTAAAGCAGACATCGAGGACTGGCATTTCGTGGTTGTATTTGTGGCGTTCTGTATTCGACGTGACATCATACAGCCTTACAGAACGGTCCCATGAGGATACCAACAGGAATTGGTTCGATTTCGGTGCGAATTTCACACTAGATATCGCATTTTCTGGCAAGCTCTTTAATTTAAATTCTGTGCGGGACTCCGCCACCCGCGTTACTGTCATTGTGGAAGCAATTTTGTTGGCTATTTTAAAATATCACTAAAAATAAAAAGAGGTCTTGGTTCTCCAAGAATACAGCAAGTTCTAACGTAAATAAATATTGTCACTCTGACCGCAATTCGTCCATCAGTCAGTCGAGCAAAGCAAGACAAGCAAGCAAGTGTGCTCCCAGACGGGTAATTTATTTTTAAGTGTACGTACAACGAATAATAGATGTCACTAGTGAAGCCTTTCATCATCTACCTGCCATATTTACTATTAGTTAAATGGTAAACCAAGATCACTAGATGTCGTCGATTAGTTTAGGTCTCAATGCGGCTCTTGATTATAACTGCTAAAAGCTGCGTAAATCTATACTAATATTATAAAGCTGAAGAGTTTGTTTGTTTGTTTGTTTGAACGCGCTTATCTCAGGAACTACTGGTCCGATTTGAAAAATTCTTTCAGTGTTAGATAGCCCATTTATCGAGGAAGGCTATAGGCTATATATATACCCAATAGAAGCGGAGCACCAATGAAGAATGTTTCAAAAACGGAGAAAATTTATTACTATTGAGAGACGCAGACGAAGTTGCGCGGGTCAGCTAGTTGTAGCTATTGTAGCTATCATATAATATACTATAGATGTGTTTCTGGACTATTTTGCTAGAACCTAAAATAAAGTCTATTAAAAAACAAAAAAAAACCTAATTTGAAAAATTACTATAAAATTAATAAACTTAAAATGAAAACTTAATTTTTGAATAAATTTTAGGGATTATAATTTTTGGGAAGAACAGACTTGTTGACTTAAACCAAAAATCTATCAAAATATTTTGGTTTCACTTTTTGATGTTGCAATAGTAAAAACAGGCAACCTTTGTCCGCGTCTGAGTTTGAAAAAAAAGCTATAAAACTTTTATTACTGGCGTGTGAAAAAAGATTGGTCATTTTCGTAAATTAAATAATCAAATTTGTACAGAAATTAGAATAAATTCTACTATTAATTTTATTAAAGATTTTTATATCATTATTTACATTAAATTAATTTTGCAGTACTTTTTTAAACTTTTGGTTTTAATTTTTACAACATTTTTAAAGATCAGTACAGATAGCAGCACTAGAACTCGTGAATTTTCATTTGTAGTGTTACCCTACAGTACTGAAAACCTAAACTGAAAACTCATTCATAGATATATAAATATAGAGTGAACAAGGGCCCCAATCTTGCATCTTATTTTTCTCCCACCTGTTCTACATTCAAAATCATGCCTTTTTCATGATAGCCAATCGCAGCTTAGTTAAATAAGATAGAGGGAACTATCTTGCATCCATTCTGTATTGCTCCACTCTTTGCTTATATCTCTACTGTATGGTGACACAGATAAAACTAAAAGTGAGTAAAAACCTCATTGGTAAAAACAGAAGTACTTGCCAGAAGCACTAAACGCAATATTTTTATAAATTTTAATTATTTCAGAAAAACATGTTTTTAGTTTATTTAAAACATATTTATTTATTAGTTTAACTGATACAATATTGTTTATATCTAATCCTCTAGTTTCAAAAATACGTAATGTTTAGTTTGCATCCAAAACACTTGACTGATGACATATTAATACATAACAAAACGAATAAGTGTGAACGCGTCATTTTGGAAACATCAATTCCTTTTCTACAAAAATTTATCGGAACGACGTCATTTAATATAGACTAGTTTTAATTTTAATCATTAGAAAGTTTTCGTAAAATCAAGAACATTGTGAAGTAATTTTAATGTTTACTTTACAAAGAACAATTGTGTAACCTGGTCACATTACGGAACGCATCCTTATAATTGACATGTTTGTGATGAGGTGTGAATCGTAAAAGAAATCCCCGTCTCTCTGAAATGATTTTACTAAAATCTGCCGTTTCTTAAAGTGTGTGATGTTCTATCTGTGTTATCTCGCTACGGACATATAACAATTTGTATACAATAAAACAGTGCCTATAAAAGTATCATAAATGAATACAGGACCACCGAGCAACTAAGTCGGTTCCATTTGGAACTAATGGAGTGATCAACTTATGAAATAACGATGCAAACCAACTTGAAAACGAAAGAAATGTTTATAGTCAGAGCGCTAGAAAAAATACTGGCGGATAAGGACATAAAACGGTCCTACCACAGCCAGTTGAAGAAGTCCTGCGAGGTCGCATTAGGTGAGCCCCAGTAACAATTTACATCACAATAACTATTGTATGGTATCATTTACCGTCTATTCGTGTCTATATTATCACCTATCACTAATTAGGTTAAAATGTACAAGCTAATAGTTTTATTGATGTTGATAAAATATGATAGATAGTGAATGTATTGACCTTGGATACGACAGTAGAAAATATATTTTGCGATATGGTAGTATCATCAATACGTTATTTCGTCATAGTATTGGAAGTCTACCGATCGGATGGCAGTAAAGTGGATAAATTTGAATTTTGGTGGGTCTGTTGATGCATTGATGGATTGTGATGATGTTTACATCAAAGTATATGCTGTTATTGCTTGGTAAGGATAATTGTAGCTGTAAAATGTTATATGTTACATAGATAATGGTATGTTACAAATCTTGTTAGCATGTGATAACACTTATGATAATCTTTATGGTAAGTGGTGGTCTATAGTACTTTAATATGCAAATAGAATGCTTTTTAAGTTCAGCTTGGTCAGTTATGTTTATAAATAATTCAGACTATCCTATTATAGACTGCATGTAAATATTAAACACTGATAGGACTTAGTATTGATGAAAATTTGTCTAGCATTTATAAGGAAAACATTGACAAAGAGTGATCTGTTCTGTTGTATGTATAGTACAGAGGTGATGAAACGTAGTATATTCTTGGTGTAAAGTGAATAATTTAAATTAAATTTCAAAAACTTAGTTATTTAATGATCCCTATACTGTATGGAAGAAGTAATATTGTTCACATATAGAAATAGGTAAGCAATATTTGTGGTTCAAATACTTTAGTTTCATCTTGGTAATCATTTAAAATAAATTAATTATATTGTTAAAAATGTACTGTTAGTAAGCGTTGGTTGAGCGGCCTGTTGGTCTAGTGCAAGGATTCCCAAACTATTTAGGGCAAGAAACCCCTTTTCTAAAATGAACTGATACCTCACACCCTATAGCTAAATTACTGCATCCTTATCGACTTGTTGAGTTTTTATAAAGTACAACAATGATACTTCCTACCAAAATATTAGTCATTCTTATAACAAGTTGTTACATGTAATACAACTAATACAGTATGTTGAAAGTTTCAAATAGGAGCTTGTGTTAATTAATACGTGTTGATTTTTAGTCCTCGTTGATCCCCAAAATCAGTTTATGTTGACCGGGAAACCAATTTCGAACCGGTCGATTTCAACCACTTTGGAAATCTCTGGTCTAGTGGTTAGTGACCCTGACTGTTAAGCCAGAGGTTGTGGGTTCAATTCCCACCCAATACAAATAATTCTCTAATGACTATGATCATTGGTTATGTATCTGGTCATAATTTATCAACCATATGTATGTATGAGTAAAATAATCACACAATGGTACCCAAGGGATGGAAAAGAAAAGAGAGGTAGACCACAGAGAAGGTGGGAGGATGACATTAAACAAGTCGCAGAAATAACATGGGGTAGATTGGCCATAGAAAGGCCAGAATGAAGACGATAGCACAGGCTCTGTCAAGTTTGGAATCAGACGGCCATGTGTGAGATGTGTGTCTATTTTTTTTTTATATGTAATTGTTGTGCAATTTACAAAACAAGATTAAACCTGTGTTTACTGACACTATCATTTATATGCAAACTATATTTTAAACAAAAATGCATTTATAATGAATGTACCTATTTGAATTTATTTTATTTATCATGTATTTTAAACACATAAAACTCTAACTCTCAGTTAACACTTCCTACTACCTACGTTAGGTTGAATTTACTCTGATAATCCCTACATATAAGATTACTTGCTCTGACTGACTGACTGACTAATTCATTGACATAGAACCTAAACCACTGAGGCTACAATCTTGAAATTTTTGCGAGTAAAATAAGGGATAAACAGTTCATCATTTTCAAAGTTAGAAAAGCGAAATAAGAATAGCTCGGCTTGGCAATAGCTAGCATAACATATTTACATTACTTCATTCCTATGTCAGCTGTACCACTGTATTATTACTGGTTATAACCATATTGTGTAAAATTATAATACAACAATGAGTTACATAAAACATGTTTATAGTACTGCTATGCAAAGCAATAGACATTTATATTAGAAAAGTAAATTCATAATAATTATTGTGTAATAACAGGTCTTCCTCATGAACATCATCATCCAGTTTTCTTTACGAAATCGTAATGAGTATCTTTGTGTATAAGATATATATTTTATAACCAGACCAGGTTCCTAACCAGAGTTAATTTATTACCACACGGATGGCATATTGGTTTAAGTGGTAGAAGCACCTCGCCGCTGAGTGTTGTGGGTTCAATCCCCACATAAGACATCACTTTCATTTTTGTTTGAATTGTTGTTCAGAGTCTGGTCCCCGTATTGTAAGGGTGTCTCATTTGTGAGACATTTTTTTTTAATTTTATTATTGAATGTCACTTAACACGAGATTCACTGATCCATACTCATTATAGAACGATGTTTATATCGAAATCTTTACTCAGGTATAGATTTTGACAGCTGTGATCTTTGTTTACGTGAGACAAGCTGAAACTAGTCTCAAGTGGTTTTTTCTAGGGAATTTTCGGGGAAAGAATGTGTTTTACGATGATTTGTTTCTGAACAATTATTTTACTTTATTTACGAAAGAATTACTTGTTATACATAAACAATTCACTTTAATTTACCTTAATTGATATTAAATTCACTAAAATACACATTTCACACACAGAATACTTGTTTAAATTAAAATCACCACAACTTTTTGGTTTATGTGTAAAGTATAATATTAAAATCGATCTAAGTGGCGAGCAATGGGAGAGGCCTATGTCCAGCAGTGGACTGCGATAGTCTGATAATAAATTCTAGAAAAACATAAAATAAATCTAGAAAAACAACAAAAAAGAAAATAAAAACATAGTTTGACATTTCAACTGGACAAGTGTTGAAAAATAACTTAAACCTTCCATTATAGCCTTTATCTAGTCATTTTATTTTAATATTTATTATATTTAATTTTAGACGAACAACAAGCTTGTTAATATGTTAATATTAACTACTACACTAGCCAACAGTATACTACATACAAATTCTCAGAAAAATATGTTTGTAAAAGAAAATTGTTTTTTAAATAATTAGCTGCGTAATATGGAATAATCATCATGCAGAAACGAAATTGAGAACACACAGTTCAAATCAATACTTGAAACTAGTTTCAACTGAGTAAAAATTAAAATGCGTTCTATAATAAGATCAATACTTAAGTTTTGATCTGCACTTAAAACTAGTTTCAGGCAATCAGAGTTCAACCGATATGATTTGATTTATGATTTGATTTTTTTTTACACACTCACGGCCGTCTGATCCCAAACTAGGCAGAGCCTGTACTATGGTAACCAGACCGCTGATAAACATACTTATATATTTCTAAATACATACATATTATAGATAAATTACACCCAGACACAGAACAAATGACCATGCTCATCACACAATATTTGTCGTGGGTGGGAATCGAACCCACGACCTCCGGTTTAGCAGTCAGGGTCACTAACCACTAGACCAACAGGCCCGTCCTGGATACTTGAGACGTCTTTTAAAATACGGGCCTGGGTATCTGTTTCACGATAATTTTGTATAGTCCTCTGTGACACATGATATACTTCGAGTCCAAAGGTTGTCTTTCTCAAAAATAAAACAAAAAGAAAAATACTATTTCCAACTCACTCTTACCTGGAGCCCACAATATAGTTATCATCTATCCTTTGTGACAGTATTTTTACTGTGTCCATTTAAAAAAAAATATGTTGACTATTATTATTACTTAGGGTGGTAAAATTAAACAAATAAAATTTACTGAACACTTTTACAGTTACAAAATTCATTAGACTTTTATGAATCTTTTTCATTGCTTGAATCTCTAAACACTCAACTCTACATTGATAAACTCCTTAATACAGCATGCTACTGCATAAAGTAGTTTTAGGACATAAAAGTTCCTGGATAGAGGGGGTTGTAATGTACCAGTGATAAACACTGCTATTACAAGGCTTTAAATGCACAGTGAACCAGTTTCTCCCTTTGTATTTAACATATGTTTTCATCAGATTCATTTCTGGGAACATAAAGATATAAGTACACTTGTGATTATTTTATTATATATAGCTACCATACCTACATAATAATAATATATACTCGATTTGTAGTTTTAGTAAAGCGAGTATATTTTTTTAAATTATATATACCTACCATTCCTTACATAATATAAAAAAAAAAAAAAAAAATACTAGATTTACTATTAAATGGCCAATATAGGGTCTTGATGCATTGTCTGAATATAGCTTATTGGAGTAAGTAGCAACCCTAACCTACGTAGAAAGAAGTCGAAAGACCCTCACTGTGATTGTGTCCCATGCCTAATAATTAGAAGTTGTACTTATTATTTCACAATCATATTAATTAATCAATGTGTTAATGAGACCTACAAATTTGCAAGATTGTTGTTAAAAAATAGAATATCTTGGTGCTAATAGGAAGTTTATTGATATAACTTGTTATTGTGACTTATTGAGAAGATTAGTCAAATTATTGTTATTCCCTTGCATTTTTACTTTTTCCTAATAGTATATTATACTGTCTACAAACAATAGGTACGAGTAGGTATTAAAAATTTAAGAAAGATATTTTTAATTTGACATTATTACTGTACCTTAATTTCTAATTGAGTACAACATTAGAAATATGTAAATGATATATATAATTATCATTTGTACTAATTAGCTGCTGAATCACAGTAAAATATTTTAAATTTAAGTTTTTAATTCAAACTGGCCTTGCTTCTGTTAAACAATATACTAGTCTTACTTTTAAGAATTAACAAATATTTTTATTAATTCTCATCCTCATTTTAAATAAAGTAAACAATAGGAAATTCAATAGTTCACTAGTTATTTAATTGTTTGTCTAACAATTATTTAGATCTATAAATGTTTGTTGCAGAGGAAATCAAAACTGAACTCAAAAATGGAGGTCAATTGGAGGCTACAGAGAGCCCTACCTCAGGAACTCTTCCTTTACCAAAAAATGATGCTTCAAATATCATCACAGCAGAGAAATACTTCTTACCATTTGAGTTGGCATGTCAGAGTAAAGCATCCAGGATAGTTGTGACAGCACTAGACTGTCTGCAAAAACTGATTGCCTATGGTCATCTTACAGGAAATATTCCCGATTCAACCACTCCCAGAAAGCTGCTAATCGATCGAATAGTTGAAACTATATGCAGTTGTTTCACTGGGCCTCAGACTGATGAAGGAGTCCAACTACAAATAATAAAAGCTTTATTGACAGTTATCACAAGTCAACATGTTGAAGTTCATGAAGGCACAGTACTTCTTGCTGTCAGAACATGTTACAACATCTACCTTGCAAGTAAAAATCTTATCAATCAAACAACGGCCAGGGCAACATTGACACAAATGCTTAATGTCATATTCACGAAAATGGAGAATCAGGCTATTGAATGTGAAACAAATGGTAATAGTAGTGACAATAATCATACAGAAATACCACACAAAATGCCAAATGGGAATATCGTTTCTGCTCACACACAAAACAATACAAATGAAGAAAAAGAAGTTGAACAAACTCAAGTTGAGCAAGTTGATGAAGTATTAGAAGCAAAAACAATTGCAAAACAAATTGTAGATTCAGTCATAGACACTGCCATCAGTATTGCTACAAAGACAACCAAGGAGCCATCGGAAGTTTCGAATGGTCCGGACAACAATGAAAATCCTACTGATTCTCAAGACAGTGGAAGTGTGTCTCAGGAAAGCAATGGACAAGTGCCTACTGAACCTACCATGACTAGGATACCTTCCCAAGAAAGTGTAGATGTAGCTTCTGAAAATGACAATTCAGTCACAGCAAAGTTCACTCACGTTTTACAAAAAGACGCTTTCCTAGTATTCAGAGCTCTCTGCAAACTGTCTATGAAGCCTCTTCCTGAAGGAACCCCAGATCCTAAATCTCACGAATTGCGATCTAAAATTCTATCTCTTCATCTTCTACTGTCCATTCTCCAAAATGCAGGTCCAGTATTTAGAAATAATGAGATGTTTATTACAGCTATTAAGCAATATCTTTGCGTGGCACTTTCGAAGAATGGTGTCAGCTCAGTACCAGAAGTATTTGAACTCTCATTAGCTATTTTCTTAGCCCTTCTTCAGAACTTTAAGGTTCACCTGAAAAAACAGATTGAAGTATTTTTCAAGGAAATCTTTATGAATATTTTAGAGACGTCGAGCTCCTCATTTGAACACAAATGGATGGTAATCCAAGCTCTAACTAGGATTTGTGGCGACGCGCAAAGTGTCGTAGACATTTATGTAAATTACGATTGCGACTTATCGGCTGCTAATCTTTTCCAACGGCTAGTTAATGACGTTTCGAAAATTGCCCAAGGAAGGCAAGCATTAGAATTAGGTGCCACACCGAACCAAGAAAAGTCCATGCGCATCCGTGGATTAGAGTGCTTAGTGTCAATACTAAAGTGTATGGTGGAATGGAGCAAAGAACTTTATATAAATCCAAATCTACAAACTACCTTAGGTGAGAGAACAGCCAAAGAAGATATTGACCATCACAGTATCAAATCTCATGGAGGATCAAGCTTAAGTCTGGTTTCCACTGGGTCTAGCAATATTGGAAACAGGGAAACTCTAGATTCTCCTGAACAATTTGAAGTTTTGAAGCAACAGAAAGAAGTTTGGGAAACTGGTATTGATTTATTCAATAGAAAACCAAAAAGAGGAGTTGCTTTCTTACAAGAACAAGCACTATTAGGAACATCCACTAAGGAAATAGCTGAATGGTTACTGACCGATGAAAGGCTTGACAAAACTTTTGTTGGAGAGTATTTAGGAGAAAATGACGATCATTCCAAAGAAGTCATGTATTCTTACGTAGACTCTATGAATTTCAGTAACATGGATATAGTGGCGGCGTTACGATATTTCTTAGAAGGGTTCAGGCTTCCAGGTGAAGCTCAAAAAATCGACAGGCTAATGGAAAAATTCGCATCGCGTTACTGTGAATGTAATCCGAACAACACGCTATTTATGAGCGCCGACACTGTTTATGTATTAGCATTTTCCATAATAATGTTAACGACGGATTTGCATTCGCCGCAAGTCAAGAATAAGATGACAAAGGAACAATACATTAAATTGAATAGCGGCATTAGTGATAACAATGACTTGCCACGTGAATACCTCTCGACAATATACGACGAAATCGCCGGCCATGAAATTAAAATGAAAAACACTTCAAAACCGGGCAAACACATGATAGCTAACGAGAAAAAGCGAAAATTAATCTGGAACATGGAAATGGAGACTATATCTACCGCTGCCAAGAATTTGATGGAATCTGTGTCTCATGTACAAACACCTTTCACGACGGCTAAACATGTAGAACATGTACGACCTATGTTCAAGATGGCATGGACGCCTTTCCTTGCAGCTTTCTCAGTTGGATTGCAAGATTGCGACGATACTGAAATTGCATCACTGTGTTTGGACGGCATCAGATGCGCCATCCGTATCGCTTGCATTTTCCACATGTCACTTGAGAGAGACGCATATGTGCAAGCCCTCGCACGCTTTACGCTACTCACGGCAAACTCGCCTATCACGGAAATGAAGGCAAAGAATATTGACACCATAAAAACATTGATCACGGTGGCACATACAGACGGTAACTACTTAGGAACAAGTTGGTTAGATGTAGTCAAATGTATCTCCCAGTTAGAATTAGCACAGCTTATAGGAACAGGTGTACGGCCACAGTTCTTATCTGGTTCAGGTATTAAGCCTCAACCAGACTCTTTGAAGTTTAGCCTAATGTCATTAGATCCTAGCGTCAAGGAGCATATAGGGGAGACGAGCTCTCAAAGTGTCGTTGTAGCTGTAGATAGAATATTCACTGGATCTACAAGACTCGACGGTGATGCTATAGTTGACTTCGTTAAAGCTTTATGCCAAGTATCTTTAGATGAATTGAGCCATCCTACAAATCCTCGAATGTTTTCATTGCAGAAGATAGTAGAAATATCGTACTACAACATGGGCCGTATAAGATTGCAATGGTCACGAATATGGCAAGTCCTCGGCGATCACTTTAACAAAGTAGGGTGCAGTAGCAATGAAGATATAGCATTTTTTGCAGTCGATTCTTTAAGACAACTGTCAATGAAGTTTATAGAAAAAGGCGAGTTCGCCAACTTTAAATTCCAAAAAGATTTCTTAAGACCATTTGAACACATAATGAAGAAAAACAGCTCACCAACAATAAGAGATATGGTAGTTCGTTGTATCGCTCAGATGGTCAATTCACAAGCTCCTAATATCAGATCAGGTTGGAAGAATATATTTTCAGTATTCCATTTAGCTGCAAGCGATCAAGATGAAGCTATTGTTGATTTAGCATTCCAAACTACAGGTAAAATAATATCTGAATTGTACGACAGACAATTTCCAGCGATGATAGACTCTTTTCAAGATGCAGTCAAATGTTTATCGGAATTCGCTTGCAATGCGAAGTTCCCAGATACTTCCATGGAAGCTATAAGACTCGTAAGGTCTTGCGCTACAGCAGTCGGAGCATCCCCGCAACTGTTTGCGGAACACGCAGGACTTGAAGGAGAGCCAGGGGCGCCCGAAGAGGACAGAGTTTGGCTTCGAGGATGGTTTCCTCTACTCTTCTCCCTGTCGTGTGTAGTTAGTCGCTGTAAGCTAGATGTCCGCACGCGAGGTCTGACTGTTCTATTTGAGATTATAAAAACTCATGGTGATTCATTCCGTCCGCATTGGTGGAGAGATTTATTCAATATACTGTTCAGAATTTTTGACAACATGAAGCTACCTGAACACCAGCTCGAAAAGAACGAGTGGATGACTACAACATGCAATCACGCGTTGTACGCTATTGTAGACGTTTTCACGCAATACTTTGACATTCTTGGATCGTTACTTTTAGAACAGTTGTACGCTCAGCTGCACTGGTGCGTGCAACAGGATAACGAACAACTCGCGAGGTCTGGCACCAACTGTGTAGAGAATCTAGTCATTTCGAACGGTACCAAGTTCAACGAAGACACGTGGAGTAAGACGTGCCAGATCATGTTAGACATATTCAACAGCACTTTACCTACTACGCTACTCACATGGAAGCCAGACGAGAACGAAGATGCAGAGGCTCCCCATGTGCGCCATGGGATTCTAAAAAAACCACAAGGTGGTGCGGATGAAGTAAAGTCTTCGAATAGAGTTTTCAATAGTCTCCTCATTAAGTGTGTGGTACAGTTGGAGTTGATACAGACGATCGACAATATAGTATTTTATCCAGCAACGTCGCGAAAAGAAGACGCCGAGACTTTGGCTCTGGCGGCGGCAGAGCTGACTGGTGGAACGCCTGGCACAGAACAGGAATGTCAGCGTGAAGAACAAGGCATGTATAGGCTTTTGAGCTCCCCACACTTGCTGCGACTGGTCGAATGCCTTATGTGCAGTCATCGCTTCGCCAAGACGTTTAACACTAACAACGCACAGAGGAATGTCTTATGGAAAGCTAATTTCAAAGGTTCTGTTAAACCAAATATGTTGAAACAGGAGACCCAATCTTTGGCGTGTGTGCTGAGAATACTTCTGAAAATGTATAGCGACGAAACGCGAAGGGAACACTGGCCAGCTGTCCAGAAAAGTTTGATAAATATTTGCTGTGAAGCATTGGAGTATTTCGCCGGAGTAACGAGTGAAGCCCACAGAGATGCTTGGACCTCGATCCTGCTTCTCATTCTCACAAGAATACTTAAAATGCCGGATGAACGAGTAAGTACATATTGCTTTGTTTCTTTTATCTACGCGTTTATCTATTAGATGTAATTGAATTCACTTGTAGATATTATCTGTCATGATAATGTTAGTAGGTATGTTGTCGTTGCGCTGGTATTTTAAGGTTACGGAATATCAATTTATGGATTACTTGTACACTGATTGATTTGAACGTACAAAGTCATTTTAAAAAACATGTTAACACATCTGTTGCAGGTTGTAACACGTAACAGTAATGTTAAAATTTTCCCCATTACATAAACCATTATATACTCTTCATAAAATCGTTTTACCTTGAATGTAATTAGTCTTTAACTAGTCCAGGAATGCTAATTTAGGCATTTAGAATAGCTTATCGAATACCTATTGCATACCTTATTCAATGTGCTAATCAACTAATCAATAAATAATGATAGTATTTAAGGCGCTTTAAGCAAGCGTTAATCGCATTAAATAGTTTTATGTTTAGTTCTACAGTTAAAACGACTTTAAACGTCGTAATAGGTTTAAAAACGGAATAGTAGTTCCTGCTTCATAAATAGTATGTCTTCTATAAAGGCAAAGAAATTTTTGTACCATTTTTTTACACAATTCGGAGAAAAGTGATATGTCGGAATATAGAAAGCCAAACTTAAGTTATAAACTTGAAAATTATGGCAATTGGCATAAAAATGAATCTGTCTAGTAAACAACATTATTGATTGTAATGTCATTGGATCATCTTATCGATAGAAATGTAAAAACCTCGTTTTTGAGTATATTCTGTAGTTATCCTGTTACATCACATTAATTTGGTTTTCCTCTTACATAGTATGTCTGGGAGGATATGCTATGTACACAGTTTTACATTAGAGGGTTGAGAAACTTAGACCAAGAATATAAATCTATAAAACTATAAATCCAATTCAATAACATTATGTAGTAAATAACACCTCTATCAATAAAGATAATACATAATGCCGTCTTATCTGCCAAACTGATGGCGCGAACCTGAATAGACGGAAATTGTTTCTTTTTTAATCCAAAGGTGTTACAACACGTCATCGCGAAAGATTTTCGAAGACAATATCTTTGTATTCTATCGTGCCAATATCTAGATGTTTAGGCACTATTTGATCAGTAATTACTTTGTCAGTTATGCGGGTAAAATTTTCGTTACATGGGTAATCGTAACGTGAACTTTTTTGACCATTATTGCATTATGCTTATTTTTCATAGAAAAACATTCATTAATATAATTGAACGCTTTATTTAAAATCAAATATTCGAACCTATGAGTTGACGATTCTTAGTTTTGTACACTGGCCGTGTTGGAAGTCTGATTAGGTAATATAGAAAAAACCTGTTTTTAGGCAGGATATAAAATACTAATTTATGTATTTTGTGTAACGTTAAAAACACAAGTAATAAGTGGCTAACGTATAAATGTTGTATGTTCCAGTTTGCGGCACATGTATCCAGCTATTACCCGTTACTCTGCGAGATCACATGCTTCGACCTGAAACCGGAGCTGCGCTCGGTGTTACGCCGAGTGTTCATCCGCATCGGCCCCGTCTTCAGCATTGTGGCCAAACCGCAATAACACTTACATGACTAGATACAAACAACATGGCCTTATAGTTCTCTAGGATATAACACTATGACTTTGATGTTAATGTTAAAAAATTAAACTTCAGTTTATTCCTTAAAATTTAATGTAATATTGACAGTACTTCAGTAGTATTAAAAGTGATCTATTTTAGGGTGTAGTAGTCTTATTTATATTATAAATTATTATTGATTTGATTAATAAATTTTAAAATTGTATATTATAAAAGCATAGAAGTTGTATCTATAAATTACGATAGTTTATTCTGTATATTTGAAAGTTTATACTGTCTGGGGAGCTGAATTCACTCACTGCTGCGGTTGCTTGCTGTTTTTGTTTCAGCTAGGCTGATCAGACTGTGATTGTCAACATTTACTTTCCCACGGCTTTTCATGTTTATCGTTTTTATAAGAGTGACTTCAGAACTCGCACGCAAACTGATTATTACATTATCCTTAAAATAAAAATCATAAATTTACATTGACATCTGATTAAATAATCCTCAGTCCCTCAATAGACCTTTCCAGAGAGTTCAAGTCCCAGATGACCAGTTGTCCATCCAGACCTGTGGTACTGAATTTGTGCACATTCGCCTTTGTGCCTTCGAATACGTTGATGGAAGTAATGGCATTCTGATGGATGGAATCCAGTAAAGTGTCATTGGTCTCGATGCGCGCCTGGCGGTCAAGAGACTGGAACTTCTTCATAGCAGAAAGCCCACCAGACTCTTTTCTTTGAGTATTATCCAATTTAGCAACAAAGGTTATCTGATCATCCTCATGGTGATACAGTAATGGAATGCAGCTATGGCCTGCCACCACCAAGGAATTATTGGTTATCCATCTGCATCCTAAAAATGGCAGGAATTCAGTCTTTAGTTTAATGACGGCCTTGCCCTGAGTAGCATCGGCTACGTTTATGGAGCTGTCATGTCCCACCCATGCAACTTTATTCCCATCTGCTGAAAAAGAAACGCTATGAACCCATCCACCGCCATTAGGAGAGTTCGGGAATTCAGCTAACAATTGTCCCAATGGGAGTTTGCTACCCCAAACATTTGGTCCAGGTTGATCTTCAATGTCCTTGATATAAGCAGAAAATACTCGGACTTTGAAGTCAGCTGAACCAGCCACCAACAACATGTTGTTTGGGTGCCAATCGATACTGGTCACAGTGGAGCGAATAGGTTTCTTGATATGCTTAGACACCCACCAATTATTTTCCTTCTCAAAGTAGCAAATGGAGATGAGCCTAGCTCCTGAGCCAACTGCAAACTTGTTTTCCATTGGAGACCACTTTACACAAGTAGCAGCTCGGTTGATACGAAGCAGAACCAATGTAGTATTCCATTTGCCATCCTCATCTTGAGTCCACACATAAGCATTACGATCAACGGAACAGGTAACGATACGGTTAGTATTGGGAGCCCAATCAATGCCCATCACTTTCAGGTCATGCTCCACAAGGTTGTTGGTCTGCTTCCAATCGTTGCCTTCCTTCTGAAAGATGTGGACTTCATTGTTGTTCGGCGAAAAGGCGATTTCTGAAATGGTATATATACTATTTAATAAAATTCAATAGTTTGGAACGGTAGGTGTTTGTTGGTCAATCACGCAAGAGCGGCTTATTGAATATGGAGGAAATTTCAGCACAGAGATAAAGATAAGTCCCGAAAAGCACACAATAAACACTAACGTGGCTCATGAATCGTAAATTTCTTGTTATTTAGTTTATCTTGGTAACAAAACTCGTTCGGATGGTAAGTAGCAAAAGATCATGCTCGGAAAAGTTAACCTTGTTGGCAATTTTTCTGATAAATAACAAAGTAAAAAGTTTTGTTAAGTAATATAATATAGTCTGACCTTTTATTAGCCTTTACGAAACATTTCAAAAAATACAGGAACGTAATGTTTGCTGGACTATTTTAAACATACTATGATTTTTATGAAACTTAAATTCAACAATACAGAATGGGAAAAAGTGAACTTAAAGAATAGTTGCATCAGATTTATGGAATTTCCTATAATGTAAAGATGTATGAATGGAACTATTAATTATTATAATAACAATATTTATAAATAAAACAATCCAACTAATTGCAATGGGACTGTTTTGAATTTAACAGAACTTATGTAGTTATCATTTAACTGTGCAATTCCAGAAAGAGTACTAATTATAATGCAGGGTGGCACGGACCAAGTTCTTTAACAATACATTAGATTGAATATAGATTGTTGTGCGATTATCTTGTTTACATTTGAAACGGATTTCATAGGAATAGGAACGGATAGAATATGTTGTAAAGAGCTTTCTAATAGTCTAGAAAATATACAGGCCCTTCAGGGTTCTTAACACGAGTGTATTTATACAACTTAGCTAAACTTTTATTATGGAAGTAAATGGGCTATTTGAATTAGTATCAAATTAAAAGTCCATTTTTAGCCTCTGTACTCGTAACTATCTGTGCCAAACTTCAAAAAATTTTCAGCAGCTTGAGCTGTGTTCTTTTTATATTCTTGTCAATTGGCATTCAACGATTGCAGCTTTAGGGTACCTAGATTATTGAGATTTACGTAATAGAAGTTGTATACAGAGAATCGATTTAAGTCGATAAAAAATAAGGATAAGTACTCACGAGTTCTATCCTTGTTCCACGCATGACAAGTCACCGGCGCACATGAGTCACCAAAAGTAAGGGTTTGAGACATATTGACTCGAATGAAACTCTAAAACACAATATAATTGTTATTCCTTATCTTTAGTTAATATATGAACAGATAATAATATTTGAATATACAAAATATTTACCGTAAATTAAAGACAGATTGAAACGCCGTCACACCCAATCTTTTATCGGTTGATAATCGGAAATTCGTGGACTCTGGGCAGTCAACACGAATTCCTGCAAATACAAATCAGGTAGGTAGAAGTTACTCATTATTTTATAGAAAGTAAACTGTGGCAAAAATGGGTTTAAATTTAAAAAGTACCAACCTACTTTACGACAAATTCAAAGCGAAGAAGTCGAATGACAGAACGCTGACAGTGACAGGTGATGAATATGATGATAAAATTATGACAGATGACATGAGTCAGAATCCAGTGTTGTCTTGTTAAAAGGGGTAAGATATTTTTTTAATCACTGAAATATTCCTAAAAAGAAGTTGACCGACAGGAGAATAACCGTGGCACAAGCGATTTAATAAAAATTTGGACTTGTAAAGACCAAATTATTAAGGGCGGTTTATGTATGGATCTGGTTTTTAGTATTTCATTAATCGAGTCGATGCGATGTCTCCAGAGAACCACCTTACCTTTAGAAATTGTTTTAAGTATAATAGAACACAAAATTGTTTTACAAGTAAGAAAATAGGATTAATTTTTCATACTTTTGAATGTTTAAATTAACAAAATATATGAATATAAATAATTTGTCTTTATTATATACACATTTGTTTAAAAATTAGGCAAAACTTAAAGTATTACTTTATCTGCCTTAACTTAATTTAATTACAAATGATTTTGATGTACGTTGCTGCTAACCTAGTATACACATTAAATAACATATTTATGGTATTTTTGGCAATTGTGATTAATACAACCTTTTATATTTTTTTTAGAATATAGTAAATTATTTACTAAATTGCACTTTTTTCAAGTATTAGTCTTGAAACTTGATAGAACGAAATCACCCGATATTTGCATTATCGACTTTCTAACGACTTTGATATTTATAATGGCAATACTGTAACAGAGAGTTTACTTAATTTGCACAGAGTACATTGTAATATACTGAAAACTTAATTTGTTTTGTGGTGTTGTGAGTTTGTGACTGAAGCAACTTTATAGTAAACTATAAAGTTATAAACTGTAAAAAACCCATAAATATATATAAGATACAGAATATTTTTATAAGCTCTATCTAAATTCTCCTTCAGTATGTCGGGTAAGTGTTTATTTTTGTGGTTCATACAACAAATACACATATCTTCACGCCTTATTCCGGTCCGAGATAGGCAAAGACGATAAAATGCCATTTGCCACTATCCTGGTTTTCAATTTTATTTTCAACATTCATCAAACATAAAATGTAATAAAAATGTATAGGTAACGATCCGAATATAAGAATCGTTTATTTATAATTTAGTCTTATTTCAGGCCGATATCACCACCGTGGAAATCGTAACAAGAATTCAAATCAAACTTTGTCATCCGTCGCACGGGAGACCGCAATATCTTTACCGGCTGATAGCCCTGTACTGGCCATCTTCAGAGCTGCTGCATTAAAACTAAATGATCGCCAGGACAGACACGAAAGACTTGTCAAATTATCGCGAGATATTACTATCGAGAGTAAACGGATAATATTCTTATTACATTCAGCTATAACGTGAGGACCTTTCACTTGCTTGTATAGTATGTATGTAAATAATCTCTAGACCAATTTATGTTGTTTATTAAAAGAATCTAACCATTTTTTTTAGGATTTTTTCCGTAAAATGTTCTAACAAAGAAAGCACACAGGCAGCCTAAGCTGCCTGTGTGCTTTCTTTGTTAGAACATTTCATTTACAACATTTACAACAGGATTAGTCCTGTGCTTAGTATTCCTGACTAAACCAGACCAATCAGAAAAAAATGTTGTATGAGCATAATCATTTATTTAACAGCCATCTGGTTGCCATCCTAGTTTAATAAACACATTCTTAAATTTCTTTCTTCCATTCATATTTTCTGAGTTTGATTACCTTAAGAAGTCTTAATTCTAGTTTACTAATTCTATATAATTTTGCTACATTGTCTTGACATGTGGGCAAACTGTATGTTAAAGAACCCTTCAAATTGCTTTACCTTTTTTATGTATATCTTATACATAAATAAAATTGTTACCTCACAAAACGTTACCTCATAAAGTACATGAAGTTTAAAATAAAATAAATAAATATTTTTGAGGGAGGTCACAAGGTAGTTATTGATTACTGCTGCCCTAAAACACCTACAACTGAAGAGACAAGTACTTGCCACCCTCTGAATATCATCCCAAACTAGTCTATTCAGACCATCATTCCGAGTCAAAAGTCACTGGAATTTTGCTGATGTTTTATAAATTTATATCGGATACAGCCAAAAACTGCAATGTAATTAATGGGGGCGACCCCCGCTTTATTTATTCTGAAGGACGGTTCGCTTTGATTTTAGGGTTCCGTACCTCAATAGGTAAAAAAGGAACCCTTATAAGATCACTTTCTTGTCCGTCTGTCTGTGTGTCACCACCGATTTTCTTAGAAACAGGTAGACCTAGCAAGTTGAAATTTATACCAAATACTGAGGTCTATGGTCCCTATTATAATAATAATAATAAAGCCTTTATTTCCGAAATAATTTCATGTTACATATTTTCGTGTCTTAGTAAAAAATTGAAATAAAAGTATTTAAAAAGAGTTTATAAAAGAAAGTAAAACTTATAAACTAAAACTACACTTTCATTATAAGATGTCTCTTGGTTCGGTTTGCCTTACGGCAAAGGCCTCCTCCAAGTCTCTCCATTGCATTCTGTCTGCCGCTACTCTCATCCAAAGTGGTCCTAAGGTCATTTTTAGGTCATCCTCCCATCTTATTGCTTTACGACCTCGGCTCCTAGTGCCATCCCTTGGGTACCAGACTGTCACCTGTTTGCTCCACTTTTCCTTCTTGCATCGGAGCATATGTCCAGTCCATCTCCATTTGAGTTGATCAATACGTGATAGTATGTCAGTTAGTTTTGTTTGGCGCCTGATGTCTTTGCTTGTAACTTTGTCTATTAGTTTCAAACCTAGCATACTTCTTTCCATGCTTCTCTGACATCTTGCTAATTTGTCCCTATGACGTTTCGTCAAAGCCCAGGTTTCACAGCCGTATGTAATGCATGGTAGGATACAGGTGTCAAAAGTCTTCTTCTTGATCTTCATGCCCAGTTCTTTGCTTTTCATGATTTCTTTCAATGCCCAATACTTTTTCCACCCAGTCGCAATTCTTTTGTCTATTTCTTTGGACATTTGGTCTGTTATCGATATTATCTGGCCTAGATACACGTATTCCTCTACATATTCAAGTTTCTGTCCGTTTATGGTTATGTCTATAGGTATTGAGTTGGTCATCATTTTAGTTTTGCTTGTGTTAGTTTCTAGTCCTACTTCTCTGCTTCTATCTACTAGGGTTTGTATCATGGATTGCAGTGTCAGTGGGTCCTCTTCCAATATAACCAGGTCGTCTGCAAATCTTAGATGATTTAATCGTGCTCCGTTTATGTTTAGCCCCAGATGTCCCCATTCCATTTTTCTGAACATTTGTTCAAGCACTGCTGAAAAGAGCTTTGGTGAGAGTGGGTCACCTTGTCTGACGCCCCTATTAATCGGAAAAACATCCCCTGTAGATTCTAGCCTGATTCTAGCTTTGCTTTCACAGTAAATATTTCTGATGATATTAATGTAGGCGTTTTGAATCCCCTGCTCTTTAAGACTTTGCCACACAGATTCATGTTTAAGGCTATCGAAAGCCTTGGAATAATCTATAAAGGCCAGGTAAATGGTTTTGTTATATTCATTGTACTTTTGTATGAGCTGTTTGATTGCATGTATATGATCAATTGTATTGAAGTCTTTTCTAAACCCTGCCTGTTCCACAGGTTGATTTTCGTCAAGTGTGACTGATATTCTGTCCAGAATCACTTTAGCGAAAACTTTATATACATTTGAAATGAGAGAAATGGGTCTATAGTTTCCTATGTCGTCTTTTGGACCTTTCTTGTGTAGAAGTATTATATGAGATTCTGCCCATTGGGTTGGAATGCTGCCGGTATATAGACTCTCGTTGAAGAGCTTTGTTAGTATTGGGCTTAGGTCTTTAATTGTCCCTCTCATGAGTTCGTTTGTGATTTTATCTGGACCGGAGGCTTTTTCCATTTTTTGACTTTTTATAGATTTTTCCACTTCCGATACTAATATTTCAGGTATAACTTCTGCGTCCTCCATCATACAGTTTTGTGTACTATTAGATTCTCTATCCGGCAATTGTATTTTTGGCTGATTTGCACTGTGTTCTTTGTACAGTAAGCGGTAGTAGTTTGTTGCTATATTTTGGATTTTCCTGCGAGAAGTGGATGACATATTTTTATCTGTTAACTTTGGTATCCATTCTTTTCCCTGTTCTCGGAGTTCCTTGAGCGCTTTCCTCGTGCCCCCCGTTCTGCTAATGTGATTCTCTAGGGTTTGGATCCTTCTATATTTCCTGTCCTTCCTCATGCTTTCGCGAATCTGTTTACTAAGGTTGTTGATTTCTTTTTGGTTTTCTTTCTTATCCTTTTCCATTTTTAGATTTCTTCTGTCTTCAATTAGTTTTAAAGTTTTTTCGCTATGATGGGACTTTAGACTTTTGTTTATTTGTATTCTTGCCTGTTCCCTGAGTTTGTTTTCTATTATTTTATATTTTTTGTTTAGGTCCATGTCTGAGGTAACTACTTCCATTAGGTCTTCTGTGGTATCGTTTGGGTTACTCTTTTCTCTAATTGCTTGTAAGAAGTTCATTTGAATTGCTTTTGGTCTTGGTTTTTTTGTTGCATTTTCATTTAGACAGCTGCGTACCATACGATGATTTGTATTGAAGTTTAGGTTTTGTACTATTCCCGTATCACTAAAACACCTAACTTTATTGGTTATTATGTAATCAATTTCGTTTCTGGTCTTTCCATCTGGAGATATCCAAGTCCATTTGTTTTTGGGCTTTTTGCGGAACATGAAATTTAGAAGTGTTAAGTTTTTCTCAAGCAGGAATTCTACCAACATCTCTCCGTTTTTGCTTCTCTTCCCACTTCCGTATTTCCCTATTATATGTTCTTCCCCAGCTAGTTTAGCACCGACTTGAGCATTGAAATCACCCATGACTACTATATTGTTTGCCGAATATTTTTCAGTAACTTCACTTAGTTTATAGTAGAAATTGTCAATGTCCTTTTTTGATGCTTTTTCTGTCGGCGAGTAGACTTGGATTACTGTCCATTTTTTCGTAGGATTTTGTAAATTTATATGAATCGCGGCTATTCTATCTGATATCCCTTCAAATCCAATGATCTGGCTTTTGAGGTTTAGCTTTACCAAAAATCCTACTCCTCTTTGACCGGCGATTTCGCCTTTGTGATACATGATAAAGTTGCTTCTCTCTTCTATCCCTTCCCCCAACCTTCGCATCTCGCTTATGCCCAAAATGTCCCACTTGATGCTTTTAATAGCTAATTCTAACTCTTGCAAGCTTTCCGGTGTTCTCAAGGTTCGTGTGTTTAGCGTACATAGGTATAGACTATTTCCTTTTTGTATCGTTTTTTTAGTACTGGATTCAGTTGGCTGATTTGTTGGAGGGTGGTGGTCGACTTCCCCCACGGTGACCGGCCGGCTTGGGGGGCGATTTATTAAAGTTTTTCTTGCTATGCTATGTGTTGTTGTGTCTATATTTTGGTTCCGGTTGGAGAGGGCCTTTACTTGTTTTTTGGCAGCTCTGACGTCGAGGCAGATCTTTCTCGTGCTACATATGAAAGGATGCTTGGTTTGATTACTTCCCTTGTTGCACTTTGGGATGTCTTTCCATTTGCAGTATTTTTCATGCTTAGTTTTTTCTGTGATGGAATGGTCCCTATTAGGTGTATAAAAATCAAGGTCCTGAATCAACACGATAAAAAGATATGGGCAAATTTCGAACTTATAAGTACCAAAATTTATCTTAATTTTCAAGTTTTTGTTTTTCAGAATTTTCTCTTTACTTGTGCTGTAAGGCCTTACTTTTAACCAAAATTTACAATTCTAGGTCAACCGGAAGTACCCTTTAGGTATTGGGTCGAAAACTTATATGGTAGTTCCCGTTGACCTAGAATCACGAAATTTGGCAGAAAGAACGTCTTACAGCACAAATAAAGGAATAATTCCAAAAAATAAAATTAAGATATATTTTGGTACCTACTTACAAATTTTCGCGAAAATATACGTAAAATCTGGGTAGATACGGAACCCTCGGCGCACGAGTTCGACTCGTACCTGACCGGTTTTATATATAATACAACGTTTGTGAAACCACAGTGGTTTAAAAGCCACGTGTAGGATCAATAATCAATCGTTATTCGGTAAAATGTTCTGTTTACTCATAGTGATATCATTTTTAACAAAAAAAATTGGAAGGTATGCAAAAGATGCATTTTCTGGCAGAATATCCAATGATTTTCTACTTAGAATGATGGTCTGAATACATTATTCCAGTATTTGTTACACCATTCCTCATACCCTGTATATTTCAGTAAAGAGTCACAGGAGAAAACATTAAAGGAGGCTGATGAACGATTCCAAAAGCTCATTAAAGGCCCTATTAGAAGCATCGGATTAGAACTGGAGAACAGCCCTGCATACTTACACTCCAGGGCTGTAACAGCTGGCTTTCAGGAGTATATTGAAGCTAGAACTTTATACTCATTGATGGCTACAAAGCAAATCATAACATTCCCGGAGGTTGTGAAGGAATTCTCCTATACAATACAAAGTGAAGATGGGGAAGAGAGGACTGTTGTTACGATGCTACCAGAGATTGACTACATGTTAGGATTAACTGACTTGACGGGAGAACTGATGAGGAAGGCAATAAACAGTATATCCAGTGGAGATAGCGATGAATGTTTCCAAGCTTGTCAAGTTGTGAGGGATATGTATACTGGCTTTCTAGGTAAGCATTATAACTGTATCACTATTGTTGTCTATAGGTTCTTTTGGGCATCCGAGGTGACAGGTCACTTAGAGGTAAGTGACTTTGTTTTGTTTGGAAACCCCTTGAGCTGTCACCCCACCGGATGGAACCGGACCCACTAAAAGCACACTGTGTGCCACTTTGCGCCTGAAATAGGAGGGATCCAGGAACAGCTGTTGTTAAGATATCTGGACCCCTTCTGGTTATATCCAGACACCTACAGTCACGAGAGAAGTGTGGCTTGTTGGTCTTTGCGGTGCATCTTCGCCCCCAAAATTAGTATCATCATCATCAGCCTATCGCAATCCACTGCTGGACATAGGTCTCTCCCATTTCACGCCACTGAGATCGATTTTGGGCTTAGTTACTGCCATAAATACCGAGCCCTCTAACCTTAACGCTGATAGTAATTTTTTGGATATTATTACAGGTATAACAGGGAACCGCCTACTAGGCAAGAAACTGAGCGTTACTCGTGCAAATGTTGCAAAAGTAGAGATGGCGGTTTATGCACTAAGAGTGCGCGGTGGTGAAGCTCCACCTACACTTTTGTTGCCTGCTGCACCTTCGGAATGGGAGGGACCAACTTCTACAGGAAACTTTTCTGATGATGAAGGATATTACTAAAGAATTTTGTTTATAGTTAAATATTTTAATTAAAAATGAGACACCATTTATAGTTTTCTTTAGTATTGTTGCGCTAATAAGAAGCCGATGCCTGCGGCTATAAAGCTCCTTACTGGAATATAGCGTGGTTTTAGTCAGCTACATTCCAACTTAAATTTTGAGCCATAGAGAATGTGTTGTGCCCTAGATAGTGAGAGTTGCCACTTTTGAAACCTATGTTCCACAGTTTAACAGAAACTTGTTTTTAAAATGTTAATTGCATGGTTCTGAATTAGACGAACTGTTTAAAATGTGTCTGTATTGATAGTTGATGGCCCGGTTCTAGTGGCTTCTCCAATCACTGGACGCACAAAGGGGCATGTGTCCCCAGCTTCTTTAAGCTATTGGTCCCGTACCTTATCTGAAACTCACTCGTTTTCCTGACACATTTATGACAATTTTTGCATTTCCAAGGAAGGTTTTCGTCGGGCAAATGAGTGGCCTTTAAAAATAACAGTCAAAATCCTTTGTAGTGTTACATAACCATGAATAAAATTACGTAACGGGCAGGAATATGATGAAATGAAATAGAAAAATAATAATAAAAATAACATTTATTGAACAGATCTAGAACTTTTGTGAGAATCCTTCGCTGTTTGTGATATCACTGGAAGGCTGCCATTCATCTGACTCGTCTGTTTTATAAGGGTCCTCGTCTTCATCAGACTGCGTATCGATCCACGTGTCTCTTTGCACAGTCTTTCGAACCCTCTTTCCTGTCACTATCAAGTCAGTTCCTGGCGAATCTTCACTATCTTCGTCACTTTCAGAAGAGTTTCTATTTCTCCTACGCTTTACTCTTGAAGAATCTTCATTATCATCACTGGCAGAAGTTCTGTTTCGGTTCCTTCTTTGACCTGGTCAAATTAATCTTACTTTAAAAACATAACATTTAAAATAAGTGTCGGTAACCATGATTTCATATATGTACAAAATCTATTTAGAATTCGTAATCGTAATCGACACTATCGCCATCAGAGTCTTCGACTTGAAAGTGATCGTCGTAAAAATTAACAGAATGTGCGTTTATGTAGAATACATTGCCGTGACGTTGGACTACTTGCATACCTGTTGGACAAATATTTACGTTAATATCCATGATTTGTTAGATGAGAAATAAACCTAACAGTAAAATGAAATAGTTTATTTTTTAGTATTGGTACACAAATATTCGTCCCGTGGGTGTCGTAAAAGCCGACTAAGGGAGCAAACTACGCAGAACAACAGCACTGCAAAGAGAAGGAAAACTTGACAAACCCTATGCCAACCCGTCTGGCCAGCGTGGTATAGTAGGCCAAAACCTCATTTCTAGGGAGAGGCCTATGTCCAGTAGTGGACTATTATAGACCGTTGATGGTACACAAATAGAATTGAGAATGACAAAAAAAATTTCAAGACGCGCGCGTGCTCACATGAGCGCTGAACATTTGCCCGAGCGTCAAGCGAATACAGCTGATATGTGTTAATATTTGACAAGCATTGTGTTGTAATGTTTTAGTTATGTATGTATCTGTTATGAAATTATAGATTCATTAACATGATGGAGCATAAATATTACTAATAAGAAAAAATAAAATCGTTGGGATCGTGTTTTTCCTGGTTCATGATCAAAGGTATCATTAGTTCTTTCGTCTGTCTTCGTATCCGGGAGCGGTACCCTAATACCCAGTGTATAAACGTTAAGTGGGCAGGTTAAACACCAGGAATAATGAATGTTATTTATAATTCAGTAGATGGTAATAAGTGCGCAAAATGATATGATAAAAAATATTTAATGTAGGGTTAAAAACATCCTGACCTGGTCTTCTGACGGTGGGGTCGGGTGGGTTGACACCGGGCGGGTGCTCATGCGCCTGCCAGTGGCGCGGGTCATTCTTGCGACACGCGCTCCCGTACGGACACACGCCGCGCTCGCCCGTCCCCCAGTCACTGTCCGACGGGTGGCTGAACTGGGCCTTATGTTGCGGGTTGCGTCTGGTGCAAATAGTTCAGTAAATCATGTTCAGTATGCGAAAAAGGGCAACTGTAGTACATTGAAGAACTTTAAAAAAACTGCAGTGAACTGTATTCAGTCCTTAATTTTCTGGAGTGGAACTTTCTCTTCAGATTTGAATGGGACTAAATAGGAAGCTCTCAAATAAAAGAATAATTTTGCAGATCAGTTCATTTGATTTGTTTTCAAGATAAGCTATGGTAATTTCTAGTTCTCATTGTAATTGAGTGGCCAAAAGAAACCTCACCAATGATTATATTGCTGATGTCAAAGCAGTCTGTACTAAGACACATTTTTCTTTGTTGGAGATGTTAACGAAATCTGGATTTCGAGGGTCGCATTAATACACAGTGAAGACTTTCTTTCTTATTTCTTTTAAAAAAGTAATAGAAAGAAAAGCACTACGAATAAATCCTGTGTCTCGGGGGACTTTACAAACATACATTAAACGGACACAAAGAACACCCAGACTGAGAACAACAATTCGTGGATTTGTTCCATGTGGGGATCGAACCCATACCACCCAGCGCAGTAGGAAGCGGCGAGGTGATCGCTTAAACCACTACGCCATCCGTGGATAGATTAAAAAGTTTTTTTGCAGATAAAGCCTAATAAAATTTAAAAAGTGGAAAACATGAAAAAATATAGTACCCTTGAAGTTTCTTGTCTATTCTTTTCAACAGTATTATTGGTATTAATTGTGGGCTCCGGTTTCCACATTAAGACTCAAGATGGTCCTTTATGCGTCGAGGACAGGTTCGCTAAATGAGCCAACCAAGCTCCTTACAGAAGCGCAGAAGTCTCCTGGGGCGTTCACAGGAGCGATTTTGTATCAGAAATGATACTTGCCCATTGTGTGTCCACACCCTCGCATTCCAGGATTACGTGGGCGGCCGTTTCTTTTGCATTCAGACATCCTCTGCAAAGAGGACTGTCCGTCGCTTTAATGGTGAATATTTGTCGGTTCAGGACTAGGTGTCCTGTTTTGGTTCCTACAACTATTCGGATATCTAGTCTACTAAGACTGATCAGTCTGCAAGTAAGCAGTGGTGAGACTTCAGTCAGTACCAGTTTGGACTGTCTGCAGCCGGCTGAGTTTTTCCACCTTCGGTTGTGCGCTTCACGAGTACGCTGTCTAACAGGATCGAAGTCGGTTAAAAGGCAGTGGCAGCAGTATAGTTGGACCGGTGGCCGGGTTTGCCAAGCCCCTCCTTGCCAACTCATCTGCGGCGTCATTCCCGTGTGTATTATTATGCCCTTTAATTCCTTGGAGTAGTACCACATTTACTGTGGCAAGCTGCTCCAATGCTTGATGGCATTCGAAGACAATAGTGTCTAGTGTCTTTAGGAGGGCTATGCTGTCTGACAGTATTGTCCTTAATGCCCCTTGACATGGCCGTTGTCCCCTTGCATATTAAATTGCATTGCATTTGAATTATAAAAAAGTTTAATTTGTTGCAATAACTCTGCCTGTCAACATTTTGCATAGTGTGGATATTACTATTTTTTTCTTAATTAGGTAAATTACTTACCTATAACAACGACCTCCATACATACACCTTTCCCGGTTAGGTGCTGGTGGTTGTGGAGGAGAAACAGGCTTATCTATATTAGGTTTTTGATCTTTGCTATCTGGGTCTGCAGCCTAAAAGAGAAAATTAAAATGCTAGTAGGATTAATCCCTCACAGTTATTGAAATATGCCAATTAAATGATACCACAATCCATACTAAAATTATAAATGCGATTGTGTGTCTGTCTATTACCTCTTCACGCTAAAACCGTTGAACCGATTTAAATGAATTTTTGATGAAAAGGGGGGAAGTTTTTAGAATTTGCTATGGAGTTAGTTTGATTCTTATCTTATGAATTACATAGACAACTTATTACCGCGATACCCGACATACAAGCGAGCGGTACGCGACATACAAAACAGAGTAACGTTTTAGTAACAGTTTTATTTGGTTTAGGACAAATGTCCGTGTGGTGACGGATTAAGAATACAGAGTGTCACCACCCCTATTCATCCCGTGGGTGTCGTAAGAGGCGACTAAGGAAGCAAACTACGCAGGACAACAGCACTGCAGAGAGAAGGAAAACTTGAAATAAACCCTATACCAACCCGTCTGGCCAGCGTGGTATAGTAGGCCAAAACCTCCTTTCTAAGGAGAGGCCTATGTCCAGCAGTGGACTAGTAAAGGCTGTTGATGTGATGATGATGATGTGAAATGGGCCGGCTTGATACCACTTCCTCTCAGAAAACTGGTGTTAAGTAATTAATTTGTTCACCGTTCACCGGAGCCCAAAGCTCCCCCGCCAGGAGGGTGACTCAAAAAGGATGGCAACGCACTTGTTACCTTTGAGTATCAGGTGTTTACCATCTGGTCTGTTCGTTTGCCCCTGCGAACTAAAAAAAACGCCAGATAATTAGTGTCATACTAACTAGTCATGAGTATGGTATGGTGATGGTGGTATATAAAACATACTATAATAATTGTCACAGACTGTCAAAAATTGATGAATGACGGGCCTGTCGGTCCAGTATATTAAGTATATTTATCAGCAGCCTGGTTATTTAGGTCAGGCTCTGTCTAGTTTGGAATCAGACTGCCGTGTGTGAGATGTGAAAAAAAAATTAGAAAATGTAGTAGGCTATCTGATGAACTCCAGGGGCTAAACTATTCTTCAGTACAATACTTTTAATAAAACCTTTTTTTTTTTTTTTACGTGTGGAAATCCCCTCGGACCGTCACCCCTCCGGGGTTTGCGGCGGACTTGCGGGGTTTGTGGTGTGTCGGACTCGGACCGACTAAAACCACACGGTGTGCCACTCTGCGCCTGTAACAGGAGGGATCCGGGAACAGCTGTTGTTAAGACATCCGGACCCCTCCTAGCGCCAGCCCGCTCCTGGTGCGGGCTCCGTCTCAATATATTTTCGTCTCTTTAGGCGACGTCCGGCACACGCGGACGCCGCCCCCTCGCGGCTGGCCAAACTAATGCGGGTGGAGGGGAAACCCACCCCGTCCACCCGCGGCCACACTCAGGGCGGCATGAGGCTGTGATAGGCGGGCCTCCGCCGCCCGGTTCGCCGGCGGCGGATCGGGTCCGAGTGGAGGTCGTCCTCCCGGGCCCTCTCCGCTGCCTCCTTCCGCGAGATTACTACCTCGCAGAAGGTTGCGACCGCGGTAAAACAACTGTCGCTACCGGCCATGGAGCGCACTACGGCCGGTAGCGAGAGATCCACTCCGATGACTGCAGTGAGGGCCCGGCGCTGCGCCGCCCATGCGGGGCAGACCGCCAGCGTGTGCTGGGCCGAGTCCTCACTGCAGTCGCAGTGGTGGCAGGCGGGACTCAGTTCCCTCCTAGCGACCGAGTGCAGGTACTTTCCGAAGCAACCGTGCCCGGAAGGCACCTGCGTCAGCCGGAAGGAAAGCCCACTCGGCGATGACCGGCTGGAGAGCCTCCACGGCGGCGAAGCCAGCGTGGAGTCTCTAGCCGGAACGACCAACGAGCCATCGTGGCTCGGCGAGCGGCTTCGCGCCACTCGCGCACATCCTCGGGCGGAGGGCGAAATCCGCTCTCCGCCCGGGAGTCAGCCACTCGCCGATAAACTTCGGCGAGCACTTCCGCCTCCAAATCCCACGGGGGAGTTCCGGCCAACGCGCATGCCACCTCCGTCGAAACGGTGCGGTAACCGCGTATGGCTCTGACCGCCATTACCCTCCGAGGGCGCCAGAGGCGTGCCCTATTCTGGGCGGTCAGAGCCGCCGCCCACACCGGTGCACCGTACAGTGCCATTGACCGGACAACCCCCGTGTACAGCCGTCTTGTCGCGACGCTGGGTCCACCCATATTGGGCAAAAGTCGCCCTAGGGCAGACGCAGCGCCGACCAGCTTTGGAGCAAGCTGTCGGAAGTGCTCGTCGAAGAGCCACCTCCCGTCGAGGATCAGGCCACTTTTAATAAAACCTACAGTAACCCAAACCACCCAACGTACCAAAAAACGTACAGTAAATCTATAGAAATAATAGATCAAAACGCAAGAGGCCTGCGAACATAATTACATGAGTTTTATATTGCCGTTGAAGTTTCAAATGCAGTTATGTACGCAATCACATAAACAGGTTTGAATGATTCTGAACACGACGCAGAGTTTATTCCACACGGATACATTTTTTTTAAAGAACATTAGGAATATATCCTGTGTCGCGCGGAGGACTTTACAAACATACATGGACACAAAGAACACCCAGACTGAGAACAACAATTCGTGGATCACACAAAGCGTTGTTCCATGTTGGGATCGAACCCACAACACCCAGAGCAGTATTAAGCGGTGAGGTGACCGCTTAAAACACTACGCCATACCTGCATAGACTAAAAAGTTTTTTTTAGATAAAGCCTAATAATATTTAAAAAGTGGGAAATATGAACAAAATATAGTACCCTTGAAGTTTCTTGTCTATTCTTTTCAACAGTTACAATTCCGTATAATATCCGTTGCTTCCTCGCATAGATTTAGCGTATTTTTTTTTATTTTTTTAAAAAGACAACTCCCGCATTAGGAATATATATATCCTGTGTCGTGGGGGACTTTACAAACATACATGAAACGGACATAAAGAACACCCAGACTCAGAACAACAATTTGTTGATCACACAAAGTGTCGTCGCATGTGGGGTTTGAACCCACAACACTCGGCGTAGTAGGAAGGGGCGTGGCGACCGCTTAAACCACTCCGCCATCCGTGCAGTCATTTTTGGATTGGATTTTTCTGTAATTCATCTTGAACACGATGTCGGTACTGTTTATGCGCATATGCGATAGCCCACAACCAATACTAATACTGTATTGGTTGTGGGCTCCGGTTCTCGCATTTAGACTCAAGATGGTCCTTTATGCGTCGAGGACAGGTTATATAAAAAAAGGTCGTATAAAAAGAGTGGCTTACATTGTGATTACGAAACGTTCCCCCAGTGCAGAGCTAACGTAAAAAAAAGTATCGCATATGCGCATAAACAGTTGCCACGCCCATAACGAGTAGTTGTAGTATTAAAGTAAACGGGTTAGTTTGTGCTGTCTGTGGTGTTGTTAGGAAGTATACGAGTATGAGTGCGGTTGTTAAAATTCTTAATGTACTAGGTATTATTTATTACTATACATGTTTTTAGCAACGAATGGCTACACTATTGTATTAGGTACAAAACCTGTAAAAATAGTTGTATTGTATGTCATAAATAAATTAAAAAGAACATTCTATAGCTTAATTTGATCCATTACAAACCTGATCATTGCTAGGCCCAGGTTGAGCATCCTGCACATTTTGCGTCGGTGGTTCTGTTTTTATTTTCTTAACATCAACTGGATTGGAATCAGGTGTATCATTTGCCCTCTTATTTGCAGAACCAGAAGCCGTCGCAGGATCATATGTTACGGTATTTTCTCCATTTGTCTCATTTGATTCTTCTTGATCTGTAACGAAGACATACATATTTATCTAGTACTAGCGATTCGCCCCGGCTTCGCACGGGTGCAATGTAGATACTACTTATGTGGTGTTAGTGCGGAGTAATTAATTGTAATAATAATATGATAGGACTATTAATAATACTTTTACAGTACATCTTTATATGCAATATTTATAGGCCCGCTCGTATTCTGCCGACCGCTGCCACGCGGGACAGACGTACGGGGCCTCAATTCTGCTATTTTATGTTAACGCCAAGCCACTGTCATTCTATTGACACGCTATTGAGATGCAACTGACATCGGTCAAAATATCGGTATTCTACTAACATAAATTCACAGTGTCAATAGACTGTCGATATAGTAATATAGGTCATCAACGGTGATATCAAAAACATTGCCCTATCATGTAAATTAATTATATCAATTTCTTACAAATTTAAAATGTATGGTTTACCAAACTATTATAAAGACATCGACGACATTGGTATCAGTGACAAGTCATTGAGAGGCCATTGGTCTTACATAGTTAGTAGAATAAGAAAAGTGCAAAACTATTCCGACGACATTTCATCCACAGTCTATTGAGGTCTACGTATTTTAAACCTCTAATATCTTCTAAAATAATCATATGATATGCTGTAAAGTGCAATTTTATCCTACATTAAATGCACAACGTATCTAACGTATTTAATTGGATAAAGAATAATGTATCCTTTAAAATAGCTTCGTAAATAACCCATTATTTTTTTGTTATATTTAAAAGATGAAAATGTTTACTGTGAGTTATCTTTAGAAGATAGACATATACCATCAAGACTTTTTTTTGAAGATCTTTTTGAGATATACAATTTCGTAGTACATTATTTTGGTCTATATAGTAAGGTTTAGCTAACGTTTGAAATATAAGCACACAAAACATGTTTTCCAAGACAAATCTTTGTAATTATTGGCTTTTCTATAAAATAATATATATGTATTATACATATAAACCGTCCTGTTGAATCACTCTCTCTATTGGTCAAAACTGCATTTCAATCCGTTGCTTAGTTTGAAAGATCTAAGCGTACAACAGAAAAAAGCGAACTTATTTTATACTACGTAAAGATATGCTTTATATAAAACCTATTTAATTCTTAACTTTTTTATTATGTATTTAATTATACACCAACAGTATTAACATTTGAGATTTAATAAAAAAGAGAACATGCTTGATTTCTATGGGACAAAGTACACACAGTATACATCAATAAGTTGATAAATGTTAATTAATTTATTAATTTAAATTATTAGGCACTTATGTACATTGGCAGACCTAATGCCTTGGGCATTCTCTACCAGCCAACCTTTGGGTGGTGTAAAAATCGTGTAAGGTAGGTGCACCAAGGTTACAATTGTAATCAATGGTTATAAATATATTTTACATCAAGTATATAATATGTTAATAAAAAAAAAACATAAACCATTTTTTTTCATTAACCATAATAAATAACAATATAAGATGGAAGATTTTAAAATACTATTTCAATACTTTTGTTAAAACTACAAAAAATAGAGTTATACATTAAAATCACATTAAACCATGAGAGTTTGTACCTAAACATAACATGTTAGTTCTTTATCTAATATTGTTTGTATGTCAGGTCATGATTAATATTAATCTTATCAGAAAATCTTAAAGAAACAATGTTGTCAGGGTGTAAGGATGTGTGTGAGGCTCCCCTTAAACTCAACAGAGAAGTAAAAAAACAAAGAAACTTACTTAATAATGATGGAGATGCTGTTCTATTGGAATCTTCCTGTGCTTCACTCATTTGGAAGTTAATGGCTTCATCTTCTGAACTTAGGTTAGATGTCACCTTATTCTCATCTTTACTACTTTCATTTGTACACGCTGCAGTATTTTGAGGAATATCTAGTTCAGAACAATGGATTACTTCATACCAGAAGGTATCTGGTATTAGGCCAAATTTATCACCATTACTCAGAGAAATTATATTATTTTGTTGCAATATTTCAGTTTCAACAATATTGCTCTTGGTGTAGAAACAGGGGTTCCGGTGCAACTGTAAAATAATGTTTGATTTTAACGTTAATTTCATATTGAAAGAGATGACTTTGAATCTTAGATGTTAGTGGTATTCCAACAATACCACTAGTATCTCAATTCAACATCATCGAGAATTCAACATAATGTTTTTTTCTATATTTCAAAACATGTGTATATATACCAATATATAGTGTACTTACCGCTTTTAATGTCACTGAATCGTCTGTTACTTCTAGTTCTGCATGGTTTCTGGATACTCTTTTATCGTTATCATCATTCTATAATTATAAAGACATAACATGAGTCATGTGCTGCTCGAATAGGTACTTGATTGAAATTATAATGATAGACGTCTCTTAAGTTCCTATCCCAATTATGTATTTATAATATATATATAAGCAAAAAAACACGGAGTTTATGTGCACAAAACATACACACTTACATGTAAAAATTTCCCTCTTCCAATTATATGTTTCCCGACATGCAGTAGTATTTTAGATGGCTCTTGCTCATCTACTCTTATCAATTTAAATACCATTTTAGATTACAGACAACATAGGTTTGGAGTAAGTTTGTTTGAGAAAGTTTACAACATTCGTGCTTTAAACGATAAAACTTTGAACAATAACAAGAGTTTGACAAGTTTCGACTTGAAGTTGGGACTTTGGCACTTGATTCTTGAGTTGAGATTGAGATCCTCAAATTGAACTCTTGACAGTTGATGTTTATACGACGTAAATATGTAACAAGTAGAGGTATTACATAGTGTCCAGGTGTCTTTAATAAATTCAATCTTGTGAAAAATAAATCACTTAATGTTTATGTCCTAATTTAATTCACTATTAAGTAATAGTAACTTATTAAAGCAACTAATTCATGAAGCGTTAGTAATAACATGACGCTTCCGAAATAACTAAACGCAATCAAGTATGTATTTATGTGTCAAAAATCTGTAAAAAATTGTGAACAATATTTTTAGTCCAGTGTTTACTGTTTAAAATAGATTGTAAATAAGAATGATGAAGTCTGTTGGTTTGGGTTCGCATAGACCACTGTCGGGTCAATTATACAAGTATACAAATGTCGTAAAAGGTTGGCAGCAGCGTTGGTTTGCCGTGGACCCTGAAACTGGTGTATTATCCTACTACCTATTTGATGGACCAGGTGACGCTGTCCCACCTGGACAGCCGGTCAGGGGTGAGGTAAATATTTCATTAAATAGATATAACGTTTTTACTAAATCTTGACGTTTATTAATATAAATTTAACTTTCAATCGGTTTTAATCACTTATTAGACATAGACACAGTTTACCAGCCTGCAAGTTTTTCTATTTTTAATATGTAGGGTAATGTAGTTTTTTTTATTATTTAACATGTTTTTTTTTTAAAAAAGCTTTTTATTTTATTTTCACTTATTCCAGGCGCAGTTGGCAGCAGCAGTTATATGTCCAAGTGATGAGGACTCCCGTACCTTCACTATTAATTGTGCTTCTGGCGATATGCTCAAACTGCGGGCTACTGATGCACGAGCGAGGCAGGAGTGGGTCAACGGCTTGAGAGCTATTGCTGAAATTCATACTAAGGTTGCTGTCCCAATAATTCCTTTTATATTCTACCACCATTCCCTACATATTATTGGTGGTTGTAGTCTCTTAAAGATCATAGTGTGATATTTCATGCCTGATATCTTTCTCAATGAGGACTCTATTTCAGCCAAAAAAGGAATAAATATTATTTAAATCTGACTGTTTTTTTTTTTTTTACTGACTTTGGCAATTAGTGCATTTAAACAAAAAAACACTAAGTAAATAACCACTTAAGGTTTATTATAGCAGAATATATTTTGTGCTTATTTTGATTACATTATAATATTTAGAATACATATAAAATCATAATAATATATAATATACATATATTTAACATATCTAAAGGATCTATTTTATTTTGCATTTTTAAGGTATTTATTGAAAATGTCCACTGCTGGACATAGGCCTCTCCTTAGAAAGGAGGCTGTTGATGATGATGATTGAAAATGTAAAATTGTTGTTATTTAATTTATGTTCTAATTCTATTTATCCAAATCTAATCTAAAATAACAAATCAATTCCTGCAACTTTCTCTTGCCAAATCAATTAATTTCAACAAGTTATCTGGTATTTTTTTTCAGGCAATGGGTGCAAATCCCCCTCTTCAGCCACGAGAACAGCTTGCTGTGCATGATGCCATGGCCTCAGCTAGACAACAATTACAAGCTACAGAATTTAGGTAAGTAATGAGCTGATAAACACTCAGGCATTTTAGAACACGTTTCTTTTGCATCAACCTGATCTTACGGGATAACATGCACATCTATCTGAACAGTTGCGCATATGCTTAAACAGTTGTGATGCTGTCCAATGGGTACTTGTAGCTCATGCATTGAGAAGCTGCACAATTGATCAAACTAGAGATCACTTGAATGTCTTGTTCAAATGACCGGAATAACTTGAACTCTCATTGCATAGAGTTCTACACCATGACTGATCAAAATATATACTGGACCCCTATAGCTTAGCTTCTATAGCTATTTTTAAATGAATTTTAACTTTATAATACCTACTTATTGCTTTAAAATTTTAGCTTTCTACATTTCCTGGTAACTACTCAATAAAGAATACAAGCACATACATAGAATTTTTAAACTTATTGATATAATAAAAATGAAAATGTAGCGGAATTGCATCGTTAGGAGAAGCAGCTAGCAAAGACTAGGTTATAATTCTTGGAGATAATTTTCAGTTCTGTTCTAATGGGATAAGGTTGATATCTAATTGACATTTTATCAGTGGTCCAATATTTATCCATTCAATCTGAGTTAAACATAAGGTATAGGTTATACAGTATACATTTTTACAGTTTTACAGTACATTGTATTATTGTGTCCCAGAAAGTTATTTTATTCTAACTTTTAAACTTTCGCGTTCCATGATAAATAATATTATTTCAACGGGAATTAACGCGATCTCTTATTTAGGGTATTACATATCTCTGGTTTGCCTGACGTTTCGACCAGGTTGCACCGGCCGTGGTCACAGGCTGACTCCTGTCAGCCTGTGACCATGGCCACGCGAGCCACTGGATCGCGTTAATTCCCGTTAAAATAATATAAGTTATTTTATTATCATTTGTTTATGTATTAAAAAAAATATTTTATTTGAAATTTTGACTGTTAAGATAAATAAACAGATACACTAGGATATCTCAATAGCTGATCTTTAATTTCCAGTGATGCTGCTCTGGCAAGGTGTATAGAATCCTCAGACTCTCCATTCCCACACACAGATCCTGATTTACTTCTGTTGAAAGTAAGTTTAAAATTTTTTCATCTACAGAGTGTAAAGGTGCCGGTTCAGAACTTTAAATGGTCACAAACTGGCAGTTCTTTGAGTAATTAGACTGCACGGATGGCGTAGTGGCTTCCTACTACGCCGAGTGTTGTGGGTTCAAACCGCACATGGGACGACACTTTGTGTGATCCACAAATTGTTGTTCTGAGTCTGGGTGTTCTTTGTGTCCGTTTCATGTATGTTTCTAAAATCCCCCGCGACAGAGGTATATTCCTAATGCGGGCGTTGTAAAAAAAAATAAAAAATTAAGTAAAATAATGGGTGGCTACTATACCACACTGGCCACCCCGTATACCCAGTGTGATATAGTATGCCAAAATCTCCTTTGTGAGGAGAGGTCTATGTCCAACAGTTGACTGTTGATGATGATGATGAGTACAATAATTGTATTTCTTACAACTAAATCTGTTTTCCGTGTTGTTCATGGTCTCAGATCAATCTCACTCTTAGTATATTTCAATCAATAAGTCGAATGATTAAATTGCTATCGCATCTTATATTATTGTATTACTGACTTACTGTGCCCACCGTAACTTTGCTCGTGAATACATGCTTATAATAATATATCGCTTTAATGTACACCAGGTGTAAATATACAATAATTACTTAAATTCGGTTAGACCAGTACAAATGGCGGCCTTATCGCTCAGAGGCAATCTCTTACAGGCAACCATGGTATGTAGAGAAAACATGAAGGGGAAGAGGTATAGGGTAGTGGTTGGTTAGCGTACACCTGGTTCCCCGGCTACTGGTACCCGAGACGGCGTGCGGCGTGCGTTTTTAGTCGGTTCGAGTCCGACATAGCCACCGGTAGGTGGTATCCGAGGGGATTTCCGAACGGAAAAAAAAAGGGTAGTGGCGGGTGTGTTAGGAAATTGAATAGTGAATACATATTGCTTATGTACTTTTCGTGAAAAAACAAATGAGGGTTATTTTTTTTTTTTCAAAATCACATAAATTAAATTACATAACTACAGTAGACAGTAGATTCAAATAACTTTGTTCGACATTTAGGCCACATCAGCTGCCAGCATGCAATGTCTCCTACAGTGCCTCGGCATCCTGCACCGACAGCAACAATACGCCACCGTCAGCATCTCCAGCAAACATTCCGACACTGACCACCATTAGCTTACCGTCTACTCTTAATAGGATTGTAAATTATACAATGTGGAATAATGCTTACTATAAAATAAAAAAATGAGGTTCTACGACGTCACGACGGCCAGGCCCTTTAATACAGGTCCCCGTGGAGTCCGAAACTATAGTCAGAGCCATAGGTAAAGCCGCAATAAAGCGGTTTATCTATAGTCGAGCATCCTCGAGACATACAAAATATCTATTTTATTTACGCCTAAAAGGCAATTCTTTATAAGCGACAAAATTTGTTTTATAAAACATTCGAATAGTTAAATCTACGTCAGAGCCATGCTACACCGGAATGAATGATTATATATATATATATTATAAGTTACCAGAGCCCAAACCCTCAAGTCTCAACGGGTAAACATACCCGTCTGCTCATTACACCCTATATCAGGGATTCCCAAACTATTTTGGACAAGAGACCCCTTTTCCAAAATGAACTGATACCTCAGACCACCAAAGCTGAAGTACTTAAAATCCTATCTCTAGTTTTTTTCCTATTGATACACGTAACACAGCTAGTATCTTGAAAGTTTTAAATAAGAACTTGTGTTAATTAATAGGGGTCGATATTTACACCTCGTGGACCCCTGAAAAACCGATTTCGACGACAGAGGGTCGATATTGACCATTTCGGGAATCCCTGCCATATACCATAAACAAAACTGCGTCATTATGTATATAAAACCCAGTTTTCATATTTTTGTCGCTTAGTAATAATGATTAATAAATAGTCTGCCACTGCCGGAGTATATAAACTGCACGGATCACGGTCACCTCGCCGTTTTCTACTGCGCTGAGTGTTGTGGACTCTATCCCCACATCGGACAGCACCTTCTATGATCAAAAAATTTTTGTTCCGAGTCTGGATGTTCTTTGTGTCTGTTACATGTATGTTTGTAAAGTCCCCCGCGACACAGGATTTATTCCTAGTGCTGGATAGGTATGTATAGACAGACTATATGGTAACCCGACTGCTGATAGCAGCAGTCGGGTTACCATAGTACAGGTTCTGCCTAATTATATATCAGGTGGCCGTGTGTGGGATATCTCAATTTATTATTATTTTTAATATATCCGCCTCGAAAATTAAAGAAATATTATTTCACATTGTACTACTATATTTTGTAGCTTTAAAGGGCCAAAGTCCTTTACATATCCGAAAGTTTTCCTTCTAGCTTGTACCTATTGGTGTGGTAAATAAATTGTAAATATTCCATGTAATTATTCTAATTTTAAATATAAATATTGTACACAATTGTACATTTCTGAATTTGTAATAATTTGTTTGTTTTTTTTTATGAATGTTTTATTATCTGTTAAGGTAGACCTTGATATGTATGTTATTTTTAGAAAAACAAAATATAGCTAATAAAATTACTCAATAGATGTTATTTTTCAGTATTTTCATTTCTCTATTTATCGACAGGAAAAAAGACATATGTACAGCGCAGCATTGCTTATATGTGTATTTCAGGGATTCAATTCAATTCGTTTATCCATAATATATACACAGGTCTTATAAATCTAGAAAGAAACAACTGTGGACCCTGTCGGGCACGGCATAATTAGGAGAGAAAACAAAAATTCTTTCATCATCATGTAGTGTATATATATTAGTTTCGGGCTGTGTTGTCACCTGATACTGACGCCAAAATTCTCTTCACCTCTTAATAAGGGGCAGGAGTGTCAATAAGGTAGTGACGTGGTAGATACGTTTTTTAGAATAGAAAACTTCTAGGCGCGTTGGGCATTTTTGAACAACAAATAAAATAATGTATTCTATGGTTTGACAAGAAACACATTTATTTGAGATTGGAAAAAGCCATTAAACTCGCGACACTATTACCGTTACCGACACCTCTGTATATAAGTATCTACATATATTGGCCCCGTTTACATGAGACTTGAGTTTGGGTTGAAATACATTGATAATATACCTATGTATAATATAAACATATATTGTGTATATACGTACAAGAGATATATATTTATGTCGGAACTTTTCGAGTCGAAAAAAAAACACGTAAGTAATTGTTCAACTTTTCACTTCTGTCGGCACTCCCGGAGTGCCACTCTTTTTTCTTATGTAAAGGTAAGGAGCAGACGAATAGCCTGATGGTAAGTAACTACCGCCGCCCATGTATAGTGAACGGTCAGGAGTGCAGTCCCACCGTCATGTTCATATTCGCACGCGCCGGTTCTTTGCCTATCACTGTGTGTAATGTTTCAAGGCGCACACATTTTAACTACCTACTGCACAACACTAAATAAAGTACACCCAATTAAGTATTATGAGCGCCCTAATCAAGCATCCCAGCCCGAGCGGCGCCCCCCGCATCTCTCTATAGCCCATATCATATTATTAATAGCTACTTTTTTACTCCGAATTTTAGTTGTCATTTCTTTACTAGATCTTTATTTCAAGCCACCGGGCTTTGCTGTGTGGCGGTGTATCGGAATCAAAACCAACTAAAATCACGCACTGCGCCTTAATTTGACTGCACGGATGGCGTTCCTACTACACCGAGTGTTGTGGGTTCAAACCCCACATGGGACGACACTTTGTGTAATCCACAAATTGTTGTCTGAGTCTGGGTGTGTTCTTTGTGTCCGTTTCATGTATGTTTGTAAAGTCCCCCGCGACACAGGATATATTCCTAATGCGGGAGTTGTCTTTTTAAGAAAAAAAAAAGAATACGAGGGATCCGAGCACAGCTTTTATTAAGACCTCCAGGCCGTCCGTTACCGGGCCTGGCGGACTGGGAGAGTTCTAAGCCTCTTCAGGTCCCGCTCCACCCTCTCCTTTTCGAGCATGACTTGCTCGAAACCGGAGGTGGCGCAGTTCCACGCGCCATCGCTCCGTACATAATCCATACTTATAAATATGAAAGTGAATTTCTTTGTTTGTTGTTGTGTTGTTTGTTTTTCCATACTTATAAGTATGAAAGTGATTTTAAAAATTCTTTCACCAATGGAAAGTTAAATTATAGCGAGTAAAATAGTCTGCTTTTTACTGCGTTAACCGACATACACACGGGCGAAACCACGAGCAAAAGCTGGTATATTATAAATATGAAAGTGAGTTCTGTTACGCTTTCACGACTAAACCGCTAAACCGATTTTAAAAGTTCTTTCACCAATGGAAAGCTACATTATAACATAGGCTAGTTTTGCCCGCGACAACCGATATACTTACACGCGGGCGGAGCCGCTAGCAAGTGCTAGTATAAGATAAACTAGCGATGGATACTACTAATGTTCAGTAATAAATTATACTATGATATCATAGGACTGTACTACAGGACATCTTTACGAGTATATGCAATATTTATAGGCCCGCTCCGATCCTGCCAGCCGCTGCAGCCCGTGACGGACGTACGGCCTGAAGCAGCGATGGCGGCTTTGCTCCCGCATTTTATTCCTCTAATATATTCTAAAATATTCATGTATTCAAGCACAGTGACGACCACCACCACTACTAAAAAGACCAAAACGCAGGAGGAGGCTGCACTGGTTATGAGGGCAAAAATGGACCTCAGCCAATCCAAAAATCTAAAAACGGAGGTGAAGGAAACCCTCATAGATGTTCTGGGAAAACTCAAGAAACTGGTGGGTGACTCCGAGGCTGAACGCGAGGCCGAAAAAGCTCGGAAGGGGAGCGGGGGCCCCGGGGATGGGGTGCCGGTGAACATAAACACCGGCGCCGCGTCCGCGGTTCCCCCGGACTCCGGACCGAGCAAAATCCTCGAGGAGCACTCCCGTCTCCTCCTGGAGCACAAGGAGGGGTTGAAGGCCGTCCAGGAGGAGATGGCAAAGTGCACCCAGGCAATTGAGGATCAGCGTCGGAGTTACGCCACCGTGGCCGCCTAACTCCGCATAAATTAATGCAACCGCTGAGGCCCGCGGATAATCAGGAGACGGCGGACAAGGTCCTCAATAGAGTGAGAAGGACCGTCGACGCGAAATAGGGGTGGGTCAAGGTCGACCGGGTCCGGAAGGCCAAGGACCAGAAGGTTATAATGGGATTCGGGACTGTGGAGGACAGGAGAAAGGTAAAGGAGAGGCTGTTAAGGAAAGGAACGGGCCTCGTGGTCGAGGACGTCAAGAATAAGAACCCACTACTGGTCCTCATAGGAGTCCTGACGATAAATACTGATGAGGATGTCCTCAGGGCTCTGAGGAACCAAAACATGAACCTTTTTGACGGCCTCGACCCCGGGGAAGACCGTTTACAGGTAAAGTACCGCAGGAAGGCGAGAAATCCGCACGTGGCCCATGTTGTCCTCAGTGCGTCGCCCGCCCTCTGGGCGAGGATAACCGGTGTGGGCTCGGTCTACATCGACCTGCAGAGGGTGCGAGCAGAGGACCAGTCTCCACTGCTCCAATGTCCGCGATGCCTGGGGTTCGGCCAAGGGCGGAAATTCTGTAAAGAAGAGATGGACCTTTGCAGCCACTGCGGCGGGCCGCACCTCAAGTCTAGGAGCCCGGATGTGCTGGCGGGGCTATTGCCCTCCTGCTGAACTGTCGTCGGGCGAAGTTCGGCCGGGCCAAAAACAAATTTAGCGACAACTGTCCCGTCAGGAGTAATGGGATGGCATCGCCTGCTCATCCGTGGCGTATTGCTGAGGGCGACCCGGCGGACGCGGTGACTCAACATCCCCGAATACATGGACTGTTTTATAGGTTTATGTTTCCCAAAAACTGTATATGCTTCCTGAAAATTGAATTTAAATATTGTAAATATGTTGCTAAAAATAAGACTAAAGTTAAGGAATATATTTTAGATGATCATAGTGTGTATTCTAATATAAGCTATCTGGTAAATAAAAAAAGGAGCATAGATTTAAGTTAGATATAAGATAAATTGCCGAGTATAAATTGGTACTTATACAGACAATTTATAAACCATCTATGTAAACCATCCAATAGTGTCCGAGGCAGTTTAATGTATAAAGGTGTAAACCTCCTGTGTGTAAATAATAGTAATATAGTTAAGACTATAGCATCATGTTGTTTTATCTCCTAGCCAGCTTTTCTTTTTTATAAAATTATATCAGTTTTATATCGGTTAAATTTTTAAGGCGTTAAACGTAGAAATAGGTAAAAAATTAGTATCCTAACATATATATATACAGTGTAAAACTTTAGCATCATAATGTTTATCTCCCTGTCAACTTTTATATTTTTCTGTATCAGTTTTCTTTCATCAGCTTATTTTGTTAAGTATACAATGTAGAAATAGGTAAAAAATAGAACCCCAATATATCCCAGTATATAGTGTAATAAAATCTACAAAATGTAAAAAACACAAAAAGAGAACACAGTCTCGCATCAAGTGTGAGGTCTAGAAAAAAAAACATTTTAATGATATGCTGTAAAGAGAAATTTTAATCTACAATAATTGCACAACGTATCTAACGTATTTAGCTGGATAAGGAATAATAATGTATTGTTTAAAATAGCTTCGTAAATAAACCATGTAATATTTAAACGATTAAAATGGTTACTGCGTTTTATCCTTATACATCCTTATACATATACCATCGCGGACTTTTTTGTAGATCTTTTCATGATTTACAATTCCGTTTGCATGTAAGTGCAAAAAACATGTTTTTACGATAAATCTTTCATAAATCTCGGATTTTCTCTACTATAATATGCATGTATACATTATATACCTGCCTCTTGAATCACTCTCTCCATCGGTGAAAAATGCATTAAAATCTGTTGCGTAATTTGAAAGATCTAAGCGTACAAGTAAAAAACGACCTTATTTTAGTTAGTTTAGTTTCGGTAACTGCTCTGACTTCGTAAAAAGCTACGAAATAATCTCTTAACACAGATTTTCCGTGAGGTCGTGGTATCACTCCGGTCAAGTAAGCCCATAGGTGCCAGCATGCCTCTGCCATGGTACGGTTTATATTGACACATAATCGTTAGTGTGTATTGTCACGGTACAATTATAATACAGTAGTGTAACTCGGCCGCATGATAGAAATAAATGCCTACAGCCGCGCGGTACGTAAACATGCGTTAGGGCCCGTCTCCAGCATTTTAATTATATTTGCCTACTTTCTGTTTCTATTTAGATTTGTGATTGTAAATATCCTTTTTATATAAATAAATGAAATACTTTGTATATTGAATAGGAAGTGTTCAATAAAATTGCGTGTTGTTTTTTGATTGGTAGATTTAATTATTTTATTTTCTTTCTGCATTGGAAGAGTTCAAGTTTCAATTTTCTTTTTCTTGGAGTGTTGCTAGAGAGACTCGTTGAGGTTTGAGCAAAGATTTCATTTGTTGCATTTTCAGTCTGTGTACTATTTTCATTTCCTACCAACGGAGCAGTTTGGGTTTGTTTATCTTCTTTTAGAGAGACTCCTGGATCAGTACTAGCTAAGCTTGGCAGCATCAATAATGGTAGGGCATTCTTTTTTAAAAGTTTTCTATTTGATAAATGTAATACATCCTCCAAATTAAAATGTTTTTCACAAACTTGGTAGGAACTAAAGTTAGGTTTGTTTTCCAAATCATCTCGCCGGATCAGTTGCAACCATTGAAGACGTCTGAAAAAATAAATAAATGTGGCACTCTCGGAGACTGCCGCGGTAAAGCTATTGCATAACATTTTTTTCTTTTTAAAGAAAAAAATCTGCGTGGTGTCAGGTATTTTTCGTTAGGTTTTGAGAATTTCTTGATTCAATCACAGCGCCGCGCCGCGCTCAGAGCCCGCGATAAAAGCTATGCAATAGCTTAAAAATCCTTCTATAAAATAAAAAAAATGTGCTTTCTCCTTACGCGTTACAAAACTCCAATCCTTAGAAACTCCAACACCTACCTACTCAACTAGAATGCAAGAAACAGCTGACGAGTAAGTAACTTTTTATCTCAGCTTATTAACGTCTCTATAAATTAGGTACCTACCTACAACTCGCAACAACTCAAAACAAAAATTCTTTGGTCACCAATTAATTAATTATTAAAAAGCTGAACAGCTGACTACGAATGTTTTAAAATCACAACCCTCAAACATCTAAATATTATATATGAGTCTAGCTGTTGTTGTTAATACCGAGAAAATAAAACCAGTTTTTAGTGGTATATGTTGTTATAGTAGCAGCAGAAACACTTTGTGAAAATTTCGAAAACTATCTATTGACACACAGACGGTAAAAAAAAATTTCTAGTATTATTCATACACACAGATAATAAACAAATATCATTAATAATAAAATACCACGTCTTTACTTTGAATTATGCAAAGTAACAAAACACACATGCACCGAAGTTTTAACACAAGCGTAAGTAGGTAGGTACCTACCGTATCATGATTCATTCAGAACCGCATATAACTACCTATTTCACTCGTCTCAATCCGTTTCCTATTCGCTTTATTTATTAATCCAAACACCTTTTTTTTCGTGAGATAAAAGGAAATACTTATCAATTAAAAAGACACCCATTATGTACCTACCTACTAGTAAGTAAAATTATTTTATAGTCTTACCTTTCAGAGTTTCCAGGTAATTTAAAAAAACTTATGTCTGGATGCGTTATTGACGAATTCATACAACCAAAAACAGCACAATATTTGCTACTCGTCATATTAACTGATTTTTAGAGAAAAAATCGCTCGGTTATTGTTAAAAAAAACAACACACCGTCCGTTCGACACTGCGGTACAGCCGTGACTCTCTGCGCCCCGAGCGCACCCCGAGATCGAGGCGCGTAGGTATAGCTCGCGTTTCGTCCGTTTGTATGAAGTTGGAGTACTGTATTATAATTGTACCGTGGTATTGTTAAACGTTAATTCGTAAGGTAAGTATTAGGTTGTAATGAATTGGTGATGGAAAGTGGTTGGGAGTGTCTTGATAGATAGTTTTTATTTATAAGTACTAATATGTTGCCAATAATGATCTTACTACTATTATAAATGCCCAAGTTTGGACAGATGTTCGTTACTTAAACACGTTACAACGGCTGAACGAATCTGGTTGAAATTTTGAAATTCGTCGTAGACATGGGCGTACCCACAGTGTTGGCAATTTCCAAGGACCCCGCTAACACCGCTTCACCCCGCGAAACTCCTACCTCCGCCAGAGCCCTCACGCACATTATCGCATCTGGGGTGAAGAGCCCCTGACGGAAACTGTTCAGGTTGTCTGCCAGATCCGGGGACACTGGAGAGATGCTGGAAGTGGCGCTTTGCCGCCACTCATTCAAAGAGTTTGCACACCCCGTCAAGCAATACTATGGGCCGGCCGGTAGGCGGATGGCGAGTTCGCCGGTCGCTCCTGAGACCAGTTTCCCTGTCTCTCACAATTATTGCCATTATTATTCAGTGATCCACTTTTGAAAACTAGTAATGTGTTGAATCCCGGTGCAACATCAAAGATATTGATATTAAGATTTTTTTAAATTACTTGCAACGTTTTTGGCTGCACAATGATATTATCAAAACCCTCAGTGTCTTCAGAGAAAGGTAGCAAACCAATAACGTCTCGGAGTTTTGGCATAGCAAAATAAAATTTAAAAAAATGAACAATGTTAATGCCTCTCTTGAACGTATTGGTTAAAATATCAGAAAATAAAAATAATAGTCGACTAGAACAAGAATCGAAAGGTATTTTAGTACTTTATAGAAATATGGTTAGAAGTAAATAGTTTATGAAATTCTAATCATTTATCCAGTTTTTTTTTAATTTTGCCCCACCCCTAAGTGGTGCTGGGTACGCCCATGGATGTAGAATAGAACAAAACCCGGAAATCTTAACAAGAATGCGAGCGAGGACAGGCAGAAATCATTTTAAAATTTAATATGTAAATTTAATTTGTAAGATGTTAAGATCAATTCGTAGCTATACAGATTTAGCAAATACTTACGAGACCATTTTAATGTACGAAGATTTAAACCATATGCTAAATTATATTATGTAAATTTTATATTCCATACACAAACTGGCATAAAATTATCTTTGACTTAAAAGTACAACTTTATTGACAGTTTTTCAAATCGTCATATTTTTTCTGTCGTCATTCATTATACATATCATTGTTAATGTAGGACTTATATTTTGGCAAAATTGCTCTGATTTTGCCTCAGACGTTTAATTTGGCAGAGAAATTATTACATCATATGTTCTTGTGACATTCTAATTCAGTTTTTTACCAACCAGTTTGTCTAAATTAATTTGTATTTCGTAACTAAAAGTCAAAATGTGTGATCAGGAATTTAGGACGCTAAGAATCGACCCTCGTTATCCATTTCAACTTCAAACTAGGTAAGTAGTTAATATTATGTTATGTTCTAAACCACCGATAAAATCTATTTAGCTGTAGCGGAGCTGAGCCGGCGTACTTGAGCCGGCTCTACCGGAGAGATTCCACGGCCTCACAGAAAACCGCTGTTGAGCAATTTTTTCGTATCATGACACATTATGCTCGCTGTATTTGGATCTCACTCACGTAATAAGAGGCAGGCTTAGAGCTTCCAACGGGGCACTGGCAATCGAGGTGGTAAACTCAATATTCGCATCATTGAGTTCAAGTATAGTACGCCCTTTAGTAGATAAAAGAAAGGGTAGGTAGAAAGGATTACAATGTAAAGTAAGGGAAATAGCTCCTAAGGATGAGTTGCTCAGTGTAACTTAAAGCTTGAACTATTGCGGGAAGTTTGAACCCTCTTGCAGTTTAACAGAACTGTGTGTGGGTGTATTGGTATTGTCTCCTAATACTCCAAATCTGCCGTGCCAATCCAATACACTGTAACTTTTGAAAACGACTTATTTGAAAGCTTTGTTACAGTTTTTTACCATGTTAAAACCCTAATTTCAATACAATAGAGTATTTTTTAGATTGATTTTTATAAAATACACTCTAGAATAACAAATGTACAGGGGTGCTAAACCGAGCGACGTAAGGAAACTGATTGAGCGTTGTTAAGGCAAAACACTAAGTCGAGTTAGTCTTTAGGAATGGCACGGCAGTACTATGATCCACAATGTTACTATAAGTACATCAAAATATAGAAAAATTATTTGTTCATTGTTGTATTATTTCTTGCAGAGCCTGCTATGATAATTACTGTGATTATCACAAATGCCAACGTCTTCTGGGCGAAGTTGATGATTGCAAGATATTTAAAAGATACTTTGAAACAATCTGTCCAAACTTTTGGATTGAACATTGGAATGATCTAAGAGAAAAGAAAGCGTTCCCAGGGCCAATTTAAATCGCCAAATGTTTATTTTGCGAAATTTGAAATAAATGAGCGAATTTGAAGCGATGATTATATTTCGTTAAACCAATGCCTGTGCCTTATTTTATTGTTTGTTTTTTTTTGGCTCCCCAACACTTATAAATTAAATAAATTTTACAATGAGTATGAAGTAACATAGTGTTACAATTACTAATAGGTAAGCACCTCATACGCTACAAACAAAAATTATTGTACGATTATGCTTATTCTAATTTATACAAATAGGTTTCGGCAGAAACAGAAGCAAATAAAGTACCTTTTACAAAGTATTTTGTATAGTACTGCGGAATTTGGTGAGTCAGTATGTATGATAGGTAGGTATGGTACCAGGGCGCCGCAACGAAGCGGAGGATGCAGGGGGTGATGGGAAAACGAGGTAGATATCCTCGCAGGAGCTTGTACCTTTATTTTCCTTTTTCCTTTTACCCCTGGTTGTACCCCTGGTGGTACAGTGGAAGATAAATTTTAACCGCTGCTGCCATACCCCCAGGCACTAAACCTGACTAAATTAAACATGTTATATTGACTTTGTTATATTATTGACATTGTTATATTCGCTATCGGTAATTCTATGTAGCGATTTACTTATAAAGTCACCTAATATAAATATACATATAATTACAACTTAAAAATTGATTTGTCAAATCTGTTCAAATAAATAAAATTGAATGTTCGTTTGTAATCTCAAAATAATACGTTTTATTCATGCTCACGGTTATTTGCACGATACCTATGCCAATACTATACCCTACACCTATGCCTATTTTTGGTCTGTCTGTTTTTTCCTCAGGAAAACCCTTTAAATTTTGCCCGGTCCGGGAATCGAACCCACTATGGTAGCGCGTTTCAAATTCTACGGGAATGAAGTCGCGGGTCCTAGCTAGTTGATAATAGTTATGATAAGAAGGGCAAAGACTACCTATATTGTGATATATGCATTATCACGTTTTCTTAAAGCATATTTCTTAGACCATATCATTTTTATTTCAGGTTTAACAATTTTTTTAACTTTTTGTCAGATTGAAGAGACCACGTACTGTCCACCTGGGTGGTCAGTTAGAAATATTTCAACTAATGGACCAACTCAGTTCAGTTGGTCAAAGTGGAAAGACAGCTTTGCTTACGTCGTAGGTATAACCTAACCATACATTTTTTTTTCTTTTTGTGCTTAAATACCCTCGGATACCACCTATCGGTGGCATGTCGGACTTGAACCGACTAAAACCGCACGCCGTCTCGGGTACTAATAGCCGGGGAACCAGGTATACCCTAGAAAGGAAGTCCCTGGTGGCCTAACCATACATCTGGGAAATAAATAATAACGAGGATATCGGACAACTGGATGGAAGGATGGTTAGGGATCCTAAAATAAACAATTTATTCAGCCCGTTGTATAGGTATGGTAGGTAGGTATTATGTATCTAGACACATTGTCTGAATGCCAAGCTCCAGTTGTGTGGCTGGTGTGCTTGACTGGATGTGTGTTTTAAGCGTTGTAAAAATAAACGCGTAGTAGACTGTATATACTGTATTTCACTTGTTACAATAATTTATAAAAGGTGATGTGCACGTGTGGACATTTCTTGAGCGAGTGTCGGCCCGCGCCGAGCAGCCCTCGCCCGGCCGTTGTTGAAGGTCGCGGAACCGGTTTGGTGCGGGGGCCGCACAGCCCGATGAGACGCAGGAACACACATCATCAACTCCACTGCTGGACCTAGGCCTCCCCTCAGAAAGGAGGTTTTGGCCTACTATACCACGCTGGCCAGACGGGTTGGTATAGGGTTTGTGTCAAGTTTTCCTTCTCTCTGCAGTGCTGTTTTGTCCTGCGTAGTTTGCTCCCTTAGTCGCGTCTTACGACACCCACGGGATGAATAGGGGTGGTGACACTCTGTATTATTAATCCGTCACCACACGGACGTCTAAAGACACAACTCCAACAGAACTAATATATGATGAATCTGTCAGGCTGAACACTGTCTCTTAAGATACAGGTAATTCACCTAGTTTAAGGGGCAGAGTTCCACATCTCAAATACAAAATTTGTAAATTATCATCAACAGTGTATTCAAATATGTATATCTATGCGTAACAAAGTATTATTATTATTATAGGTGATTGGTTGAGAACAAATATTCCTAACTAGGTGGATGGATTGAGTGGTCTGTTGGTACCAAACTATCCATACTCATAAACTAACTTTTGCCCGCGGCTTTGACAGCTTGTATGTTTGTTATCGCGTTAAAAATGAGCCTTTGTTACTCGCTGATAATGTAGCTTGCTATTCGTGAAAGAATTTTTAAAATCGATTTATCGGTTTAGACGTGAAAGCGTAACAAACAAACTAACTCATTTTCACATGTGCAATATATACCTATATATACCTATGGATGTGTGGACCACCATAAAATTAGGTGCAAGGTGTATCTATTTGGTATTTTCGACAACAGACAACAGCACTAAGAAGAGAAGTAAAACTTGAAGCAAACCCTATACCAACCCATCTGGACTGTTAAAGGCTAGGCTGTTGATGTGATGATGACGTGAAGGAAAAGCCATAGAAGGGGGCAGTTTTTGTTAATTTACATGCCAGACGACAGAGTCGCAGACCTGTACTGTAACTAATGTTGCCGGACCACAAGAGCTATGTTTCTGCATATTTGGGTCTCTTAAATTTTTCCACCGGCAAAACCGCGCACTCCACGAGATACCGTTGTAAATCTGGAGGAGCTGCAGTTAGAAACCATACGTCATCCTCCGTACTCGCCAGAGCTTGCTCCAACGGACTACCATTTTTTTGTGATTTGGATAATTTTCTACGTGATAAAAAAATGTCTTGCCAGGAGGCAGTACAAAATGCTTTACACAGTTTGTCGAATCTAGATCCCCAATTCTATCGTAAAGGCATAACTGAACTTCCGTTTAGATGCAGCAATTATACATTGCTATAATTGATAATAAGGGTTAATATTTTGATAAAAATAAATATGTTATATCTTAGAAAAAAAACGAGTTTGAATATTTCAGTACAAATCGGCAATTTCATACTTTAACCCCTAATACTAACAGTGCTATAGTACAATTTGCTAAATATTTTTATGACTATCTGATGAATTGAAAAATGTTTTGAGTTTGTCTACTCCATTTCTTCTTATAAAGATTGATACAGTTTTATTTAAGGCGCAAAATTTCACCATGTGCTTTTAGTTGGTTAGATTCTGATATACCGCCTCTTTGTAAACCCTGATGTCACACGCACAACAATATTTCCAAGTTTTTAATAATATCAATTCTTTTAGTTACATTTAAAAAAAAGTTATAAAAAACTAAAAAAACGCTTGTGTAGCCAGCCGAACTAAAAGGTAGTTTTTTTTTCTATAAAACTCAAAAGAAAAATCATTTTGTAGTAAAAAAAATATAAATCTCAATTGTTGTAAAAATATTTTATTGATAGAATTGGTAAAAGTAAAGTTATTTTATAATAAAATACCTTGTTATTTTATAAACAAATGATTTTTCTTTTTGAACTTATTGAAAACTATTTTCTAGTTTTTAGTTCGGCTGGCTACAAAAGCGTATTTTTTGATGATTATTATTTTATTAAGACTAAAGACGCAAGTTTATAACAAAAATTATTCTTCAGGATACGCCTTAGTACGTTGCAAAAGACGCTACCGTATTTTTAGGTATGGTAAAAGCCGTCAATCCTGAAGGTCCTGATAAGGATAATAGGATAAACTATTCATTGCATTGCCATCGGTACTTGATGAATGTGCAAAGTTTCAATTTAAAAAAAAAACACGTTCGAAGATTCCGTTACATACATACCTACCTATATACCAAGCTAAAAAAAGCGTGTTAAAAATACAGACGTATTCTGAGAAACACTCGACCCACCTGATGGTAAGCACTTATTGTTTGCTAATATAAAACTTACTGCATATACTTACTAGTAGTGTAATATTATCTATACTCTATACAGGTTCCTTTTTAGTGCAATCTCCTAAGGCATAAAGTAATATACCCAACTTGCTTTAATAGTCTATGAGCTTTAGTATTAACACAAATGAAGCACTAACTCTTGGATTTATAGTGTTTTATCTATGGCTCTAACTGTCTTTTTAATTTGTCAAATAGACATTTTTACCTATGGCACTAAACGGAATTTGTAGAAATTATTAGGTGTACCTTTGTTGTAAATATCGCTACTGTTAAATTATTTTTTATTGACTTATTAAATCAATGTACAGCACCAAAACCAAAAATGAATCCCTGTTCTAATACTACATCGCTTACATTGAAGAAAACGTTGAGATTCGACCCTCGTTATCCAAATCAAAATCAAACCCGGTATGTAAATATTATTAAACAAATTCCACACATCACATGTATAACGTTTACTTAAGATTAATAATATTTTTACTGTACCATTTGTATTTTTTAAACCGATGTTTTAATCGAAGTCCACAATTTGGGATCACGAACGGGTAGGTTATGACCGACACGTCTCTATATTCATTTTTGAAAGACATATTCATGGACACCCCACATCATGGGATGGATGAATTTAAAACTAAAATCCCCACTTTAAAAAAAAGTATTAGAGGAAACCTAAAAATATTTTTCAAGATTTTATTTTACTACTTGTCGGCGTGATTAGTATGTATTTTAATGCGAAATAACAGGATAGCAATAATAGTCTGTGAGACATAGTGTGGAGAGACGGACGGACCGACGGACCTAACGAAACTAAATACTAAACACTTAAAAATTCAAAAACTCAACAATGCCCTGTACGGTAGATTTCGGATTTCCATAGAATATAAGCATAGAATGAACAAGAACCCCAATCTTGCAATGTAGGCAACGAGAGATTAATAATAGATAGATGCCTCTATCTCTTTCTAGTCGAGCTCTGTGGTTGGCTGGGGAATGTGAAGGGTGAATAAGTAGCCAATCGCAGCTTAGCTAAACAGAGACAGAGGAAACTATCGGGCATCCATCTCTCTCGTTGCCTGTTACGCTTCCACTTGCAGGCAGCTGTACCCTGTGTTCTCTATGGGAATTTCTACTAAAAGATCTCATTCAGGCAGTGGAATATTAGATTTTATAGCTCTACGTAGGTCACTATATAAATTTTGAGACACACAAAAAGTAAACAGTCTATACTTACCATTTTTTTTTTTCAAAATACTCTCCATGACTCTCTATAATTTCCATCCGCCTAAACCAATCTTGGCAACACTTATTTCAGCCTGCTTCCAACAGGTCAAAAATGGCTGATTCGTAGGCTGCCACCGCTTCTTTGGCACTTGAAAAACTTCGGCCTTTTATCTTTTTTTGGCAATGTGCCGCGGTCTTTGCAATTTTGTTGACAACCGGCCATCTGGAAATACCCATGCCTAAGAACGCTTTCTGCTTTCCGGATCATATTGATATATATCAATATTTCGTCGCCAGGAATTATTTCAGAAACACGTCTTGACTTCACATTTTCAAAACGTAGACACATCTCACGGCACTATTCCACACCGGCTTTTTTCTGCTTCGGATTTCGGACGATGTGTCCAACGACAACAAAGCTTCCTCATTCTAAGATGATCATGTAATATGGTGTGAACACTAACCGAACTAATGCCCAAGATTTTCTCTATGTCCTTGTATGTAATTCGTGGGTCATCTCGCACAAGCATTTTAGTAGTCCACACATTTTTAGCAGTGAGTGCTGTTGGCGAGCGTCTACTTCTGTCATCATCTTCAAGGGTAGCTTTCCTCCCTTTTAAATTCGTTAAACCATCTAAAAGTAGTGACCCCAGAAGAAGCTGACTCACATATAGCTTGAGTTTAAACGTTCTACGCTTACAACTTTAGATAACCCTCATTTCAAGTCGTAATATATCATAGCACGCAAATATTCACATGCACGGATGGCGTAGTGGTTTAAGCGGTCGCCACGCCACTTCCTACTACGCCGAGTGTTGTGGGTTCAAGCCCCACATGGGACGACGCTTTGTGTGATCTACAAATTGTTGTTCTGAGTCTGGGTGTTCTGTGTGTCCGTTTCATGTATGTTTGTAAAGTCCCCCGCGACACAGGATTTATTCCTAATGCGGGAGTTGTCTTTTTCATAAAAAAAAAAACCTTCATTGTAGAAGACGAAAAAGCGGGAAATGATAACAGTATGTATACTCGCAATACATTTAATTTTTATATTGCTGTTAATGGCCTTTTGTGTCCGATTTTTAAATAACTTTGCCTTTAAATAATATAACACAGACACAGACTTTTGACACAGATGCAGTTCCATTATCAAATTTCGAGCATCTCAAAACTTATAGTCTGATACGATACATTTTTTGTCTATTCCAGCAAAATAGTGCTCAGCTAAGTTCGTAGGGGCCCCATTATGGTAATTTGCCCAGGGCCTCCCAATAGATTAGAGACGGGCCTACTTATAGTGACCTACGTATTGCAGTCTTGAAAGTCATAGTCTAGTACTCCTCGCGTTCAATAAAAGCCAAGTCTTGGTTATCGAATAATAGGGCGGCAAACATCTCAATTATCATAAAAGTACATCTCTACTCGACGATAAGCAAAATGATGGCCAGAAGCTGGTTTTCTACTTGCTTCCTTGCGTATATATCGCCTTTTTTCACAAACAGGACACCGTGTAATTTTTTTGTTTCGTCTCCGGCATTATACACTTCTAATGTCCGAAGCAGTCCAACTGCCACCTACTTTTTTATGGTATTTTTAGGCGTGGGACCACAATTTGGTGCACATACCGGTGAGGCTACAGATACTTCAAATTCTAAGCATTTACTTATTTATTTATTTGGGAAAACAAACAATAGTATAATGAGTATACGTATGAAATCTTTGTAACTAAACTTAACTAATATACTACCCACTACATTTTCGACAGATTACCTTATAAAATAATTCCATTGTTAGCAGACATGAGCTGCTACCGCCGCAGTTTAATCAATAAGAAAAGCGAAAAACAAAACGTTGGTAACTGAGACAAATAAAGTTTCACTTAAACATACAATAGATAAATCAAAATCAACTTTTATTGCCTACTGCCGATCCTTTAGTGCCGCTATTATGTCTCTTTTAAATTTAATCCTACCAACATGTAATATGTAATGTAATATTGCAGCTGGACTTATTAAGATTGTTCTTTTTTAATCTTCTATATTACTTTGTTAGTTTTTGTGGCAACCTCTCCTCTAGGTAAATGTAGTATTAATTACGACTTCTTTCCTACAGTGCCTGCTACGATAATTACTGCGATTATTTCAAGTGCCGACGTCTACTAAAGCAAGACGATGATTGTGAAATTTTTAAAAATTACTATGAGACACTCTGTCCGAAAGACTGGGTATCACACTGGAATGAACAAAGGAAGAAAAATGCCTTCCCAGGACCACTTTAAAATAATACACGTACTGGAGCCTCAGAATACATCTTCAAAAACTTATAGATGTAAAATGAAATATATAAAAATAATCAAAAAATGTATAAATGACTAACAATTACAAAAAAAAAGAGTAACAAATTAAGATTCTATAAAAATAGGTGTCGTTTTTGAAATGTAAAAAACTGAAATAAACGACGTTAAACAAATAAAAGATTCTTATGGAAACATAAAAAAATGAATATTGAGAACATCCTATTTATTTCTCTAGGTAAGTACCTACCTATCTAATCATTTCGATCGTTGTGTTAGCACGACATACGAAGTTATTGTAGTCTACTTTCTAAACTAATGCTTACTTACGTAAATGTGGCTATGCAAAATGTTTTAAATATACTTTGAAAATTAAAACAAAACGCACTTCAGAAAAAAAGCTTCTTAACATTTTTTTGAATACTATAGATGTTTGTTAAATATAGTTGGTTCAATGACAATAGTTCGCCGAGGGACTCTGTGCTAAGTAAAAACGAATAGAGTATTGTTGTAACCTTATAATTATAACTTTAAAGTATATTTAGATAATGAAAATATGAAAATATACAAGCATGTATATCTCATTAAGCGTTGAGTACATTACAGTTTCTTTAAGAGAAAAATAATTATTGTTTTTTTTGCTTTGAATGTAAACTAAACGCGAGTAAGAAAAGGCTGAGAGAATGTAGCATTTCTCTTAATTTTTTAATGAAGTCTTAGCATTAAAAGTTTAGCAGTCTTAGTTTTGTAATAGCAATGGACTTCAGGTTTTAAAGTCATCGCGTGACGAATAAATTTTCAAAAAATGAGAGATGTACAAACCTAGAGCTAAGTTCCTCGAAATATTCATTTTTATATGAATCTTTTAAAAACGTAACGATACTAAGTTTATTGATAATTTACAAAAATGCCACCTATGTTTATGCTAGTTATATTTGTTAATAACTGACTTAAATAATTGTTTTTGTGAATATTTATAATCTAGATAAAATTCCTTCGCTTTTGCTCATTATTTCGACCTTTACATTTTAAATAATAAGTTTTTGAAGATGTACATATGAAATCATTAGATCAATTTGTTTCTGTTGCTCTGCTCTTGGTCGAAGGTTTGATTTGAAGTTTTTTTAATGTTTTAACTTCACTGTATTGTAGAAAACTCAATGTCCGTTTATTTTATGCTAGGCCTATCGTGGCAAGACTGATTTTTGTTACGATGTTTTATCCTTTGTATAGATTTACTGTTTTATACTTTTTTCTTTCTATATTTTTTTTTAACTTTTGTGTTTTTTTTCTTTTTATTGTACCTATACTAAAATTGTGATAAATTGTAATTACCTCGCGGAGTAGAGTAGCCAGAAAACTGTGTATTGTTACAATTCAGTGTAAGTCTACTATTGCGATAAATTACAAAATATTTTTTTCTTTATCAGTTTATTTCTTTCGTGTTGATTTCTTTTTATCCAGCTGTACCCACACAGGAGACATATTTGGACTGGGTAGTAATAGGTATTTGAAATACAAGAAAGTGCTTACGAGTACGACTTATGGCACTTCTGTGTCCCTACATCATCATCATCATCAGCCTATCGCTGTCTAATGCTGGATATAGGCCTCCTATACCACGCTGGCCAGACGGGTTTGTACAGGGTTTATGTCAAGTTTTCCTTTTCTTTGAAATGCTGTTGTCCGGCGTAGTTTGCTCCCTTACTCGACTTTTACGACACCCATGGGATTGATAGGGTTAAAGACACCGTATTCTAAATGCGTCACGTTCTCCTTACAGTCGTCGTCAAAAAGCAGTGTATGTGAACAAAGTTCCAGCACAGGGGTTAGTTAAGTATTAACAGTATAACTTTCCAAATCCAACCAGAAGTAGGTAGTGTCCTACATGTCGCGTTCAAAATTTTCTATCTACAACTATTGTTTAATAACGGTGTGAACAAAAAAATACGTGTGAGGGTACTACTTCACTTATCAGCGATCAGTTAATAAAAAGTTCTGTTTGTTACCTACCTACATAATGTATGCGAATATAGTATTCAATTCCATTCATCTATGGAGTGTAAAGGCAAAGACAACCATCTCACAGTCACTCTACGGCTCTACAAACACACGCACTTCATCATACATTCTTTACAGACTTTTACAGAATTGTCGACATCGGCACAATTTGCCATATACAAAAAAAAAACATCTCATACGGGGGAAAGTTGAAAGTGTCCAGCTGTACGGAAAATAAAACCCGCTGGCGTGCGAAAAACTACGTTATGAGCTGTTGTAGACGGAGTGAAAGTGTGCTGAGATAAAATATTATAATACTTTTATTGTCTGTGTAATAAACACGTTTATATTTTGTCTGTAGAACTTATAAACTATTTTCACAGTCTAGTACACAGAGTCTAATTAATATTTAAACCAATATAATTTATCCTAGGCTACAGTAGCGCCACCTTATTGGATGTGTTTTTACGGACACCTTTCATACACAGAAATGGTTCTCCTTGCCCTCTACCCTCCATACTCCATTCATCTTACATTTAATATTATAAACTGCTTATGCAATAATACTTATCATAAGCAGTCATCGGTTAGAAAATTATATCTTTTTTTATACCCTAACTCGTACTACTGGAGAAATCAGGACCTACTAAAATTATAGCATTTTAGTTGGATGTGAGCTTTCTAAACGCACTTCGGGCCTTCGCCTCCTTTTTTTTCCGTGCGGAAATCCCCTTGGATACCACCTATCGGTGGCATGTCGGACTCGAACAGACTAAAACCGCACGCCGTCTCGGGTACTAATAACCGGGGAACCAGGTATACCCTAGAAAGGAAGTCCATGGTGCCCCGACAGGGCCTTCGCCTCCTAAGCTTTACATACCCAAGTCTCTTGCAATAAACTTACATTTACAAAAAACGCGGTTTTAGTCGGTTCGATTCTGACATACTACGGCGAGGGCTCGTGACTCGTGAGGATTTCATTGAAACAAAAATTAGACACTAGCGGCACCTTAGGGGACATTTCTTAATTTCGTAGCTTTTTTTAGTAAAATGTGATTATTATTTAAAAAAAGCGTCGTTTAAATCTTGTCATTTAATGATATAAGGCGCTTATGTCAAAGCTCCTTTCCTATGGGCTTCCCGAGAAATTATGTAACTGGGTCAACAGTTTCCTTGCAGACAGAGGATTAAAGTTAACGACCTGATTCGATGCATGCTCCGACTTAAAATCTGTAAATGCTGGTGTCCCGCAAGGCTGTGTGCACCCACACTGTTTCTTCTGCATATCTATACTAATATTATAAAGCTGAAGAGTTTGTTTGTTTGTTTAAACGCGCTAATCTCAGGAACTACTGGTCCGATTTCAAAAATTCTTTGTTCTCAGTGTTGGATAGCCCATTTATCGAGGAAGGCTATAGGCTATATATCATCACGCTAAGACCAATAGGAGCGGAGCACCAATGAAGAATGTTTCAAAAACGAAGAAAATTTATTACTATTGAGAGACGCAGACAAAGTTGCACGGGTCAGCTAGTCAATGATATGTTGCAAACTAGTAGCATCTATTGCTATGCAGATGATAGAATGGGAGATGCCTTTTATCCCGGTCGCCCCAATGTTTCTCGAGAAATCGTCATCGAGAGTCGAAAGAAACTTGTATCTGAAAATGAAACTTCCTTAGCGGAGGTTTCAGATTGAGGTCGAGTTAACCTGGACTAGGTTAACTCGACCCTTTTAACTTTTAACCAAAAAATACAGGTTTGCGCATTCACCGCAAAAAAGATACCACTACTATGCGCTTTTCAAAACACTTTTTGCCTCGCACAACCAATCTGTGGAACAAGTTATCGTCTCCGGTATTTCCGGATCGATACGACAAGAAAAGAGCCTAAGAGCCTTCCTAAAAGGCCGGGCAACGCGCTTGTGCCTCCTGACTTGCAGGCGTTCATGGGCGGCGGCAGTCGCTTTCCATCAGGTGACCCGTCTACTCGTTTGCCGTCTCTTCCATTAGAATAAAAAACATATAGGATACCTATTTCCTAAAAGTAATATAGATTTGATTTTTTTTAAATATAACAATTTAAGATCCAATCCAAAAAAGAGAAAGGAAAAGAAACTAAATTCTTCTTCGGATATCTGCGGATTACGGATAATCAGTACATCAGTAATCTGCATACATTATTTTGAGTATATTTATATTACTTGATAGATTAGTAGAGATGTTTTAACTCCGGTCCGACCACTTTTGTAGTCGGTCATAACTGATAATACGGCAAAGAGCGCCAACTAGCAGAAAAAATCCACACACGACTTTCTTTTTCACATGATTACATTTTAATGAGGCTCTTTCATTCAACTAATAATAGCAGTCTTGATTTTTTACCCAAAAAGATTAATTCTCATAATAAAATTCATCCAAAATTCTCTATCTACTCGGTCTAACTAATTTCATAAAAGGTATTCTCTTAGTGAAATATTTAACATCTAACGTTGACTGTAATGTGATTATATCGTATTGTGACCGAAAGTTGAATCGGTATTCTGCTAGCCTTAGTAATATTTTACTACTCTATGTGTGGACGTCTTACACGCTCTGCTGGGGTAAGCAGGGCGTATAAGCATTCAGTATAGTAGCAAAAAATAAAATAATACATGAAATTAATTCATTTAATTTCCTAAATCACATAATGACTATTAAATAAAAACCTCTCATTAAATTAACCAGTCACTGACGAATACTTAGATCCTGCCGGGGAAAGTGCCCTCTGAGCGCTGGGTTTCCCACTTTTCAACCCATTCATTAGGGCACAGGGATTTGAAGACTCGTTGGAAATAATAGCAGGGCTCATACTTTTCGCCGCGCACCTTCTGGCACCGGTGGAAGTCCAGATAGCTCTGGTAGCAGTACCTGTAAGCCAATCAATTCATATAGCATCGTCTAGGCAAGATGTTATATTATACAAGTGCAATAATTCACTATGAAGTAAAAGCCCCCTTTAATTATAAAAAAATAAAAACTAAGTAAAATAGTCTGTGAGGCCGAAATGCCATGCATCCTACATCTAAATCATCTACATCTATTGGTTAAAGATTTTGATTATAGCATGACTTCTGTGACGAAAACTAGAGATGTAGTTACGCTTAAATATATTTTAGAGGGGGCAGACGAGCAGACGGGTCACCTGATGGAAAGTGACCATCGCCGCCAATTAACGTCTGCAACTCAGGAGTCACAAACGCGTTGACGGCCTTTTAGGAAGGAGTTCGCTTTTTTCCTGAAGGCCGTATCGGTCCGGAAATATCGCAGACGATAACCCGTTCCAAGGATTACAGTAAAAGGCGCTATTGAAGTCGCATGTGTTGCCCCTATCTATCACGCGATGGACCCTGCACTCGCACGGTGAATCCATGGAACGCTAGCTAATAGGTCTTTTTAGGTCTAAACAATATAATCAACTGGGAGAAAAAGTTTAATTTGTTAAGCAAAGATTAAACTCTATTTATAAATAAATATAAGTAGCTTCGGTAATAATTTACAGAGAATAGTTTTTTATTAACATTGCATTGATTAGTTATTTTGTTATTTATGGGTGGGCCTCAAATTACTTAACATATTTACTAGTATAATTTTTAAACTAGAAGTTTTACGTGGAATAGAAGTTTTAAAGTTTGCTTTAAAATAAAAATTGAAACAGATTTATAGTTTTTACATCAATTTGTTTATTGATTACATTTATTTAAATATAAATAACTACCTACGTGTTATGTGTAAAATCAATTGCCACAACTCGTAATATATGGAAAACGTTACCTACATTGATATTATCAGTTCAATACGCAGATTGTGTGATAACAAGTAATCTTTTACACAATACGAAATTCAATACTATACATACTACTAAGAAGCATTTTAATTCATGAACATCCTGTGCTGGTATGGATTTATCTAATACAAGCTTTTGCCTGCGGCTCCGCCCGTAAGTTATGTCCATACTAAATTTCATTGGAATCGATTCAGTGGTTATTTATTTCCCATACAAACTTACACCCATTCACCCCCTCAAGGGCATTAAAGGATGATTTCTGGGATAAAAACAGTCGTGTCCTTTCCCGCGACTCAAACTATCTTTATACCAAATTTGATTTAAATCGGTTTAGAATTCAAGCCTGAAGAGGGTAAGATACAGACAGTCAAAATATACAGTAACCAAAGCTTACGTTTGTGAGAAATTATATTTACTACTCTTTTACACCAAAAAGTAGTGAATGTATTTTTTTTAAATTTACAGTGACATGGCCTACATAAGAATGAACACATATTAGCTTTCTTTAAAAGGCTAAAATTGTATGGTATGATATGGTATGAATGGAGCCAACAATTCTAAAATATTAGTAACTTTATTTTCACATAAGATTAAACACCAATTATCAATTTATTAAACAAAACTGTTTTACACCTATCTGTGTACGCCTGACGTGTTCGAAGTGGTATTTTTTTTTCTTCTTACACGAATTATCAGTCACAACAGTCAGGCAGTATTTGGAAAAAATCAATAATGGTGTAATATATTCCACTACTTACCGAAAGTATTCGGATGTTATCGCGGCCGAAAGCTCGTCCCCTTCAGGAAAAAGACTGATAATATGAACTATGACCTACCTGTTCACGTAGTCCACTAATTTGAGGTTTGTAAGGAAGAATTAAAAAAAAAAAGCTCATGTTACCTTGTCTGGTTTTGGTTAGGAAAGCGCGGGTCGAAAGGTGCAGTTTTGATGTCTGCGGGCGACTTGATCATCTCAGGCATTATGCTGTAACGAAACAATACAATCATTGACATAATCCTTTATTCTCAAATCCGGCTCATAATAAAATAAAGACAGGCAACTAAACATTCTAGTACAATAAACAAATAGTTAATAAAAAAAATATTTAGTAACATGTAAATACAATTCAGAGGTCACATAAAATTCTTAATACTACACTTAAATCATTTCACAAGTGGTCTTGTTTTCCGTTCCTCTTCACAAGATGTCTCCCTATACTTCTTGACTTCTTGCATATACAGTGACCAAGCATCTTTAGGTGTGTTGTCAGCGGTTTGTTCCTCTATAGCCTTCGCTTTCTTAACTAAACCAGTCTTAAGAACCCTGCCTCCTCGTCTCTTACCAATAAAAGGTAACACTGGTTTTTTAATTACTGTTTTTTTCTCACTTTCCTCAGCCTTTTTAGTAACCTCTTGCATCTTCTTAAACATTTCCAGAAAGCTACCATCATTCTTTATTGGTATAGGTATAGGCTTAGATTTTGAACTAGAAGCCTGTAAAACTTGATCTGGAGGGGGAAGTAGTTCTGCAAAGTTTGGCCCTTCTACTTCAGGAGGGTCTCTATATTCAATATCATCTATAGCAGAAGCATCAACCACCCCAGGTGGAGCTTTTATTTCCTTAGGTGGTGTCTTAGTTTCTTTCTCTTTCCCTTGCCTATATCTGTGTTCTTTCCAGAACCTCTTTCTATCTGCTACTGTAAACTGTCCTCGGCGCTCATCCTCGCTGGGCGTACCACTGCTAGACCGAGAGCTGCGAGATCTCGACCGGGACTTGTTACCACTAGGACTCACTGAACTTTTCCCTTTTCCTCTTGATTTAGAGCGATGACGAGATATTGAACGACTCTTTGAATGCAATTTCTTTTTACGCTTAGATTTAGAGTGTGATCTACGAGGAGTCCGGGATCGAGATCTGCTGAATGAGCGAGATCTGGATGCGCGAGAAGCCCTTGAGTGTGATCCCTTACGTTTTGAGGGCCTTGGAGATGGTGATCTTGATTGAGATTTAGAGGTTGATGGATTTCTTACATAAGTCTTAGGTGGTGTGAGAGAGTTATCTCTGTCAGGTGAATCAGATCTACGATCCTTGAGTTTGTATACTTTAGGAGGTGTAAGGGAAGACCTTTCAATCTTTATCTTCCTTTTAGGAGATTTAACTGAGTCCTTTCTTTTTCTTGGAGGTGTAGACACCTTCCGTGGTCTTTTATCTTTACTGGAATGAGGTTTTTTACTTTTGCTTTTATTTTTTTGTTTAGGGGATTTGCTAATAGATCTTTCTACACTTGGTGTTCTACCACTCGAAGAATCTTTTGAGTCTCTTGTTGGTGGAGTAGAGTCTCTACCGCGATTCTTACTTGATTTCTTTCTATAAGATCTATCTGATGCTGAGGATTCAGTTGAAAAACTACGTTTTTTCTTATCTCTCTTCTGTGGAGAATGTGAATATGAACGTGACCTGGAGCTAGAACGATCACTAGATGAATACTTTTTAAGTCTTGACGACTTACTCCGAGAACGTCGATTACGTCTTTCCTCATAGCTATTGTCTCTTTCGTTTCTATTATATGGAGAAACACTTCTTGACTTGGACCGATACGATCTTCGGCGATCATATCTTTGGGATTCCATTGACGGAGAACGGACTGGTCTGGTTGGATATTCGTAAGCAGAAGTCTGCATCGCAAACGCTGTTGCATCAGGATACTTTCCGTAATAGCTGCTGTCGGCACGCTGGTAGTAACCAGAATCGTAGTTGTACGAGTACCCGGCGGCAGCAGCAGCCCCGTAGGCTTGATAGTCGTAGGCGGGTGTGGCACCATACTGGCTGTAGCTCACCCCTGTCCAGGGATCGGTGGTAGGCATCCCGGGCGCTGGGGGCGGCTCGTACGCCGGCACTGGTGGGCGCTGCCCAGCATACTCGGCTTCAGCGCCAGGAGGACCGCCGTCCCAGGCGGCATCAGCACCGCGATACGAGGACATACTTAAATGAGTCCTCGCATAACCTGCAGCAGTTTGTAGGTGCGCACACACCTACAAACAGAACAACTTTTTGGTGTAGAAAGCAGCTCTACCTCGCTCGAGAGATATCCTCGTGCATTAATTACATTTTTTCATGTTTCGTTGTAAATTATTTTATGACGAGAAACAACAAAATTACGTAACCTGAAGATGGAGCGTAAAATGCATCGATATTGCATGCGTTACAAATAAAGACAACAAAACAACAAGGGGATGTGTGGTAAATACCTCTATTAATATGCTCACCTTGTTTTAATTTAACTTTTTAGACAAATTATCTCAACAGAAAATGGCAGCGCCACACAATTCGCTACTCAATCAAAACGCAATACGCATAGACAATATTCTAATAGCTTTACGTTTTAGCGATTTACGAATAAAAAAAGTGAACAGTGTTGCCATTTTAAGAATAACTAAACTAACTTAGGGGCACAGCGTCGCAGCATAGTTTGCAGGTGTGCAAACATGGTGTTTGCAAGTTTACAGTTGTGCTCAGTTAATACCCTCCTTTTTTTCCGTGCGGAAATCCCCTCGGATACCACCTATCGGTGGCATGTCGGACTCGAACCGACTAAAACCGCAAGCCGTCTCGGGTACTAATAGCCGGAAAACCAGGTATACCCTAGAAAGGAAGTCCCTGGTGCCCCGACATACCTCGGGCCATCTACAGACGAGTAGACGACCCCCCCCCCCCGTGTGGGAACCCCATGTTCCCTCTGCTCCCTGGAAGCGAGCGCGCTTCGCAACGCGCTCGCCGCCACTCCGGCCTGCTTCTGCTAGGGTGACAGATTTCCTCACCTGTCACCCCCAGGCCTGCGCTTATGGAGGACGGAGATCGTTCTGCGACCTCCGGCGCCTGAGTCGCCTGCGGTACCTAGCCCGTTCCCGGGCCTGGCGGGCCGGGAGAGTTCTAAACCTCTCCCGGTCCCGCTCCGCCGTCTCCTTCGCGAGCATAACTTACTCGCAGAAGGAGACGTCAGAGTTCCACGCACTCTCGCTCCGCACGATAGCCGCAATCAGGCTATCGAGCGAGAGAACTCCAACTCCGATGGCCGCCACGAGGTCTCGCCTCTGCTCAACCCACGCCGGGCACTCTGTCAGCGTGTGGAGAGCCGTGTGTCCACGGTCTGGCCATCGCAGTGGTGGCACTCAAGCGTTGGCTCCTTGAGGATCAGACACAGGTGATCCCCGAAACATTCTTTCCCAGTGATCACCTGTGTCAGTCGGTATGAGAGAGTCCCGTGACGCCTCTCGAGCCAATCCTCCATAACGGGTCTTACCGCTGGGATGACGGCGTGCCCGTCAGTTAATACCCTCATTGTGATTTTGGGGACCTAACACAAAACATCAAATTGATGCTTTCTACCAAACGGATCGCATCGCATCGGATAGATAAGAAAACGAACTGACGACAGTCGATAGCAACTGGCAGGATGTCGACGCATACGATTGGTTCTGTTCTATTATACTATATACAAATACTCAGTTTACATACTTACGTGTCGTGGTGCTTATTGTGGTGATGGTGAGTGTGCACACTAATGCGTCGTCTCGTGGTGAGCCCTGGTGTTATTTCTGAATTCTTATCTTGTCTGCTTATCAAACCTTTGCTGCTTACATAATGTTTTATTCGGATATGGAACTTTTTTTGTGGAGAACTTTAATTTCTCTTAGCAATAAAAGTACTTGAGAGCAAAAATAGAATATTAAGTCCTTACATATAAATATAAAGTCAATTTCTTTTTAAATATATTTAATTAATCAAAGTATGCACCGTTGTTATCTATGCACTTTTGTCATCTCATAGGTACATCACATCAACAGCCTTTAATAGTCCACTGCTGGACATAGGCCTCTCCTTAGAAAGAAGGTTTTGGCCTACTATACCACGCTGGCCAGACGGGTTGGTATAGGGTTTGTAGGGGCGAGGCCGTAGAGGAGTGGGCGGCCTCGGTGGGCCTCTGTCTCCTAAACAGAGGCTCCACCAACACGTGCGTGCGACAGCAGGGGGGGTCGATAGTGGACCTCTCGTTCGCTACCCCTGCCCTCGCCGCACGAGTAAGGAACTGGCGTGTCCTGGAAGAGGTTGAGACGCTCTCGGATCACCTGTATATCCGATTTGAGCTCTCCCGGACCCAGGACTCCAGTAGGGGTCACGTGGCGCGGCGTTTATCCCGCTTTCCGCGGTGGGCTGTTGCCAGGCTGAACCGGGACCTACTAGAGGAGGCAGCCATAATTCACTCGTGGCTGTCTCCTCAGGCTCCGACCGAGGAGGTCGACGTGGGGGCTGGCCGCTTTCGCGATGCGATTACGCATGTATGCGATGCGGCCATGCCCCGCGTTCGAGGTCGTCGGCCTCCAAGGAAGGAGGTCTACTGGTGGTCCCAGGAGCTGGCGGACCTCCGTGCGGCCTGTACACGTGCCCGGAGGTCCTACACGCGCAGTCGGCGGCGTCACCGTGGAGACGGTGAGGAGGACCGGCTTCATGAGGAGTACCGACGGGCGCGGAAAACTCTGAAGCTGGCCATTAGCCGCGCCAAAGAAGAGAAAAGACAGGAGATGCTGGAGGGTCTTAATCGTGACCCCTGGGGTCGCCCTTACCGCGCGGTGCGACAAAAGCTCCGCGCGTCGGGCCCCCCCCTTACGGAGACTCTCCAGCCCAGCTTCCTGCGAGAAGTGGTTGAGGGCCTTTTCCCGCAACGAGCGGAACACACTCCCCCGGCGATGGCCTCCTTGGCCGGAGACGACGGGGAGCACGGGGAGGAAAATGTTCCGCCCGTCCGGGATTCGGAGGTAGGGGCGGCTGTTCTACGGATCCGTTCCAAGAACACCGCCGCTGGGCCAGACGGGGTACCGGCCCGAGTGCTGGCCCTGGCCCTCAACCACTTGGCAGACCGCCTCGGGGAGGTGTTCGACGCTAGCTTGGCGTCGGGACGCTTCCCTGAGTGCTGGAAGAGCGGGAAGCTGGTCCTATTGAGGAAGCCGGGACGGCCGGCCGATTCGGTCGCGGCCTATAGGCCCATCGTGCTGCTGGACGAGGCGGGCAAATTGTTTGAGAGGGTTCTTTCTGCCCGCATCGTCCGGCACCTCTGCGAGGTGGGCCCCGATCTGTCGGACGCCCAATTTGGTTTTCGGGCGGGGCGTTCGACAGTCGACGCCGTGTTGCGCCTGAGGGCCGTGACCGAAGAGGCCGTGAGCTGTGGCGGCGTGCTGTTGGCGGTGTCATTAGACATCGCCAACGCATTCAATAGTCTGCCATTCAGCTGCATCAGGGAAGCACTCCACTATCATGGGGTGCCAAAGTACCTGAGGCGGCTGGTGGCAGACTATTTAGAGGAGCGTACCGTCGTGTACGAGGACCGAGAAGGTTATTTGAGGTGTCGGCCCATGTCGTGCGGTGTTCCACAGGGGTCTGTTCTTGGACCCCTCTTGTGGAACATAGGGTACGACTGGGCCCTTCGCGCCGATTTCCCCCCCGGGCTGGGTGTAATCTGTTATGCAGACGATACCTTGGTGACAGCCCGGGGGGCAAACTTCCAAGAGGCGGCGCGCCTGGCCACAGGGGGAGTCTCCCTGGTGGTCGGGCGCATTGAGGCGCTGGGCTTACGGGTGGCCCTAGATAAGACGGAGGCCCTGTTATTTCATGGGCCCCGTCGTGGTCCACCCCCTGGCGCCTCCATCGTGGTCAACTCGGTCCTCGTACCGGTTCGGGCCCAGATGAAATATCTGGGCCTGATCCTCGACGGGAGGTGGCTCTTCGACGAGCACTTCCGACAGCTTGCTCCAAAGCTGGTCGGCGCTGCGTCTGCCCTAGGGCGACTCTTGCCCAATATGGGTGGACCCAGCGTCGCGACAAGACGGCTGTACACGGGGGTTGTCCGGTCAATGGCGCTGTACGGTGCACCGGTGTGGGCGGCGGCTCTGACCGCCCAGAATAGGGTACGCCTCTGGCGCCCTCAGAGGGTAATGGCGGTCAGAGCCATACGCGGTTACCGCACCGTTTCGACGGAGGTGGCATGCGCATTGGCCGGAACTCCCCCGTGGGATTTGGAGGCGGAAGTGCTCGCCGAAGTTTATCGGCGAGTGGCTGACTTCCGGGCGGAAGGCGGATTTCGCCCTCCGCCCGAGGATGTGCGCGAGTGGCGCGAAGCCGCTCGCCGAGCCACGATGGCTCGTTGGTCGTTCCGGCTGGAGACTCCACGCGCTGGCTTCGCCGCCGTGGAGGCTCTCCAGCCGGTCATCGCCGAGTGGGCAGGGCGGCAGCACGGGACCCTTTCCTTCCGACTGACGCAGGTGCTTTCCGGGCACGGTTGCTTCGGAAAGTACCTGCACACGGTCGCTAGGAGGGAACTGAGTCCCGCCTGCCACCACTGCGACTGCAGTGAGGACTCGGCCCAGCACACGCTGGCGGTCTGCCCCGCATGGGCGGCGCAGCGCCGGGCCCTCACTGCAGTCATCGGAGTGGATCTCTCGCTACCGGCCGTAGTACGCTCCATGGCCGGTAGCGACAGTTGTTTTACCGCGGTCGCAACCTTCTGCGAGGTAGTAATCTCGCGGAAGGAGGCGGCGGAGAGGGCCCGGGAGGACGACCTCCACTCGGACCCGATCCGCCGCCGGCGAACCGGGCGGCGGAGGCCCGCCTACCACAGCCTCATGCCGCCCTGAGTGTGGCCGCGGGTGGACGGGGTGGGTTTCCCCTCCACCCGCATTAGTTGGCCAGCCGCGAGGGGGCGGCGTCCGCGTGTGCCGGACGTCGCCTAAAGAGAGGAAAATATACTGAGACGGAGCCCGCAACAGGAGCGGGCTGGCGCTAGGAGGGGTCCGGATGTCTTAACAACAGTTGTTCCCGGATCCCTCCTGTTACAGGCGCAGAGTGGCACACCGTGTGGTTTTAGTCGGTCCGAGTCCGACACACCACCCCGCCGCAAACCCCGGAGGGGTGACGGTCCGAGGGGATTTCCACACGTTAAAAAAAAAAAAAAAAAAGGGTTTGTGTCAAGTTTCCGTCTTTTTGCAGTGCTGGTGTCTGCGTTGTTTTGCGCCCTTAGTCGGTTCCTACGACACCCACGGGATGAATTGGGGTAGTGACATTCCGTATTCTTAATCCGTCACTACACGGACCTAGGTACATACTATAGTTCATTGATCCCTTTACTAAAAAAACATGTGGGGGGGGGGGGGATCAATAAACTCTTTGAAGGCGGTTTGGACTGCCGCATTGGAGTTGAATTTTGTTCCTTGTAAGAAATTGTCCAAATGCCGGCAAAAATGGTAATCTGTTGGAGTAAGGCCCCGGGAGTATGATGGATGTCGCAGACATTACAATTGTAGCTCATCTAACTTAGTGGTTGTTTGTTGTGCAGTGTGTAGTCTTGCGTTGTCGTGAAGCAGCAGTGGCCTAGAGCGTTTGACCAATCTCGGTTGTTTAGAAAGAAAAAAATAATTAGGAAAAAAGAAATGAATGACTGTTTTCAAAACTCAAATGTGCCAGCTAAATGAATTTATAAATTTAAATTTGGATTTCAGATCAAAGTGGTCAGTACGACAAAACGCTAATTTCAACATATTCCGTCACTACAAGTACTAACGAGAAATTATTTCTTCTTGGACATTATTTACATAGATTTATAACTTTATCTCTATTTTGAAAATTTTAATTAATCAGAAAAAATAAATTAACAATGGCAGTACCATAATATATTAAAATAATAGCATAAATTAGAAGTGTTGTGAAAATAGACCCTAATTTTGATTCCTACAAGATTAATTGTTAATTTAGGCTAATAAAATTGAATCATTAACATAACTTTAAATTAAAAATAACACTAGACAAATATGAAAACATACTTACGAACTTTCCTTTAAAAAGTATACTTTTTTCGCCCGATTGAGCTGAGATTTTTTAGTGCTTTGGTTTGATAGCATATATTATATTTTTTATCTGTACCGATTGCCGCGCCGGTTTTATCCAAATGACAATTGTTACTGTTGTCAACTCAATGTTGTCAATGTGATGCGAATTGGAGAAATGATACAACTTAAAATTAATAATCGGCTGTGAATAGTACTACTTTACGTATGTATAAAAAATAAACATGAGTAAATCCAAGATATCAGCAGAATGGAAGAAACGAGTAAAGTGCGAGTATATGAGGCTTCGCCAAATCAAGGTATGTTTTAGAACAAAGATGCAAAGTTATTTCTGACTTGTTTTCTTAATATTATTGGTTTCTAGCGGTTCAAACGCGCAGACGAAGTTAAAGTTGCATGGGCACGCAATCTACGGCTAATGTCGGAAGCTATTGAAGCTCGTGATACCGAAAGTATTGAAAGAGGACGAAAACCGTTTTGGCCGCCTCCTGCACCTAGTTGTAATCATGAGAGTCTCATGAAGAAAGCTGAAGTCTCTTACACAGATGGTAAGCGATTTCCGTATACCTTATTTATGTCCAATATACATTATTTTAAACAGTATATATTATCATTAACATGCGGAAAAACTGTCCACAGCTTATGGTGTTGTAACAACCCAACAAGTTCCAATACGCATCATTAACTCGGTCAACCCAATACCTACGATGTACACCTGGGCCCCCACACAGAAAAATTTTATGGTTGAAGATGAAACAGTACTGCACAACATTCCGTATATGGGCGACGAGGTCCTGGATCAGGACGGTACTTTCATCGAGGAGCTCATAAAGAACTACGACGGGAAAGTGCATGGTACATCTGCTTAACATCATAACTCCTTTGTCTGTGGACTGAGCCTTAAATAGTTTGAAACACATTTTTTATCCTCAAAGGGGTATACAGAGGCGAAGTATATGCCCGCATTTTGCTAACTATACTATTTAGTCCCAATTATATAGTAGGGGGTAAACCTATTGCCATTAATCGGGCACTAGACATGGAAATTTGTGCTACTTTTATATCATAATAATATGATGAAATGATTAGTGTCAGTCAAATGTGATTGTAATTTGACAATAGACAAAGATAAATGCCATCAAAATCAATCAACATTCCTTTTCATCAAAGATTTCAAGCCTTTTTTTTTAGGTTTAGACCTTTCACTGTCTGAGTTTGGTGCTACCGTAATCATAATAATCACAGTGGTTGTGTTAATTTGTCAGAGGTGTGATTATACATATCATTTATAATCACACCCGCACAGGTAATTGTGGTTTTAAGCCATCCCTACCGGGCACTTTATTTATAAATACATACATAATATAGATAAATTACACCCAGACTTAACAATGATCATGCTCATCACAATATTTGTCCTGAGTGGGAATCAAACCTACCATCTCAGGCTTAGCAGTCAAGATAGCTAACCATTACACTAACGGGCAGCCCCAAAGCATAATGAAAGTATTTATTTAACAAATCATAAGCTATGGTGTTGTTTGAGTGAATTCAATTCCATGTCTATGTAACTGTTGTATGATTGATAACCATAATGATGTTCGATGTGTGGTTATGTTATAAATTAGCCGTGTTTTTAATAAGAACTGTGATTATCAATAAAAATTAATATTAAAATTGCATCTAGCAAAATTTAGGTATGCCATACTTAAAATGTCCGTACAAGAACAATTTGAAACTAGACAAACTTATTTGTAATATGCACAGGGTTGCAAAAAAATCATAAAACTTCTTCTCAAACTTGTTTGGTAACTCTGGTTCTGTCCACAGACTGTCACAATTAAAATACACATTGGTGTGTGGTGCACACATCTGAGCTTATATATGTAGATATAAAAAACAGCCCTATTGTCAAGTCCGTACTAAATATGGGTTCATTTTTGATTCAAGCAACCTACCAAGCTGATGCAGACATGCATTTCAAGCTGGATATATAATCAGTAACGGTGCTACAACACCATTATATTTTTATACTTACTTTGAAATGTTCGCATTCTACGATAAATAGTTGTCTATACTTATGGGAGTTAATGAAATCAGATTAAAGGTACTATAAATAAATTAAATAGATTGCCCATGATTATAGGCTGATTCTATATCAGGCAATTAAGTTGTGTCTAACAATTTTCTATACATGATTTCATAAATTCTCATAACTGATAATATACACATTTATTAACCTTAGTTTGTCTTATGATCAGGTTACTTGTATCAAAAATGAACCAGAAATCATGTAAAATCAATTGTTTCGTTTTAAATGATTGAGTGAATTTGCAATTAATCTTGATCCTGGAAATTATTAATGCCAATTTCCTAAATTAGTTTTAAATTATCCATAAAAGATTGATAAATAATTACAAACTATAACTTAAAACAATAAATATGACTAAAGACAGTTGATCTGAATCATGGTCATATATTCAAGGTCATACAAAGATTTTAAATTTCTAAATTACACTTAAAAAATGAAAGGACCCTCATAAAACACCTGCATTCCTGTAAATTCATGTACCTGGTACTTTTGTACCAAGTCCCTATTGTTAATCCCAACTGTCTTTAGTTTACAACAGAAATATTGTTATGATACCCTGTGGGGAGCACAATTATTGCCTAATACATTTTATGTAGAACAAGTATACTTCCTATACAGTATGTTGTATATGGACTACTAATAGTTAGTTAGTACTCTGTACAGGCAAGTTTCTATGTATATTTGGGTGCATAGATACACCTATGAAAGTCTTCCTCTGTCATGATGCTCTTTATCTTCTATTTTTCTTTCATCAGTATGTTGCCAGCCACTGCTGTCCATAGACACTTGAGCTTCCATTTTTCACGGATTATTTTGTAAGGACCTGTGCTTCTCAAGTGTAGATAATAGATTTCTAATAATACTGTCACAAGCCTCCGCTCACATTGTCACGCTTGTCGAGCTTTTGTCACTGCTCACAGACATAGAGATATTATTATTAAGTTGTGTCAGAAAAATATTGTATGCTCTGTGTACCTTTAAAAAGAATTTCAATGAGCTCAATATTATTTTCTATAATGATCACTGGATATGGCCATCTAAAAACTTCTTAGCTATAAAAATGTAAATTAAAAAAAAAAAACAAATATTGCCAGGAACCCTTCACAATAGAGATTTAATAGACAAATTAAAAAAAATTGTGAAAGTACTTAAAACCAAAAAGAAAAGCTAGAAATAAGACCACAACATCTCAGTCCATCAATCACTTTATGCCTGACAGGTTTATATGTTCAGTGATATCTTATAATGTTTTTTTTTGTGGTCTTATTAAAATTAATTCTAAAAAAATACCTCTTGTATTCTGTGTCCTGTCACGTTATTATAACAACAATATTTTCTTAACAGTCCTTATTTTCTTACGCAGGTGACAAAGAAGGTGGATTCATTGATGACCAACTGTTCGTAGCGTTGGTCAATGCATTAATGTCCTTTCAAACTAAGGATGAAGTAACAGAGGAGCGAAGGGAAAGAGAGAAAGAAGCTAGGGAAGCTAGATTGTCTAAGGAAGAAAAGGAGGTGAGATGCAAGTCACTCATATGATTACACCATACTTAAGTGGGTAGATTTAGGGAAATGTAGCGACGCCATGATCGTCATACGATAACCCTAACGCCAAAATATCTCACACAAAATAATAATATATATCTCACACACGGCCGTCTGATCCCAAACTAGGCAGAGCCTGTACTATGGTAACCAGATTGCTGATAAACATACTTATATATTTTTAAATAGATACATATTATAGATAAATTACACCCAGACACAGAACAAATGACCATGCTCATCACAAAATATTTGTCCTGGGTGGGAACCGAACCCACAACCTCCATTTTAGCAGTCAGGGTCACTAACCACTAGATCAACAGGCCCATCAATACACACACATACATTGGTGACAGTGGCTATTGAGCATACAACTTTTCTGTTAAAGTAAGATATGTGTTAGTTTATATATTATTCTAATTTTATTTTCCAGAAAGAATCTGAAAAAGATAAGCCTAAAGAAAAAGACAAAGATAAACAAAAAGATAAGGACAAAGATAAAAACAAAGATTCTGACAAAGAAAAAAATAAAGATGCAGAGAAGGATTCTGACAAGGAAAAAGGCGAAACCAGCAAAGAAAAGGAGGAAAAGTTGCCGTTTTGTATAGAGAAGAAAATGCAGTTTCCCATATTCACTATATTTCAGGCCATCAGTAGCCAGTTTCCCGACAAGGGCACTGCTCAGGAGCTCAGAGAAAAGTAAGTTATTTAAGAATTAGAAATAACACATTTTACAATTATTAGACATGTACTCCGCTAGCTGATACCCGCCACTTCGTTCGCATGGAATTTGAAAAGCGCTGCCTTAGTGGGTTTGATGTCCGGACTGGCCAAAATTTTAAAGGGTTTTTTCTGAGTGAAAAAACAGCCTAAGTTATTTCCTATGTAGACAGCTACTTGGTAGTTTTTACTACCAAGTAATATTTTTATTATCGAAATCGGTCCAACCGTTTAGAAGGTTACCCGGAGCAAACGGACAGACAAAAATAATAATTAAACTGGTTTTTAGGCATAGGTTTCGTACAAATAACCCTGTGAGCATGAAAAATACTTATAATATTGACATTACAAACAGACACTTCAATTTTATTTATTTCCATAGATTAGCAAGTGCCTTCTGAAGTGTATTAGAAGATTAAGATACCTCGTGATTAATTGTATAGACAGCCTGCTGTGCTGTGTCTAGGTCGGAACCTGGATTAACACACATTTAGTTTAACTTATGAACGGAACGGTTTTGAAGTATAAAACATGTGTTGTATGGAGTCTACCAATAAGAACGTCCTGGTTTAAAAATTGAATAAAACACACAATTTTTTATGAAAAATGCATCCGATTGATTTTTTTGATAGATAATTTATGCAATTTTTGTTTTAAATAATATATTGGCCAAATGACCGCCGCGGCTCTTTTTGCAGACGGTCACCCGCTCACGCCAATTTTCGATGACGCGGTGCACCATTTCGGCCGGTATGTCGGCTATGGCTCGTCGAATGTTTTTTTTTAGGTCACGAATTGTAGCTGGATTATTGCTGTACACTTTAGATTTAACGTAACCCCAAAGAAAATAGTCTAAAGGTGTTAAAGCACACGATCTTGGTGGCCAACTGATCGGTCCTTTTCTCGAAATTAACGACTCACCAAACTTTCCACGCAATAATTCCATGTTCACTCGAGTAATGTGAGGTGGTGCACCGTCTTGTTGGAAATAAAGGTCGTCTGCATCAATATCATCAAATTCCGTAAAGAAATATTCGGTTAACATCGAGTTATAGCGCTCGCCATTCACAGTAACAGGGTTTCCTTCGTCACTTTCAAAGAAGTTTTGGAAAATTGCCAAGCATTGGTTTAAAGTGAAACGTGACATGGAAAAAATGGCAAACCTTACTGAACACAAATGTCAAGAGACGTCAAAGATCCATCATCAAACATGGCCGCTATGAGCTGTCAAAACCAGGTCATCCCTATTGGTAGACCCAGTACTTATGCTATGTTGTCTATTTTAGAGATAAATAAAAGGTTTTTTCTTTACAGATACATTGAGCTTACATCCCGCAGCGATCCCAACGCGCTACCGCCGGAATGCACGCCCAATATTGACGGCCCCCTCGCTGAGTCCGTGTCTCGCGACCAGACCATGCATTCGTTCCACACACTCTTCTGTCGGCGCTGCTTCAAATACGACTGCTTCTTGCACCGTAAGTATTTTTTGCATCATGGCCGAGTCGGAGTCTAGTGCGCTAGACTGCTCCTAGGACCCTAAGTGTCTCCCATATTTACTCTTGCATCTTTTTCAAGCCGGTGTGATGGAACCAGACTATGTATTGGTTCCGTAAACTCTTCCGCTGGCATTTCTGGGACTACGACTGCTTCTTACACAGTAAGTGTCTTCTGCATTCTGGACGAGGTTTCAACTAATGAGCCTCCTTTCCACAGTCCTGGAGCTTCTAATACAGCTGTCTGTGTCTCGCTAATAGACTGTGAATTTTCTTCACAAGCTCTTTGCCACTTTAAGTATTGTTCTACTAATAGATGGACCACCTAGAAAAAGAAAGTTAGGAATCTTGCCTAAAGTATGACGAGTGCCGTGTTTCCTGTAAATTAATCCTGGACCCTTCTTGGGGTCAGTGTGCCCGACCAAACGATACTTCCCCTATGATAGTACACCGCAGAGATGCCACGAATGGTGGACGAATACCGACTATTCGAAGGCGAAATGCTGAATATTGGGCGTGGCGTTGGCGCACTGTGATTGGGTCTTGTCACAACACGTTATGTACACTTTGTTTGTTGTTATGTTAGTATTGTTACATTAAATTAACTTCTACTCGATCGTGATGGTGATTGGCTTGAACTAAACTCTTCACCAATCACAACACCGAACGCGGTCAATGTGATGATCGAGTATTACTTTGATGCCGTGGCGTGGCGTCTTTACGAGGGCTACTGTTGTGCATGTATCCGGAACTGGCCAGTTACAGAACAATATTAAAAAAGTAATTATAACATTTAAAAATGGAACTCTTTGGCTGAAGAATACAATTTGTTTCATGTAGCTGTCATTTGTTTATCCTTTGTGGCGTCATTTTGATAATTGCGTGTCTTAGCACTATATTTAACTAGTGATAATTTTTCTGCTATGATTTATTATGATTTTCGGCGATGGCTAACTCAAAAACAGTGTATCGATCAACTCACTTCGACTTTTGGGGACGAAGGACCATCAAAAACAACTGTGTGTATTCTGGGCGGTCTGTGCTCACGGACGAATTTAAAGAAGGTCGGCCTAAATAGGTTGTTGTACTTCAAAACACTTCGAACTAATTATGCAAGATTGTCATGTTACATATCGCGAGATAGAGTATCTGAAAATATGACGTGTATATATAAAATATTACACGAACATTTAGCTGTAAAAAAAAATTTGTTCACGTTAGATGCCGTATAACTTGAGAATTGACCAAAAACGGGCTCGTGTCGATTAGTGAAAAAAATGACACAAAAAGACAATCTGTCTATAATATCTACACAGGTGATGAATCTTGGATATATGCGTATGATCCTGAAACTAAACAACAATCAACGGTTTGGGTGTTCCAAGAAGAGCCGAACCCAACAAAAGTCATTCGTTCAAAAAGCACTTAAAAAGCAAATGGTTGCTTGTTTTTACCACACATCAGCCGAAACAACTCTGTATTTGGAAGATCAAAAGATCGAATTAACTGGTCATCCGCCGTACAGCCCTGACTTGGCCCCTAACAACTTCTATTTATTCCCAACCGTGAAGAATAAATTACCTGCTCAACGTTTTTCGAGCCGTGTAGAGGCTGTTGATGCGTTCATAATGCACGATTTGGAGATACCACAATCAGAATGGAAAAAGTGCTACAAAAATTGGTTCCAACGTATGCAAAAGTGCATCGATCATCACGGCGAATATTTTGAAAACTAATAAAACTATAATAAATGCTATATGTTGTTTTCACTTCGTTATTCCGGATACATAAATAGCAACTCTCGTAGTACAGAGCATTTGGAAAGAGCATATATTGTTAAGAGATTTCATTGTAGTATGTTTGGTGATTACGGATTGTGTTGGTCGTGGAAAATAAATAATTTTGTTTTGTGATGAAACTAACGCTAAATTTTCGACAGTTTTTCGCCAATGGGCCGAGATACATTATATAATGGGTATACAGATATAATCGATCTAAGTAACGTGCAATGGGAGGGGCATATGTCTAGCAGTGGACTGCGATAGGTTGATGATGATGATACATGCTGTTGATGTGACAGTATTTTATTAAATGTATACATACACCACGTATATACTGAGTTTATTATTGAACCTAATTAATAATCCGACAAAAGTCTATCTACAGAACTTTGATATCGAATAGGGTTGTGGAGGTCTGATGGCAGTCACTCTACGTAGAAAATCTAAGTTCAGCCTTGTCATAGTACACTGAAAGCCAACCCCAACCTAGTTTGGGAAAAGACTTGGATGATGATGATGATGAGAAATTCTATCCATCTCAAAATAAAAAAAGTGTGTGTCAGCTCCTACGCACAACTGGAGTTTACTCCTTAAGAACGCATACTCTGTGTACGTCGGCTGCACAAAAGTTTTGTGATCAGCGCCATCTATGTAAATGTTAGTAAAATAATTAGAAGTCACATATTAATTGCCATTTATTTTGGGATTTATTCTGTTTTAAAAACATTTTCATTTTGTAGAGGACTACTCACTAAACTGATACAAATTGCAATCATAGAACTAATATCAAACTCACAAAAAACATAACAACCACGAAAAAATAAATAGTTGAACCGCCATCTATAAATTATATTTAGAACTAAAAAAACGTAACGAGGTCAATCGATCACTAAATTTTACTGGTCATATTTTCATACCGCCTTACATGAAAATCTCTTCTAAAGGAGTAAACTCAAAAAATTGATTTAAATTGTGACTATTTCTGTCATAAAAATAAATTTGTTTGTGATATTCCCATGTCCTCCTATATATTATGTATATAAAATATTGGATTAATTTTTATAGAACATATTTTAAATATTAATATAATTATAATGTAGATGTAATTTTTTTAGTAATTAGTAATATTTGTATTGACATGCTTTTAATTAATGATATCTACAATGTTATAGAATAAAATATAAATAACTATTTAGATGTGTGTAATATTTGACTGCTATAATGAAACAAATTAACCGCCAATTGTCTACCTTTAAATCCTCTTTGGTTTCCTCAAAACTTTTTGAGTTTTAAAAATACTACAACGCAGTGCCTTCCAGATAAGGCCAGAATGCCAATTCTCGTAATAAAAATTCGGTCAAAATTCAGTTCCGATTTACTTTCGATCTCACAACTATCATAAAAGGTATTTTCGTAGTAAAGTATTAAACATCCAACGTTGACTGTAATGTGATTATATCGTATTGTAACCGAAAGTTGAATTGGTAAATTGTTAGTCTTAGTAATACTTTATTTTACAGTTCTTAGTAATACCGTTAACGAAATTTGTGCGATCGAGAACGAATTTTTATTACGAAAATTGACCCTCTGGTCTTTAGATCGTCTATGGGCACGTGTTTGATTCATTACGATAGTCTCATAAGGCCAAGTATCTAAATAAAAAAAATCTTGATGACATTTTGGACATCCCAGACAGAGGTCTGAATTTACAAAAATTCGATAAATAATAAACATTATATTCAAACTACTTATTTTTGACTTCTAAGTGAGATTTGATGGAAAGTAAATTTAATAAAATTACTAAAAAACCTTGGTAATGTTAACCTTAAAGATTGCCCTTGTAACGATGTGTGACCAAGTAAGCAAACGCAATTGGTGGCTTTGTTTCATTATCGTGGCCATTTATGCTAGGGTTTGACTAGTGTGTTATTCTGTTCGCAATCAGGAGGTCAAGCGGCAGGTAAGGCCGTTATAGACAACCACATATATTCATCGATATTATTATTATTTCTGCTATTGTCTGACTACATTGATTCACCTATGATTGTCTATGATTTCAATATCTATCTATTCAAATGTCTTTCATTCCAATTTTAAATCTGTATGTGTATTTCTTAATTCAAAAATTTATAAAAAAATAATGCATGTTTGACAGCTGACATTTTGAATTACGAATACATTTCCACAAATTAAATGGAGCTCTGTGCACATTATTTATTTATTTATCCAAAACGCCAAATATTATCAATATAATTTGCCTATTAATGTATCATGATATTTTTTTATTCATGTATCTACTAGATTACCTTTATTTTTTTCAATTCACTATTATCAAACATATAAAAATAGCTGAATGTTGTTAACTATGTCATTATAAATATATATATATATATATATATATATATGTTATAAAATATGGTTGAGCAGTTCTCATATATAAATTTGTATAATAATTTTTATTAAATAAAAATATTCGAAATTGCTTAATTTACGAACGTCTTGGCACAAGACTGCAGTCAGAGTGGTACTTTTTTCGGTTTGAGAGTGTTGCCATATATGCACTGAAGGGAAAAGGCATTTTTTTATGTTCTAACAGAGCTCTAATTTTTAAATACACCCACTATTTAAAAATTAAACATTTAGGAAAATATATTTACTCACGCCTATATCCTAGACGGAGCAGCCAAAGGCATATTAGTAAATGCCTATTTTGTTGCCGGTAATAATTTAGTCCCAACCGCCAGTCAAGTCCGCCGGGAGTTTTAGATGCAAAAAATATTTTTTTAAAGGTTTGTACGAAAATAAAGCCATAGAAGGACTGAGATATTGGTTATTAACATTAATTACAAAAGTGGGAGCGCGGGTTGACACAATCACATAGCATTTTAACCTTAATTTTGAAAAAATAAATACAACTCGACACGCGCTTGTCTGATACTAAATTAGACAGAGGCTGATAGTAATCAGACAGCTGATAAACATATATTTCTCATACACATCCGAGGCATAGAATAGTGGGAATCGAATACACGAATCTCACTGACTACTAACCTACAGGCGAGTTGAAAATCCCTCTCGCGAATCGAAAGTCTATTTTATTATTTGTTTTCCTGCAAGGAGGTTAGTATAATAGGCCAAAACCTCCTTTCTGCGGAGAGGCCTGTGTCCAGCAGTGAACTACTAAAGGCTGTTGATGATGATGTTTTCCTGCAACTCAAAATTTACCAGTGCGTTGCGCCTTTTGAGACCTTCCCCCCAGAATCAAGCTTCGGTAACTTCACTCACTCGGTGAAAAACAACGAAAGGACTGTTTAACACCGGTTTTCTGTTAGACCGGCCCGTTTGTGCCGAAGTATGGCTCTCCTACGGACGGATAATCATAATCACGGATGACACTGAGTGAGTTCACAGTTACGTGCATTTCTCGCAGATTATCGTTAGATTGTAAGAACACAACACCCGTTCTCAAACTTAGAAATACACACGAAATATAAACACAGGGCGTGAGGGGTCTATAGACCGATCGGAACGAAGTTCCTCAGGAAGTGTCGCAAAAAAGTCTTGTTACACATTTTTCAGTCTCGCTTCCATCCGCTCAGAGCGTGTACCGCGCGAAGAGGAACCTGCAACTGCTCAATCATAATTTGTAAATTATCATCACAATATATGTATATAGTTTGCGACTACAAACAATATTGTAACACGTGTAAATGGTTAAACGTACAGGTTTACAAGCGTGCCACCCCGGCCCTAACTTGACGAAACGTAAGGGGCCCGACCTAAAACCCTTCAATGAGCCCTGCGGACCTAGTTGCTACATGCTTTTGGTGAGTTTATTTCAAGTTTCATATCTTTTATTGGCACACAGCAGTTGAATATGCTAGGACTGTAAGTGCGATGTTTTGTCTTTTTCCTGTTTTGTTACCACACTAATAATCTTTACTTTTGTCTTTACTATCTTGTAACTCTGTGTGTGTTTAATTCTTATTTTTTTATTTATTTATTTATTCTTTATTGTACACACTGAACACATACATATATATAAGTAACAAGGAAATGTCATTCTTCTTATTAAATTAAAATAGAATAGATTTTTTTGTTGATATACACTATGGCTGCACCTCGCTTCCTACGGTGCTAAGTGTTGTGGGTTCGATCCCTGCATGGGACAGCACCTTGAGTGATCCACAAATTGTTTTTCTGAGTCTGGGTGTTCTTTGTGTCCGTTTCATGTATGTTTGTAAAATCCCCCGCGACACAGGACTTATTACTAGTACGGGAGTTGTCTTTAAAAAAATAATTGAGTATCAAAAGTATCCATGTCGGGTGTGCTTTATTCTTTTAATATATAAATTTCACTTAGTTTTACTTTTATTCTTGCTATAAACAGTTTAAATTATAACACACAATAACAAATTAACTAACTCAAAACAATGAATATTATTATATATTGTGGCATATACTATACATTAACACCAGAGTGTTTGATTTATTGACATTGGTATGCCTAACACATATTTTCATTAGAATCAAATCAGGTATTCTTCTCTAAGATTCACTAAATCAAACTAGACTGTACTTTGTTTTTTTTTTTTTTATTTATGAATTATTTCTTTCTTTTACAAGTCTTTCTTTTTAAATATGTACTTAATTATGATGTTTACTTGTTCGTAGGAGGGGATGCGTGAGAAACTAGCTCGGGAGAAGCTCGCGGGGGAAGAGGACAGCAACAACAAAGGGAACAAAACTCACGCCATCGACTCACCCAACGACGCCTCCTCCGAGGACAGTAACGACAGCAACCGCTTCCAGAAGGGTACGCATTTCAACTCTTTATATTCCCGCCATAATTAAATGTTGAAACTTTTTTAACTATATTTAAATTGTATATAACCAATTGTTTTTTTAAATAAATTACGTTGCTTTACCTTAATTCAATTTTTTTAATGATACACGGACGTCTGATCCTAAATAAAATATTGCTGATAAACATAATTATATATTTCTAAACACATAAATATTATAGAAAAATTATAAACTGACATATTAGCCATGATCACTAACCCCCTTTATTTTCGGTGAAATCCTCTCGGACACCACTCACCGGTGGGGTGTCATGTCGAACTAAAACCGACTAAAAACCGCGCGCCGTTTCGCAGTAGCCAGGGAACCAAGTGTACCCTAGAAAGGAAATCCTTGGTACCCCGACCGACCCAAACTATCTACGGCCTGTACATAAAACCACCTCGTGCATGATCACTAAACCCTAGACCAAACGGCCCGGTCATGGCCAACGTCTGTTTATTGCGGTCTTAAACCAGAATTACACTTGATGGTCCATTATCAGTCTTATAACTTTTTTAAAGTTTGTTGTTAAATGTACTACATTGAAAAATACCACATAACACATTACTCCACAGATATGCCAGACAGATTAGATACAAAAAGGTGTAATGTTGGTGCAGGTAGCAACAGCAACTCCAGCAACAGCAACTGGAGCTCCAAGAGTCACCTGCCGCAGGGAGACGCAGCGCTGGAACCAGCTGAGCCTGCTTACAACGCTTTAGGTAACTAGCTACTGTAAGGTTTATTCAGGTACTGTGCACAGTTTGACTGCAACAGCAATCGAAACATTGTATCAGAGATTTTTTTATTTTATGATATAGGGGGCAAACGAGCAGATGGGTCACCTGTTGGTAAGTGACTATCGCCGCCCAGGAACACCAGGAAGTGCCAGAAATTGCACATTGACCACATGAGAGTAGATTTCGGGCTCGGTTCCTCACTCAGTCGTGTGGTGACGAATTAAGAATACAGAATGTCACCACCCCTCTTCATTCCCTGGGTATCGTTAGAGTCGACTGAGGGAGCAAACTACGCAGGACAACAGCACTGCAAAGAGAAGGAAAACTGGAAAGAAACCCTATACCAACCCGTCTGGGCAGCGTGGTTTAGTAGGCCAAAACCTCGTTTATAAGGAGAGGCCAATGTCCAGCAGTGGACTAGTAAAGGCTGTTGATGATGACCTCACTCACTCCATCCACCTAATAAACCATCAGTTACAGCAGACTGTCACCGCTTACCATTAGGTGACCCATATGCTTGTTTGCCCCCCAATACCATAAAAAACCCTTCAAACATCTGATGAATAAATCATCTAGATGAATAGTTCGTTTCTGAACTGCACGGTAAGTTAAAAAATATACAGTTGAATGTTGTGTGTGTTGCAGGATTGACGGTGGGCGACATAGACTCTGAGTGGACGGGGTCGGACCAGTCACTGTTTAGAGCTCTGCATAAAGTGTTCGTCTCCAACTATTGTGCCATCGCTCAACTCATGCTCTCCAAGACTTGCCAACAGGTACGATTACTACTTACTAATCCATGTAATTATATAATATATTTTACTACATTCACACAACGCCATCTAGTCCCAAACTAAGCAGAGCTTGTACTATGGGTACTAGACAACTGATATAAATACATATATACTTTTTTTTTGTAAATACATACATATTATACATAGAAACATCCAGACCAAATCAAACATTAAATGTTCATGCACAAATGTTTGACTTGAGCGGGAATCGAACCCGCGACCTCTGGAATAGCAGTCCGTTACACAAACCACTACGCCATCCTGTTGTCGAAAAGTTAAGTTAAAATTAAAGTTTGTATTATTGAGTTGTCAAAAGTACAGTTTTTTGATAAAGTTATGGCGGCCAAATTATGTACTACTTCATCAATTGTTGTGAGAACAATCTGCATTAGATACAAAATCAAACGGGATCAAACAGAAGAGAAACCTGAATATCAACCTCTTCAATTAAAAATAATTGGTATTAATGAAAGTAAATTTTTATTATATTTATTTGCCTTAGTGGTGCAGTGGTAGCGTATACGACTGCTTTGCCGAGGTCTTGGGTTCAAATCCCGGGTCCTACCAAATGTTTGTATGATGTGCAAATATTTGTTTCGGATTTTCGGTGTTTTCTATGTATAATATGTATGTATTTACAAAAAAAAGCCAATCTAGCTTTCATAGTACAAGCTCTGCTTAGTTTGAAACTAGATGGCGTTGTGTCAGAAGTCCGAAAATATTTATTATTATTATTACTTATTAAGTAATCAAGGCGCTGGGGTGATTAAGAGTCAATCAAGTAGTATTGTTTACTCAGGTGTATACGTACTGGATCAACACTGGCCAAGAGGAATGTAGAGTGGAGGCGGAACTAACGCCGCCGCGGAAGAAGAAGAAGAAACACCGTCTCTGGTCCGTGCATTGCCGCAAGATACAACTCAAAAAGGACTCCGCCTCTCATCATGTGTAACTACTACTTTTGTTGTCGTTAATTAGGGTCTTTTTAGTATTGTCAGTATAATTATTCCTGTGTTAGGCGGAATAAACGAGAGTGGACTGTATAAATAATTATTTAAAACACTGGTTAAGTACAGTAAAGAATATAAAAGTATGAAATGTATGTAAGGACTTGACGTATATATGACGCTTGTGACATCTCGTCGCGCCCGATGTCCCCTCTCTGTCTCTGTCGCTGCCGATGTCCTTGAGCACGTGTTGAATAATTCAACAAGTATTCAACTAGAACTGTTTCTGAACTAGTTACGAGTAAACATATACAGTGGTTTTAGCGGTCACCTCGCCGCTTCCTACTTTATGTGATCTACAAATTGTAGTCCTTTTTTTTTTCCGTGCCGAAATCCCCTCGGATACCACCTATCGGTGGCATGTCGGACTCGAACCGACTAAAACCGCACGCCGTCTCGGGTACTAATAGCCGGGGAACCAGGTATACCCTAGAAAGGAAGTCCCTGGTGAACAAATTGTAGTCCTAAGTCTGGGTGTTCTTTGTGTCCGTTTCATGCATGTCTGTAGAGTCCCCCGCGACACAGGATATATTCCTAGTGCGGCAGTTGTCTTTTAAAAATAGGAAGAACATATTTGTATTGTTTGTGCAGGTACAACTACACGCCGTGCGACCACCCCAACCAGCCGTGCGACAACATGTGTCCGTGCCTGCAGTCCCAGAACTTCTGCGAGAAGTTCTGTCAATGCAGCACCGACTGTGAGTATTTACACGTTCAACCATTTCTAAGGATTGTAATCCAGATAACCGGATCCGGCATTTTCATTTTACTTTACTTTATTGCGAACACAAGATTTATAGGATTCAATGTGTGATGACGGATTAAGAATACAGAGTGTCACCACCCCTATGCATTCCGTGGGTCTCGTAAGAGCCGACTAAGGGAGAAAACAACGCAGGACAACAGCACTGCAGAGAGAAAGAAAATTTGACACAAACCCTATACCAACCCGTCTGGCCACCGTGGTATAGTAGGTCATAACCTCCTTTCTACTATTGAAAGCTGTTGATGGTGATGATGATGATGATAAAAAAAACACACAAACCAACAAAATCTACAAACCAAAATACAAATACACACAAAAAATACATAAAGAATTATGTTGCCGTTTTGATCCAGTGTTTGTACATACAAGACGTAATTCTTTTTTCTGACACTTCTTATAATGATATTCTTACACCGGTCAACACTGGACATGAATTATTGTACTATACGGTTTCTTTGGATGGCTTCAAAGGAGTTAACTTGCGCCTCGAAGAACATACCGGAAGCCCTACAGTAGCGTGGTAGTCCCATAAGTTAAGTCTAATACTATTAATTGATTTCTTAGTATAATTAGTCCAAAGTTAGTTAGCTTTCTTAATACAAGCTCTGCTTAGTTTAAAACTAGATAGCTTTGTGTCAGATGTCCGAAATAAAATTAAAATTAAAGTCGACAAGTGTAGAATGTCTGACAAAAGGAGCGAAACAATGTCAATTATGTCAAACTGATGTCAGAATGACGCTATGCCACTAACTGTTATACATGATAGGGATATGACATAACATTTACGTAATATTTAAGTCATAATTATGACGTTTTACAAAAGGCCAATTTTAGGTCAGTACTATGTCATAATAATGTCGTAATATATCACTTCATATTTTTATTTCCTATCTATGTACATATTCCATGATCTGACCTATCTATGACGTCATATGGAGGTCATGTGTTCACTGGGATTTGAGTTCTCATGAGTTTCCTATCCATTCCATCTACTAGAACCAAGTTATTGCCTTCCATCCTTTGAAAAGCTTCAGCACAAAACATTGCCTTTGCTCTTTCTCGGCGTCACTCAAGAAAGCCGTGTATGCGGCGTGAGGTCGGCTCGATCCAGGCCAGTTAGGTTAGTTATTATTAACCAATGTAAACGGTAACCGTTTGGCCCTCGGCAGGTCAGAACCGGTTCCCCGGGTGCCGCTGCAAGGCGACGTGCAACACGAAGCAGTGCCCGTGCTACCTGGGCGTGCGCGAGTGCGACCCCGACCTGTGCACCGCGTGCGGCGCCGACGCGCCCGCCCCGCCCCGCGCCACCGCCCGCCACGCCCCGCAGCAGTTCTGTAAGAACGTGTCGGTGCAGAGGTACGTGTGTACACGCTGCACAGCAAAGTCCACAACAAAGTTTTAATGTTGAAGCAGAAGTCAGCAGCTGCTATATTAAGAGTCTTTGTAGGCGCCTCTGACGCTGTAATTTAATGCTTCGTTCCAATATGTAGTTGTAAAAAACCTTTTAGGAATCGCCATTTCGATTTAGCGTTACTTACAGCAAACAAAAACGAAACCATTATTTTGTGTCTGTAAGTCGAAAATTTGCACGCTTAAAACAAATACCATTCTTATTATTTTCTTATATGCTGTTTTATTAGGAATATAGATCTAAAATTACTTAATGCTTTTCGACTCAGAATGATGGTCTGAATACACTCTTTCAGTATTCGTTACGACGTCCCTTACACCCTGTATAATCAATTAATATCAAATGAAGAAATAGGTTTTTCCGTCATCATCATCAAATCATGTCAACAAATCGTATATCAGTATATTAAATGTTAACGTATATTCAAATTTAGTTGAATAGAATCTTGACATATCTTTTTATGTTCCCTCAGGGGTTTACACAAGCACCTGCTGCTCGCCCCCAGCGACGTGGCGGGTTGGGGTATATTCCTGAAAGATGCTGCACACAAGAACGAGTTCATCTCGGAGTATTGCGGCGAGATCATATCACAGGTCAGTGTTCAATAGTATATCTCTAAATTTTCACATCAATAAATAGCGGAGTCCCTTACATACTCCATTCCTGACATAGGCTTCCCTTAGAAAGGAGGTTTTGGTCTACTATACCACGCTGGCCCCAATGGGTTTGTGTCAAGTTTTCCTTCTCTTTGCAGTTATGTTGTCCTACGCCGGCTCCCTTAGTCGTCTCTTACGACACTCACGGAATGAATAGAGGTGGTGACACTTCGTATTCTTAATCCGTCACCATATTTGTTTGTTGAAATGTTTGTGATGTTTCAGGACGAGGCAGACCGTCGCGGGAAAGTCTACGACAAGTACATGTGCTCCTTTCTGTTTAACCTCAACAATGGTAAGGCATCTTTTTTAGTTTTTATGCACGGGATTAGTAATTATTATTTATGAATTAAGGGGCAAACGAACGAACGAGTCACCTGATGGTAAATTCAGTTTACAAGATTTCCACTCCGACCAAAGGTTCCTTGAATGCCCTGGGCGTCAATTCTGCTCTTTTAATATGGTATCAATAGATTGTCGATGGACTGTCGTCGGAATAGTTTTGCACTTTTCGTATTCTACTAACTATTTAAGACCAATGACTTGTCACTGAACTGCCACTCATACAAATGTCGTCGATGTCTTGTTAATAGTTTGGTAAACGGTGCATTTTAAATTTGTAAGGATTTTTTATCCAGATATGGCAATGATGTTGATATTACCATTGATGAGCCATTGTCACTACATCGTCATTCTGTTGACGTAATTAATAGCAGAATTGAGGCCCTAGGCATTATCCGCCTAAGTACAAATATATAAAGTTTATAAATAAATGAATGACTACCGCCCCCCATGGACACCTGTAACTGAAGAATCACAAGTATGTCTCCGCATTTTGAGTACCCTCCAACCCCCCTAAACTAGGCGAGAACGAGGAGACTGTATTGACAGGCCCACTCAAAAATATGGTCCTTTCTTCAGGCTAACGATTATATAATTCCAGATTTCGTCGTGGACGCGACTCGTAAAGGTAATAAAATACGCTTCGCCAATCACTCCATCAACCCCAATTGCTACGCAAAGGTGATGATGGTGAACGGTGATCACCGCATAGGCATATTCGCCAAGAGAGCCATTCAGCCTGGAGAAGAGCTGTTCTTTGATTACAGGTAAATTTACCTTCAAGAGAGTTGTACCATATTTATCGACATAACGCTAGATAGAGTTACATGTATGCGAAACATAATAAATGCTAGTGTGTCTGTCTGTTACATCTTCACGCTTAAACCGCTGAACCGATTTATATGAAATTTGCAAGGACATAGGGTAGTTTTTATCTCAGAAATCATCCTTTAATATGTTACATAAATATTATTATGAAAGACTAGGTATTATGTCTCTATGTCTGTGTGCCTTTGTTTTTATAACAAAGAACACTGACACAGCTTCATTAAAAACTTAACCTTAACCATTTTTTAAAACAGATAATTTATCAAAAAAATATCCTATACAACAATTATTTCTTAACTTAAGAAAATATTTATGTATTTTTAGATTTAAAAAATATTTTGTACTCGTTTTTTCTATTTAGTGATAATTGTTCATAGTCAGAATTGCCTTATTTTTCATTTTAATATTATTTTAAATGTAAATAGAACAGTTCGAGATAAAATAAACTAAGTCATAAAGCAATATAACAATTTTAAGATACAACTTTCATTTAATACTAAGAAATTTTTAACAATATAATTTTAATATTCAAGTTACTGTTCTAATTTATTTACCAAACTATTGCCCGCCCACTGTCGCTATCCTTCTCCTTTATTTAATTTGTATAATTTACTAGACTAATGTTGACTATCTACAATAATGCTATTTCATACCGTCCTTCTTCTCTTCGCAGATACGGACCAACGGAACAGCTTAAGTTTGTTGGCATCGAAAGAGAAATGGAATTCTTATGAGAGCAGTCCAAACAGCGAACTGAACAGTCAGTGTCGCATTCCACTACAAGCTTTTTAAATAAAAAACTTACTCACACTACTGTAGGAACCATCAGCCAAGGCGTCAGCTCCACATCTAGGAGCCCTAACGCCGGCTCACTCACCCCTCAAATACGAACAGAATCAAAGCCTCCCACAGAACCCAGATCAAAGTCAAACGACCAATCGAAGTCCCGTAGTCGGTCGAAATCAAAAGATAGACTGGAATCAAAAAGTCGACCGTCAACTTCTAGACAATTGTCTAAATCTAAAACGAATACAAAACTCCTTACAAATATTAAATCATTATCATATTCAAAACCAAGAGAGCAAACTATATCAAAAGCTCGAGCGCAATCAAAGGATCCATCTACTTCAAGAAGTTCATCACAATCGAGGATTCGACCAAAATCGAGATATCAGTATATGTCTAAAGTTCGACGGGAATCTCCACATCGATCAAAATTTAGAAGCCGTTCGAAATCTAGGTATTTACAGAAGTCCATTGGGCACCCAAAACCCAGAAGTTCGTCAAAGTCGAAGTCTAAAAGTCGATTTACTCCGGTACCAGGACCCTCTTTTCAGAGATCAAAATCGAGGAGTCCATTACAATCTGAATATCATCAGAAATCAAAATCTAGACCAAAGTTAAGCCGATCTACATCTCGAACGTCTTCCAGAAGTTTATCAAAACAGCGTGTACGATCAAGAAGGAGAAGCCGAACGCATTCTAGAAGTCGAGTTAAACTGAGAAGTCGATCAAAATCAAGAATTCGTTCCACAGCGCGCGATCGATATAAATCGAATAATAGATCGGAGTATAGACCCAAATCAAATACAGTAACAAAACCGTCAAGTCTGCGAACAGAAGATTTAAATTATATGAAACGAGTTACTGTTGCTCTAACTCTCCCTCCACCTACGATGATGACCGCTACCACGCAAAGGTTCCACCTGCCACCGCAATCTCGAGAACGTTCTAAATCGAGAGGACGACCGAAATCAAGAAGTCGATCGATATCAAAAAGCCATCCAAAATTAAAAAGTCTACAATCTAAACATAGGTTAAAATCTAGAAGCCGATCGAAATCAAGAAGTCGTTCAGAACTGAGAGCTTCAAGGCGGGTAACTTATCCATCCAAATCTTATAGTAGATCGACATCGACCTGCAGCTCCAGTACATCAACATCGAGTAGTCGAACGAAGCGGCAGACATCTGTTCGACCGAAATCAAGAGGTCGACCTAAAGGTTCGAAAGACAAAAAGCCAAGGAAAAGAAAGCGTCTGAGATCAAGAAGCCGTTCTCAATCTAATAGTCGACCTAAGTCTAGAGGCAGATCAAAATCGAAAACTCGAACTAAATCGAGAGAACGACACAAATCGAGGGGTCGGCCGAGTGGTTCTAAGGATTTAAAACCTCGAAGGTAAAAAGCGAGATACTCGTCAGACTGATTTTATGCAGTTGTGCAACTGATAGATTATAAGTTTAAAAATACTGTTTTTCAACATTTCGTTTACATTCATAGCTTATCTTTAAGTGATTTCTTAGTTCGTAGCACGTGTAGGATTTCATCATAAACACTATCTAATAATATTTTTGGTAGTATTATATTTTCATTTGAGTTTGTAAGTACGTGAAATATCGATGGAATAAGAACAATTATTTTTATATTTCATAGTCGTATTCTTGAGCTAAGTGGCTCGTGGCTAAGTAGTAACTAAGCAGGTTAACATATTGTAAAGTTAAGCAATATTAGCCAGGTCAGTGTACGGATGGGTGACCATTCTCAACACATTGAGACCCCTCCGTGTCTCAGAGAGTACCAAGACAGTTAAGCGGTCGGTTGGTAAGAAAGTTCGACAAGTCTTTTTGCTGAACTTCGATATCGCTTAGTACAAGTACTAGGCGACTGCCATCAGAGCTCCAGAACTCAAGAGCTGGAATTCTGATAGCAGTCGCTCAGTTCAGCCGTATCTTAGTAGACTCAAGGTTGACCCCAACCTAGTTTAGGATAAATGCTCGGAGGTAGTAGTCGTATTCTTGAGGAAGATTGTAGGTTATTTTACGGGGATGAACCTTCTAACTTTAAGTGAATTCTCTAGTTTTACCGTAATAGTAGGGGAACCCTAGAAGAGATTTCAGGATTTACTCGAGCGTGGTAGATTAACATAACGAGGAATACCTTACACCCAGTTAAGTACCTCCACCGTACATGAGCCCTACATATAGGGGAGAGTGTCTAGGACAGCCCATCAGATTAGTTAAAAAAATCTCTGACCAGAAATACTCGAGCTTGTAAGTGTATTTAAAAAAAAAAATAGACGATTTGAGCGTGACGTAAAGCAGTAGGAGTCACAAAGTTCCAAAAATAACATGACCTTTACTTTTTATTTTATTTTAAAGCAAACAATCCAAGAAATCTTTAAATCTCTAAATAATTTTTCGTACTACCTACGGGCACGTGTCACATTTTATAAAAAATGATACCATGCAGGGTATTAAAAAACTGACTGTTAGAAATATGTTTATTTCGGAAGCATTTTGGCATATCCCCAAAATATCTGATGCCGCCGAATTTTTTTTTCCTATTTCCTTCCTTTACATTTGTGAAAACCTGTAGAAGCTTTTCCCACCGCTGAAAGTTGAGACATAAACTTTTATTAATTCTATTACCTAATCTATCAAATGCAATAGGTCCCCATGACGTTCGAGTTAATCCCTATTCAGCATCTCTGGCTCCCCTACTAAAACGATTGAGTACAGAGATGTCGAAGGAGTGAAATAGCCAACGTAATGGATGGTTAACAGATCTTTTTAATTATAACATATTGTAATGACGAACTTATTGATTGAATAAGACTTACTTTTAGCGTAGACCTAAGCTTGTAATACTGAACTTTTACAATAAACTTTTTAACTTTGATCAGTTTTATTTAATTTTGCAGTAAATATTTGCCTATAAATAAATATCATCAACAGCTTTACATAGTCCACTGCTAGACATAAGGCTCTCCTTAGAAAGAAGGTTTTGGCCTACTATACCACGCTGGCCAGACGGGTTGGTGGATAAATACATAACGCCTTGCTTAATAAATTAGCCGTATGTATGTTAATAGTGTAGCAATGCTGGAAAAAATAATTTCTGACATTTTTAAAATAGACTAACTAGCATCGTATATACAATTTAATGTTGTTTTTATGGATTATTTTCTGGCCATTAACGGGAGTTGCTAAAGAGACTGCCTCCGTTGTGCAGTGGTAGCGTAAGCGACTGCTGTGCTGAGGTCTCGGGCTCAAACCCTTTGGTTTGTATGATCTCCAAATATTTGTTTCGAAGTTTGGGTGTTTTTTTATATATAATTTGTATGTATTTACAAATAATACTATATAAGTATTCTATCAGTTAATCTAGCTTTCATAGTACAAGCTCTGCTTAGTTTGAAACTAGATGGCGTTGTGTGTCAGATGTCCAAAAAAAATAAAAAATAATCGAGAAATATTTAAATAAATCAACTACATACTCAATAGAGTTTAATATTTTAAAAACATAACAAATAGTAACAACATTAGGTACATTTTATGCACTACTGCACATATGAACAATAATTGATGTGTATATAGCACAAAACACATTTGAACTGTAGACATTTATTAAGACATCACACATAGCTTCAAACAAAATGCTTGTGGTAAATCATATCATGATGGCACACAAGCAAACATTCCTTACATTTCTCTAATAACCTAGTTTAGCTAGAATTCACAGACAAATTGCTATATTTTCAATAAAATTATATATACATATAAACTATAATATATTCATACAAAATAATATAGTTTCTATGATTCAGCTACTTTAAGTAACAAAACAGTTGTGTTAATATACACTGTTTACATTTACATTAGAATTGTAAATAATTTGGAGAGGTTAGGTAGTTTTGTTATTGTTTATATAGCAATAAGTCTGTGAAATTTTATTAAGGGCAGGACCCGTCGAGCCAGCCGTCTCGCCATCGCTCATGAACTCTGCTGCAGTCAAACTCCGGTTTGCCTAGCTTGACATTGACAACATTATGACGCTGACACAACCATTTTGCAAGTTCATTCCTGTTTGCAGTTTTTGGTGGGTTCTCCTTGACACTGGAAACAGCAAATACAGATTATTATCACATTGTTTACACTAGAACATCGAAGTTTTCTATCCATAGTACTGTACTGTAGTCTGTAAAGCAACCAGTATAGATAGTATAAACTTGTTTTTCTTAAGGATACAAAACTTCTGTTGTAGTGTAAACAGCTCTGCCAACGAACCCAACATGACTTTATACACAAAATAAAAAGCTACAGTAAATTTAAATAGAAATATATCCTGTGTCACAGAGGACTTAATAAACATATGTGAAATGTACACAATGAACACCCAGAAACCGTCGTCCCATGTAGGGAATGAACCCACAACACTCAGTACAGTAGGAAGCAGCGAGGTAACCGCTTAAAGCACTACACCATCCATGAAGTCAATGTGCATACAACATACACATTCCCAGTAATTAACAACCATTCTTACTGTTGCAAACAGTACAGGCAAATATCTGTTGAGTTCTCTACAATTTTGTGTCTCTGCAATTGACACAACACATCTCTGGAAATTTCTAGAACATTGTTACATTAGATTATTTCCTCAAGTTTTTTGACCTGACTGTAATACGAATGTTGAATTAACCTTATTGATGCACTGTTCGATGTAAGCACCCTTTGTCCCAAGTCAGTTCTAAAAATTATAGTTCACTTATAAAACTACCTCCACTTTATTACAATACCACAGATTGACATACATATAAATACATACTCTTTTCGAAAATCATCAGCGCAGGATTCGCAAGGATAAAACTGTGAGAAAATGTTGAAGAATCTACTCATATCCTCTGACTGTGCCTTTGTTGGCTTTTCAGGAAAGTATGATGCCATTGTATGCAAGAAGCTCCATGTTGCCTTGCCCAACTCCTCTCTGTCAAGTGGACAATCAGTCTTGATCGGCTTTGTCTGTAAAGTAAATAGTTTTAAACCTTTTTAAGCCTACTCAAGAAAATCATTCTACGAAAGCAGGTTTTCAATATTGCAAATAAGATTTTAATCACATTTCTTTTTCCTAGAGATTAGGAAAACAATATACTTAGCCGTGAGGTCATTTTTTAATAATTTTATTACCAACGGTTACATCATTCTAATCTAATAGCTAAGGGACTGATTATGAAACGAATAGGTGATAATCGTATATAGAAAATTCGCGAATTGTTACACACTATAACCTTACCGTTTTATTTGTTGTTGAAAATGTCACTTTATGTTGAGTTTTTGCCCAAGACTTGAAGTCTGAGCAGGCTCTACAAGGCTTGTCTTCGTCGTCTGTAGAATGTGAAGGCATATTTGTGATTGACCACTATTTTAGGGCCCATGTAACGAGTCTTTATATTGTGCAATAAAAGTAAGTATGACGCATGTAAACTACATCACAAGGATCTTGCACAAACAAAGCTAGCAATGTCGTCTACTTTTAAGTTAGTACTAGTCGTTCCAAAATATTAGAGGAAATCACCGGTAGAAATGTAATTATTTCTCATTTGGGCTATGATTGTCAGATATAATTCTGGCACTTGAGCACTTGACACGTGAAATTGACATTTATCAATACTGACATTATAATCAGTATTGCCCTATCATAATTAAAAATCTATAAGGCTAAATTGTTTTGTGTATACTACGCGTGTCCCTCCGTAGGGATACAAAGATTAGCTTACCATTACACATAATTTTTATTTTCAGTTAGTGCGAGTAAAAATTTATCACACTTTGTGCTGTTTAAGGTATAAAACCTTATAACATAAATTATTTGAATCTCGCTATCACAGTTGTAGTGCTGATATTATACTCTCGCCTTACATCGATCGATAACGATTGTCTTTTTACATTGTTCGACTTGAAGATGTGTTCGTTGTAACGTAAACGAGGTACTACAACATATATAAATAAAACAGTGACATCAAAGAAGGATGACAAAGAAAACAACACAAATATTAAAACATGTTATATTTATTTCTTACAAATACATCAAATATTTTTTTGTTTTTATAAACAAGTAGGTGTGTATTTATGATTTATTATCACTTCCAAGCACTATTGACACAATCAGTACTTTAAATTGCTGCATAATTACTTACAACGCTGAGACAAACAAACCGAATATAAAGTAGGCCCCATAATCATTTATTTAACAAGTTTTGTAGGTTTTAATCTAAGATTCAAATAGCCAGAATATAATATTCTGACAATTATAACACCCAGAACACCCCAGTGCAAATATTATCATCATAAGATTTAACCTACTGCTTTTAATATTTAATTTCTAGGTGACTTTTCAGCTTGACGTTTTTTCGCAGATGGCAACGATTTCTGAAAAGAAAATATTGCTATTTTATTTAAAAAAGCCTTGGTATTATGTTATAAGATATCGAAACAAGTTATTACAGTAATATATGTATTCTACCGTGGGAGGTATTCACCGGTTGGTCGTAAGAATGGACTAAAGGAACAAACTACGCAGGACAACATCACTGCAAAGAGAAGGAAAACTTGACACAAACCCTATAACAACCGTCTGGTTAGCGGGGTACAGGAGGCCAAAAATTCCTTTCTAAGGAGAGGCTTATGTATAGCAGTGAACTGTTATACGTTGTTGATGGTGATTATGATACCGTAGGAGAGCCCCGTTTACGTATATATGGATCGACTTGACCAGAGTGATACTGTGATCTCACAGAAACCTGGTTTTGACTAATTCTTTTTGCTTTTCACCGAGTGAAGTACCCAGAGCTCAAACATGTCTTTTGTGGCAAATTCCACATTTAATGAAAAAATATGCTTGAGTAACATTTAAAGATACATCGAAGTACAGAGTAGCTTCTAATCCTGGATGGTGCAATAAAAGTCGATTAATACATATATGGTATGTATAATTTTATATAATTAATTTTTGGGATCCGGTCGGGAGCATTAGGCTCACCGTAAAGCCCGCGCCCGCCTACATGTAAAGTCGTAAACGGTCACACGGCTTATTGTTAAAGCCATAGAAAAAAAATAATGAAATAAACTGTTGGGTCGTGATTCACCAGGAACGTTCTCCTCGCACGGTCGGATAAAAATGAAGCGGTAGGTCTGTACCTGCGTGTATAGGAAATATAATGATAGTCATAGATCGAAGAGAGGGAGGTGGGAGGGTGTGTACTGACTGTCGGCGATGTCGTGCAGCGCGCGCACGGCGGGCGAGGCGGGCAGGTCGGCGAGGGGGTCGCGGCCGGTGTCGGCGGCGCGCGCCAGGGCGGGGTGGAGCGGGAGGCGCCCCACCAGCGCCGCGCCCAGCTCCGCGCACATGGCGCGCGCGCCGCCCGTCGTCGCCGGGAAGATCTCGCTGCGGCTCTGCACACACGTATGACTCGACTGATTAGTTATACGTCTACAAGCTAGATTTCACTAATTACTAGTACTTCATACAGATGACGTAATAATCGACCCATTTCTTTCGAGTCCAATAAAGACGGCAACGTATGATGTTACGTGTATATTTTTTTTTTATTTATTTACTAAGCCACCGACGTATACAGCCGAGCGTCGCCTGATGTCATTGTTCAAATCTGCATTAACACGTGAAGTTGCAACTCAGGACAATTTTTTTTTTATAAATAGATAAATATAACCGATTTCCATTTTTCGTTTGTCTATTTAGAAGCTTTAGTGTTAGTTTAGTAACTCTTTTCCATTTTCATTCGATATTTTTATTCGTTTAGCAACTATTGACGAATTTCAATGTCAGTCTTCATCATTAAAAAACTTTTTTTTTTTAATACAAATAGATAAAGAGCTTTGTTCCTTTACTAATTAACCTATTTTTTTTTTATTTCGTAGGCTGAATAGACCACCTCACTAGTGTATTATTAAAAAAAATAATATTAAATTAAAGCAAAAATAACAAATGTCGTTAAAATAAGAAGTGTCGCATTATTGTACTTAAATTAACCTTTTGTAAGCCTGTTGACTTACATTATTGAATGTAGTGAGAAGTCAATGTATTTTTTTTTTATTTAGTAACAATATGATTTCGTAAAGTAAATATGCCTTGGCGTCGTACATTTTGTGGTCTCACGTTGTTAATTATGGAAATAATGTTAATAATGAAAATAATTTATACAATTTTTAAGATAATTTAAGATTTTTTAAGATAAACATATTCAAAGTACCTACAAACGTAGGTACTTTGAATATTTTTGTAACTGTAACTTATAAGTGAGGGATATCAAGTAAATGAAGATGAAAGAAATTGCTATTTGCAAGCATCCAGAGGCGAATATAATTTAAATAACGGACAATATCGGTTTCATGTTAAGGCAATTCAACGGTACATAATATCGTAAGTACAACAGAAGTAAATAAACTAAAATTTCTTTTATAATATGTATGGCATGATGGGGAAAACGTAATAAGATTACGTCAGGTTGTTTAATTAATTTCAAGACTATGATGGTATGTAGTATGTTTATATAGAACGTTTGCCATTACGATTCAAAGTGCTTTGGAGATCTTGGAATTTATAGAACATTTTGAGAAGTGTGCTTTGCGAGGATTGTAGCTTCTGGCGACAAGTAATGGAAAAAGGAAAGCTTGGAAGAAGGGGTCAATTATTTTTCTCACCACGACATTATACAATTACAAAAAAAAAAAAAAATGGAATCAATACTGTGGGAGGCTGGTACCTAAGGTAGCCTACCTTAGTTTGGGCTGTATTTCAGGTCACCAGGTCTTCCCTTTTTTAAATTGTTTTGATTGCAACATTTCATTTGCTAGTTTTAGGATTTATTTTTAACAAATTTTATCAATCATTACGTTATGTCTCATCGTGTGAAAAGGCATAATTATAAGCTTAAATAATAAAAAAATTTTTGAATAAAAACTAAAAAACACGCTTTTTATAGAAAACCAAACTAAAAAATAGAAAAAAAAATTGAAAATAAATTTATTAAAAAATTATTAATTTTATTAAAAAATTATTTTCTACTTTTTAGTATGGTTTTCTATAAAAAGCGTGTTCTTTAGTTTTTTAAAACTATTTTTTTTTAAATTGTGTATTGTCATCGGTCCTTGATATATCTACAAAGTTTGAACGAATTTTGACCGTTTAAAGTCAGTCAAAATCACTGCTAAAGGAGTCGGTTGCAAACAAACAAACATACAAACATACAAGTGAAGCTAATATAAAGCGTGTAAAAAAAAAATAGGTATCATATTCGGTTAATAAATAATGATACAACAAGATAGTGGTATGTTACGTACATTACAGTTGGGGCACACGAAGACGGACATGTTCTCGAGGACGCCGAGGACGGGCAGGCCCAGCTTGCGGCAGAAGTGCAGCTCCTTGCGCACGTCCAGCAGCGCCACCTCCTGCGGCGTCGTCACCACCAGCGCGCCCGACAGACCCGCCGCCGACAGGTACTGCGCCGCGGACAGGTGCTCGTCCGATGTACCTGCAACACGATTACTTCTGTCGTTCTACCGGACACCGACTCTATTTGGCGATGTTAATGTTTCCGGGCGAGAAAAGATATATGTTTATTCTTTAACCGTGGGAGAGTCACGCTTCGACGACTGCACTGAGCTACTACTACTACGCCGAGTGTTGTGGGTCCGGTCCCCACATGGGACGACACTTTGTGTGATCCTCAAATTGTTGTTCTGAGTCTGGGTGTTCTTTGTACCCGTTACATGTATGTTTGTAAAGTCCGCCGCGACACTGGATATATTCCTAGCGTGCGAGTTATCCTTTTAAAGAAAAAAAAAACACAAATAGGCCAGCTCGACCGAAGTAGTCCTACGACATCACAGAATACCTGTGTTAAGTAATTCTCCCGTTACTTTTCACCGAGTGAGGTTACTGAGCCCAACCTCCCCTCCCTCCTATTCCAGGACTCCAGGAGGGACTGTTGAGTTGCAAGTATCAATGGCGACGGTTGTCACATACCACGAGATGACCCTTCTCCTCGTTTGTCCCCTTTATCGTAAAAAATAGAATCTACAGTAAAAAATCTGCTTAGTTGGTTGACCTAGATAACGATGTGTAATACGAATATTTCTAATATTTATATTTAATTATTGTTACTATTTACTAAACGAAACTAACATATATGTTATAAACTCTTATTTGAATATCAAGATAATTATAAAAACTAACGAACCTGGCGGGGTGTCTATTAGAAGGTAGTCCAAATCTCCCCAATCCACTTCACTTAAAAATTGTTTGATCATACCTGCAAATTAATGGACAAATATTAAAAAAAACATTTAGTATAGGTATAATAAAAAATATATAAAGTAAAACTTAAAAATAATGTAAAATATAATAATTAATTTTTACTTTAACTGCAAGTAACTGCCGATTTTGTTTACAATATATTTTTTATTATTATTATTTTTTTTATTCTTTAGCTTCAATAAAAATAGCATATTTTACTTCTTATAAAATCAGCTATGATTTCAGATGTTTTGGCCGAAAATTGTAGGTACATGTCCCGAAACCATTTAAACGTCGCCGCAACTAAAGTGGCAAACCATATATTGCGAAAGATTTGACGGTAGGGTACAGGATAGGGTTCACCTACCCTAATCCTAATACAATAGGTTTTAGTTTAGATAATAAAAATACTGGTAACAGACGTTATCACTTTTCGATTGTTGCACTTCAAAAAGTGCTAACGTGGGATTACATTACAACACTCGCTTTTCTCTGAAATCCATGATAACATGGCATGGTCATTTCGTTCACACGCAATTTTTTTTAATATAAATAAACAACAAGATAAATCAATGGGTAAGCGTTAACCACATCTACTAATACTCAACAACAGTGGTATCTAATAGGTATGGATCACCAATCCTCCCCTTCTATTCAAGACGTGTTCACTGAGGAGTTACGAGGAGTGTTGAGGACTAGAAAAATAGACTATCATATTGTATTTTTTATACAGAAGGTATTAGAATTTTGTCTTGCGAATATCAACTCTATTGCAAAATAATATATCAACGCCCTGAAGTCTGAATAATAATAACTTCAGACATCTCACACTCAGATTCAGATTGTTTATTTGCATAACACAGGTATTAATTACATGGTATTCGATGATCATGCTCTATCTATTCTTTCTTTCTCTAAAAGACAACTCACGCCACTCCTGGCGGTTTTGTGTCAGCCGGATCCAATGCTATCCTACACAATATTTGTCCTGGGTGGAAATCAAACCTATGACCTCTAGCTTAGCTTTAGAATAATAAAATAATGCTTAGTTAAAATACCTATCTTCATTACATAAAATTGTTTACAATCGTCTCGTGTAGACTCTAAAGTCATAGATCAACACACAACAGTAACAATCTCTGTTTTGTCAAATATTTAGCAAACTAATATGTATCTAAAACTAGCTGACCCGCGCAACTTCGTCTGCGTCTCTCAATAGTAATAAATTTTCACCGTTTTTGAAACATTCTTCATTGGTGCTCCGCTCCTATTGGTCTTAGCGTGATGATACATAGCCTATAGCCTTCCTCGATAAATGGGCTATCTAACACTGAAAGAATTTTTTAAATCGGACCAGTAGTTCCTGAGATTAGCGCGTTCAAACAAACAAACAAACAAACTCTTCAGCTTTATAATATTAGTATAGATCTATGATTTGCCTGTGCCGATCTACAACCGCCTGTTTCCAAGGGGTTGAGCCTTATCAGAAAGTAGAGCAAACAAACTCACGGCCTCCTCCGGCTAACTCTTCCATGGGTCTGTGGGGTGGGTGGTGTGGTATTCTTCGTATTCATCTCTCTCACGCTACGGTTTTTATTTGGGCGAATTAAAATCATTAAAAAGTAGTTAATATATTATTATGTTACCATTTTTCTTTGGTCCTCTCCATATGACTGCATCGTCTGGACTAGCCAGCAGAAAACCTATCGACATCACGGACAGATTGTCGGTAACATACTGGAAGTAAAGAAATTATTTTATAAATAAAAAAATATTATATTAGGACTAAGTTTCCTATCAGCATGAAAATCGCAAAACAAAACTAGCTTTCGCAAGTGACGCATGGTAGAAACAGTAGGTATTTTGTTCTAAACTTTGTTTTCTCAACCCTAATCGAAACTTTTTACTGCCGTGCCAATCCAAAAGACTCGACTTACAGTGTTTTGCCTTAACAATTCTCAATCAGTTTACGTCGGTTTAGTACCCCCTTTTTTTTTCCGTGCGAATATCCCCTCGGATACCACCTGTCGGTGGCATGTCGGACTCGAACCGACTAAAACCGCACGCCGTCTCGGGTACTAATAGCCGGGGAACCAGGTATACCCTAGAAAGGAAGTCCCTGGTGCCCCGACATACCTCGGGCTATCTACAGACGAGTAGACGACCCCCCTCGTGTGGGAACCCCATGTTCCCTCTGCTCTCTGGGAGCGAGCGCGCTTCGCAACGCGCTCGCCGCGGTTTAGTACCCCTGATTAACACTTTTGTTATTCTAAAGTGTATTTTAAAAGAGACAATAATCTAAAAATACTATATTGTATTGAAATTAGGGTTTTAATATGGTAAAAAACTGTAACAAAGCTTTCAAAGTCAAAAGTAGTTTTTAAAAGTTACAGTGTATTGGATTGGCACGGCACTTTAAAGCTATCTGTAGGCTGAATACCTATTTTTTCTATAATGGCGATACTCTTGCTTAGATAACGATCAGAACGAATTAATGTCCATTATGTTATTTTGATACGGAAGTACGATTAATACATTAAATACTTATGTAGGTATGGTACTTGAAATGCATTTATACAAAATGGACACGATTATAAAGATAAAAACGTTTACCAACGAGAGATTATGATCCTATGGTAATAATATATAATATACATTTATGTCCAGTTGCTATAGTGAAATCCTGGGATAAATTCATTGAATTTCGTTTACAAACATCTGAAGTCCATTAAGATGTGCAAGGTAAACGGGTAAATGCTGACCAAGTATAACAAAAGAAAAAACTACAAATTTCAGTACTTTCTAAAAAAATAACTGTAAAAGCCTTTAGGTAAGATTTTTTTTATTGAATTAGTAAGATTAACCGAAAAAAGTGATGTCGATTTTATGTTTTTTATACAATAACACAAAAATATAATAGGTCTATTTAATGTCCACGGCATCTAAGTCTATTTAATGTAATATCTATACATGAGTTATAAATAATAACTCGATACATCTCACACACGGCTATCTGATCCCTAACTAGGCAGAGCCTGTGCTAAGGTAACCAGGGCGCCCATAAATACATTCATATTTTATTTATTTATTTATTTAATTATTCTTAGAGAGACTAACAGACATATAAGATTTTTGTGTAATTACAATTAAATAATGTTATTGCTAATTACAAGTCTCTGCATATAGGTACTCTAAGGAGAACTGTCGACTTAAAATTAAAATGAGGAGAAGTGTAAGCCTTGGCAGGGATATACATAACACATAAATAATATACACATAGATGCATATACACGTATCAGCACATACACATGCGCACACCCCAATGAGTACACATACATACACACATATACAAATACTAACACACTGATATGCCGATACATAGATGTGTTAAAAAAATAAATAAAGAAAGAAGATTTTAGATAAATTACACCTAGACATAGAACAAATGATCATGCTCATCACACAATAATTTGTCCTGGGTGGAAATCGAACCCACGACCTCTGATTTAGTCAGGATCACTAACCAATAGACCCGAAATGAATATCTGTACTTTACATGAAGTATATGTGAGGCATATAAGGCACACTTACCACTGGAGACCATCCTGATCCTGAGTTGTGTACCTGCTCTCCCCTGACTCCGAGCACTCGGGGCTGACTGGGACCACAGATGTCTGCGTCCAGGATACCAACCTACACATATTACATTCTTAACTATTGTTTTAGTACATTAAAGGATCTAGGAATAGAGTCGTGTCAATTAGGTATTCTGTTAAGCACGTTACTTACCTAAACCTACAGTAGTGGGCTATGGCCTTTTTTTTGTTGACGGGTTGGAAAATCCCTTCGGATCTCCGGCTTCGCGGGGACGCAGGAGCCAGGAGAATGAGGTGTTTCCACTAACAAGGCGCTCCACTCCGAGGCGGACCCTTGTTATTTCAGGTCCCCCCAGATAGTGGGCTATGGCCTAGTGTTGTCAAAACTTTAACAACTTTTGAAAACATCATTTAATGTAGATAATTATACCGTTTTACTCGCGTGTGTTTTAGGACCAAGCTGACGGAGACACCCTTATTATCAAATGCTCCTTGGAACCTTTGCCCCTTGATAAGGACTCCGTCGTGCATAGCACTAGTCGGGCATCTACGAAACATACACGTGAATTAAACTGTTTCTTGATGTACATAAGAAAGTTTTCATAAATGTTTTTAAAGATTGGTAAAGTTTGACAACTCTTAGTATAGTGAGTATGATCTCTTATTGTGAGCGTGGACAAATACCAAACGATGAGAACACTCAATTGATATGACCTTATTGAATAATAATGAAACCATACACGACTTCAAAAAAAGAACTCCCCTCATTTATGTTCTTTTTTATTTGAAAGTCTACTTCCCGTTTCGCCCTAATTAAGTTTTAAGAAAAAGAAATGTCCTAAAGGTGAAGAAAAGCGTCGCGTCGCTGTCTTGTACCAAAAACTCATACGTACAGTTGTTTAGACAATCACGTTTATCTTACATACCTACGTATTAAAAAAAAAATTGGCACGAAATCTATTAAATTTAACATTTATCAACATTGCAGTTCAAACCGATATTACCTTATCATGCTATTGGTATAAAAATCGTTTTGTTTTTCTTTGTGTACATAAATGTGAGTTTTACATAGTGTTTATTTTGTTTCAATATAAAAACTGTCATAGTATCCACTATGACAGTTTTTATATTGAGCGCCAAGGTTTCCATTGCATGATCTTCTACATAAAATAAATTATATCCTATAAAACCTGACCTATATACAAGCACAAAGGCTGTACCACCTTGTGTCGGTTACCACCGCATGGCTGTATAGTTGCGAAATCTTTGCTTCCAAGCCTTTGGAATCAATACACGTTGGTTGTCTGTGCTCAATTTAAAAACAAGTATTTTGCCGCGAAAATGGATTTTGGAAACTCGTACGAGAGGAGATCGAGATACAACAGGGTACCATATACCTTATATTACTTTACATGTATTCAGTGAAAATTATATTTTAAATAAGTTTTTTTACTAGCTATTGCCCGCGGCTACCCTCGCGTTTATTTCGATTTTGATAATCAATTTTTCTACAGACTATTATCGGTCTCTGTTAATTTTCAACAAGATTTATACAACAATCTGACAGATTACGTAACAAACATTTATTAAATGATGTAGTCTCACTGTTAGGTACAACATGTGTTTTTTGCCACATTTATTGTATATTTTAGATTTTTAGAGACGTACCTATTCGTACTAGACAGGCAAGAAAGCACCTTTAACTAAACAAAATTAAGGATCGCAATAAAGAATTCACAAACTCCTTACTTCACGTTCTATATTTGCCAAAAGTACAAATTGTTTTGGAATCTGAGCTACTTTAGCAAAACGATCTAGGGTCATCTAAATATTAACAATGATTTTATTACTTAGACACTGCAAATAATAACATGTTTATGGTAATAAAGTTTAAATGTCCGAGACTTAATTTAATTAAATGCAGCATTTTAAATCGTATCGATTATTATTAATGGCCGGGATTATACGTCTATTACATAATTGTGTTTTCGCAATATTAAAGTAGCTTCACGACATGTTTGAAGTTTTACTCTTTTCAGTAGTAATAAAAAGCAATTAGCTACTTTATTCTAAAATGGTTACAGATACTGCTTTCTTTAAATGTAGAAATAAGAATAACTATGAATATAGAGTAGTATTAAAATGAGGACGCTACTGAGACAACTTTTGTTTATGGTCTTGACAATGCGTCACCTATTTATCGTGTCTAATCAATTTATAAAGTCATTGTAGATTGACCCTCGATTCAATTTGTTTCTTATTCATCGATAACATGCATTAGATGCATATTACATCAACATAGACAAATTTTTCTCTGTTTATTGCATCATTAATATTCTATTTATTTGGAAAACGTAGTTCAAAATGTACTTAAGTTTTTAAATAACGTTCAGAATTAATTCATCAGACATAGACACAGACAAACAGATATACATTTCCGAAAACTATGTAAAGAGCTCCGTTACTTAAATACTTTATTTATCACATCTACTGCACTGCACATTGAAGTTACGTCAAATTGCCATACCTAGGAGTTTAGGCTAGTCATATAATTAATCCAATGATAAATATAAACAAAAAAAAAACTCACATTAGCATCTGGTTTCCTGGCGGCTAACGCATGTCCTAACAGTGATGTAACAGTACTTTTGCCCACACCACCTTTCCCGGAGAGTATCAATATTTTATGTTTTACATTTGATAGACGCTCCTTGATTAATTGAATAGCAGGATCAGGTCCTGCTGGGACGCCTGAAATACAAATTTTATTAAGATTTTCACCACAAACATCTGTTATCAATAGGTTTGGATTTATCAGACTTTACTGCCAATATCGTCAGGTTCAAACTAGTTAAACCTTGTTGATTGCATATAAACAATTTAGATATCATGTTTTTTAATTTCAGTATCTATTTTTATACCAAGATTTAAAACTGTACCATATAAATGTGGACTTATAAATCGTTTTTAATATTGTAGCAGTCTTAAGTTATCAAACAGTAAACAAGTCAACAGATAACAATATCTCTTGTTTTTTAGTTTGGTATCCGGGATACCAAACATTAAGAAAATAAAATATTGTTGGGATACCGTTGTCCATCTAGTGATAGATTAAGAATACGGAATGTCACTACCCCAATTTATCCCGTGGGTGTCGTAAGAGCCGACTAAGGGCGCAAAACAACGCAGGACACCAGCACTGCAAAAAGAAGGAAAACTTAACACAAACCCTATACCAACTCGTCTGGCCAGTGTGGTATAGTAGGCCAAAACCTGTTGTCTAAGGAGAGGCCTATGTCCAGCAGTGGACTATTAAATGCTGTTGATGTGGGATACCGTATCCCCTAGATAATAAATAGAAAATATTCGGAGTAATTTTTCTGTAATTTTGTTTAGTAAGCAGATTTTTTTACCCAAAGTTTATTTTATGTAGTCCTTACAATAAGAACCAACCACTGCCATCATTATCATCATTACTGTAATTGTGGATGTTATTTATTTTGTTTTTTCTTTTGTTTTTTTGTTTATTATGTTAATTGATTTTATTTTTGTCCCTGTTTTTATTTATTAAAAAAAAGGGTATTTAATTGTTAATTTATATCAAAGAGTGTAACAACAATAATTGAATGTAATGTGATATGATAACATGGGAGCTATGTCTGCCAACCAACTGCTGTCAAAAAAAACATCAGTCCATCTGCTCCTTTTTTAAATATATTATTTTAAATACTCAATTAAGCATATTTTCTACTTCTGGCTAAAAAACATTATATCTTTCGAAATTGGAATCCATGAATATGATTTAAAAATAATTTTTTTTTTCCTAAATAATATAATACAAGCTTTAACCTTAACCAGTTTAGTGAATTTGGAAAATCTTCCTCTGGTGTATAAAATTTCAGGTGCGATCATAGAGATATAAGCATAGAGTGAACAAGAACCCTAATCTTGCAATATATGTAACAAATGAGATGGATAATAGATAGTTCCCTCTATCTCTTTCTAGTCAAGCTCTGTGGTTGGCTGGGGAATATGAGTGGTTAATGTAGCAATAGGTCATCTGCTTGGGTAAACAGGGACAGAGGGAACTTTCGGGCATCCATCTCTCTAGTTGCTGGTATCACTTCCACTTACAACTCACTATGTCTATGTCAACTATGCTTATATCTCTATGGATGTGATGCACCTATAATTTTTGTCTATATTAATTATAACAGGTTTTTTTTAGTTTTTCGCTATTCACACTTTTATTATTTAATTCCTTTTTCTCAATTTGATATTAGAATTTATTATACAATTATAAAATTTTAACTTTTGCCCTTAGAGAGGTCTACTTTTTAGTGTTTCCTGATACAAAATTTGAATAAATACAAAAAAATATGACAATGTAACTTAAAATGTATAACAACAATTTGGCCATATGTCCAAAAATATTATTTTTATAATTCTCTTATTACAGTTACTTTCAGTTTTAATCTTTTAATTGTGTGTTATAACTTTATTAGTTTAATAATAAAAGATTTATAACTTTTATTGATAAGATGTTTTACACTCTTTAAGCAATTAAATTACAATTAATCTCTAATTTCTTACATATATATGGGTATTGGGATAATAAAATTGCATAAATTACGAACCTGATGAACAAATATTTTGATTGGGACACCCAGCACACGCTGAAGCTTTGCCGGCATCTTCACTTTGTGTGCCTGGACAATCTGTAGAGAAGAAACTTATATTATAACTATAATTCCCAGCTTAAATGAAACTACATTACAGGTTAAATAACTTACGTTGAGGTGCATTTTCTGGTACATTGCTCATGTTATTAACGGGTCCTATAGCATGACACTTATTACTAAATTAATATATGCCTTCACTACAATTTGTGAACTAAAATTATATTAAAACTGATGATACAACAAGCAATTACCAGCACAAAATTATTGTTTGTGAGAACTGAGAAATGTAAGTTTGACACACAAGTGACGGCTGGCTAGCACTACTGTCTGTCTGACACATACGTTTCGATATGGTGGCGTAACATACGATTTATATTCATGGAAATTGTTAAATTTTTGTCTATTTCACGATATCTGAAACAACATTTTTATTCGTATTTAAATATATTGATTTTTATTTTTCTATTAATAAAAAATGTTAAACTAAAATTAAGCTTATTTTATTATAAAAAATATTGATATTTTAAATCATGAAACCAAAAAAAAAAGATTGTAAAGAAAAAAACCTTCATTTTCAAATGTTTGTCATATTGATGGCACGAAAATTTAGATTTTGAATTTCTCTTTTTATTTTCTGCAAATGATTCACAAATTATTCAAAATTTATTCAAATAATTGACTAAAAATTAACCAACATGGCTAAGGAAGTCACTATGTGCACGGTAATTATAAAATTTATATTATTGATCAGGATTTTGGATATAAGCCAAAAAATGTTGTACAATATTATATTTTTCTAATGTTTAGCAACTCCAACAATGGAGCCCCGTAAAAGAATCGGCGGGTGCCCCGAGTATCCCTCCACAGGTGGGCTACTGCTTCCACTCGCCAAAGAAGCACCCGTGGAGGCCTATAATGGGATACGAGGAGATTGAAGTGACGCCAATGTAAGTCTAATGAAGACAGTCTCTCTTACTCTGCTCACATACTAACTCATCTCTTTTGACTGGTTTTATCTTACTTATTATCGCTTAATTTTGTTTTTCTAATAGATTTACAATGTACTATAAACCAACTATAAAAATCCTTGACATCCGGTCCCTTATTTCTGCTTGCCCGCATAGAACGCGGGCATATCCTGAAAGCCTGAAATAGAAATGTTGAGGAATGAGACGCGAGTATTGCTAATAAAGAATTTTGAGGGTCCAAAAGTGAAAAAGGCTCGGAAAAGAAATGGATGCTAGCTCTTTGGTAGCAAATGACGAATAGATTGTGGGTGTGTTCATCCGTCACAGAGGTAGAATTGGGGCTGCTGTTCTACGGACCCGTTCAGAGAATACCACGGCTAGTTGAGTTTTCTACTGCGACTTATTCTTTATTAGCAATACTCGCGCCTCGTTCCTCAACATTTCTATTTTATTTTGAAAACTCAATCAACTATGTATTCATCATCAGTATATCGTTATCTATTATTATTAACACTATCTATTTGTGACAAGCATCTATTAACAATTAAAAGTAGTATTAAATACAACAATTGTTAATGAATCAAGATCAGTTTTTTTAAATATGTGCCTATTTCTCTTTTACTTAAGAATTATGTAATGTCGGAGTTAAAAACTGTTAGAAAACTATATCATTATGAAAGGAAGCTCGCACATTCCGCACATTCACCATTAGCAAATTGCCGACACAGCTAAAATGTTCGATACAGTATTATTAAAAAATATACTTTAAAAAGTAGGCACTTTTTAAAGTATATTTTTTAATAATACTAAGGAACTGCGATGTTCTATAAGGGTTAGGCTAGGGTAAAACACGTTGGGGCCCGGATAGCTGTCGAGTCCACCATGAAGTATCTGGGATTGGTGCTCGACAGCCGATGGGAATTCGGGCCCCACTTCCGGCGGCTGGCGCCCAAGCTGATGGGTGCAGCGGGCACGCTTTCAACGTTGCTTCCCAACTTGGGGGGCCCGAGCGCCGCCTGTAGGCGGTTGTACGTGGGAATCGTGCGGTCCATGGCCCTGTATGGGGCCCCTGTGTGGGCGATGGACATGACGGCCAGCACTCTCGCCATTCTGCGCAAACCGCAGAGGGCGATGGCCGTCAGAGTCGTCCGCGGGTATCGCACGATTTCCTACGAGGCGGCTTGCGTCCTGGCCGGATCCCCGCCTTGGGACCTGGAGGCGAAAGTACTCGCGTCATTATACCGATGGCGCGAGGAAGAGCGGGCACGTGGCCCGAGGCCGGTGCAGCGGCATATCGCGCTGCGCCGAGAGGAGCTCCGTCAGGTCTTGGTGGCGGAATGGCGGCAAAGGCTTCTGCGCCCTACCGCCGGCCTCGCTACCGTCGAGGCGATCCGGCCAGTACTCGACGACTGGCTCGGGAGAAGGCACGGCTCCCTGTCGTTTAGGGTGACGCAGGTGCTGTCGGGGCACGGCTGCTTCGGCAAGTACCTGTGCCGCATAGACAGGGTGCACCAATGGACGCAGTGGTGGCACCGAGCGTCCGGACGCTCGGTGCCACCACTGCTTCCATTGCGGGGAGGACACGGCGCAACACACGCTCGCCGAGTGTGTAGCTTGGGAGGAGCAGCGCCGTATCCTCACAAATGAAGTAGGAGGCGATCTGTCGCTGCCGGCCGTAATGCGGAGGATGGTCGGTAGCGCAGAGTCGTGGGACGCGGTGGTGTCCTTCTGCGAGGACGTGATGTCGCAGAAGGAAACTGCGGAACGGGAGAGGGAGATCTCGACTCCTTTCCCCGGCCGCAGAAGGCGCACCGGGCGCAGGAGAAGGGCGGATAACGCCCTTTTCCGGCCCCCATGAATGGGTCCAGGGGCGAGAGACTTGGGGAAGTCCCCGCCCCCTATCCGTTGGACCCGAGGCGGAGGCGCGCGTGGGTGTCGGCGCGCGCCTCTGAGGCGAGGCCCGGGGTAGTTAAACACCTCACTACCCCGTGCAGGAGACGAGGCCCGGACAGACCGGGCCAGCACTAGTGTGGGGCTGCGGAAGAATTTGGTTTCCCGCGGCCCCGCGCGCATGTGTGAGGGGACATCGGGGTGGTTTTAGCCGGTAAGAGTCCGGCACGCCCCTCCGCCTTTCCCCAGGCGGAGGTAGTCCATGAGAATTTCCCCCCGAAAAAAAAAAAAAAAGGGTAAAACACGTTGGGTCCGGATGTCTGAATGAAAGCAGTAGGATTGCAGCCGCAGAGTGGCACACCGTGTGGTTTTAGTCGGTCCGATTCCGACACACCACCCCGCCGCACACCCCGGTGGGGTGACAGCCCGAGGGGTTTTCACACGTAAAAAAAAGGGTAAAACATAACATAGTACTTAACATATAATAAATTGATCTAAAAGGGTATGTAGGCTTAAGATTTTCATATAAAATAGGTATGTTTTTTTACAGGCCGTCATTACCCATCACAAACACGATGGTAGATCCTTGTTACACACCTTCTGGTATGGCAGCGGAGCCTCTTCGCTTCCCTAACTTGGTGACTGGATTTGACCGGAGCCCTGAACACGCGGCCAGGGCTGCCCTATACACAAGATACACGCAGTACGAGTGGAACCAGAACAGTATTAAGAACTACAACGAATCTGATGCCAAAAGGAACTTCTCTGAACGCGTCAGAAATGACATTATGAGGATGCTTAGGTGAGTTCGATAACTGTTTTGTCTTTTCAAGTCTGCGGTATTTTTTTTGTAAAGTTATATTAATCTGTTATATCCTTTTTAGAGAAACTGACGAGATTGGTACACAAGGTCAGAGAGATTCTGGCAGGAGGATTGGTGAGCGGATTACTGATACCACCTTTTGGAGGAATGAGGTAAGTGCAAATTGGTCTTCAGGTCGAGTTTGTAGCATTCGTTGACTGCAAAATAGTCACTTTTTTCGCTATTTAAGTCCCGTTGAGTTGACATTGTTTGGTCGAGCAGTTATAACATTTTACCCTCTTTTTTTCGTGCGGAATTCCCCTCGGATACCATCTATCGGTGGCATGTCGTACTCGAACCGACTAAAACCGCACTCCGTCTCGGGTACTAATAGCCGGGGTACCAGGTATACCCTAGAAAGGAAGTCCCTGGGGCCCATACCTCGGGCCATCTACAGACGAGTAGACGACCCCCCCCCCCCGTATGGGAACCCCATGTTCCCTCTGCTCCCTAGAAGCGAGCGCGCTTCGCAACGCGCTCGCGCCACCCCGGCCTGGTTCTTCTAGGGTGACAGATGGCCTCACCTGTCACCCCAGGCCTGCGCTTATGGAGGACGGAGGTCGTTATGCGACCTCCGGCGCCTGAGTCGCCTGCGGTACCTGGCCCGTTCCCGGGCCTGGTGGGCCGGGAGAGTTCTAAACCTCTCCCGGTCCCGCTCCGCGGTCTCCTTCGCGAGCATAACTTGCTCGCAGAAGGAGGCGGCAGAGTTCCACGCACTCTCGATACCGCACGATAGCCGCAATCAGTCTATCGAGCGAGAGAACTCCCACTCCGATGGCCGCAACGAGGTCTCGCCTCTGCTCAACCCACGCCGGGCACTCTGCCAGCGTGTGGAGAGCCGTGTCTACGGTCTGGCCATCGCAGTGGTGGCACTCAGGCGTTGGCTCCTTGCGGACCAGACACAGGTGATCCCCGAAACATCCTTTCCCAGTGATCACCTGCGTAGTCGGTATGAGAGGGTCCCGTGACGCCTCTCGAACCAATCCTCCATAACGGGTCTTACCGCCGCGATGACGGCGTGCCCAGCGCTCGGTTGCCCGAGTCGTTCCCTCCACTCCCCTATGATGACCTTGCGGAGTTGGGATTTCCGGTCATTGATTTCTCGAATCTCGGGACACCGACCTGTAACATCTTACCCTGGAAATGGGTAATGGACTAGAGATGTGACGGTCTGAAATATTGACAAACCGATTTGAAGCGTTTTGATAATTCGTGCAAATCGTTTCTAAACCGAACCGTTGAAATTGCAGTAAACCCGGTTTGAACCATATGATGAGTTGATCAGCGAATGTAATATACGAAAGTGATGTGCAACATGATTCGATGAGATCGATTTACGGTTTAGCGCTTAACGGTTTTTCAACGGTTGGCTACCAAGTTTACATACAATCGTTATACTTGATATTACCTATACTACTCGTAATTGGTAGTTTGTTGAGCGCCTAAGGGCAATACAACAAACTACCCAGTCAATTAACACGATTACCATGCTTTCTTTTTTCTCATTTGGTGAATATAGGAAAAATATGTCCGTTAGATCCGGACGGTTAGTAAATCGGTTAATGTATTTAATTATTATTAACCGTATCCAATTTTGTAGTTACAATAATATAGCTTGTGCTTGTAGGTAAATTGATAAATAAATATTCATTACCGTGACCCATCGATTCCGTTCAGAATCAGTTGGTAGATAAATCAATTATCTTCGATCGATAAAGTAGGAGCCGCTAAAGTAGGAGGCTGAACCACGGTCTGAAGAACGGTCTAACCGAACGGTCAACTCGGTTGATGCTCAAACCGGTATAAATAACCACTAAACCACTATAACCCACAAGCGAAGGCGTTCCAGAATTTAAAGACGGCGTATAACTGAATACGATAACAATGAGATTAAAGTGTGCGTCTTTCCAAATACCCACCGTTCTGTAAATTCGTACTAAGACGAACGTTATGATAATATAGCTATTTACAATCTGTTTGAAATATATTTCAGTATTATGTGTAAAATATATTTGTATACAGGTATCAATAGAAATGGAACGATTGGTAGCCACTTGTGAGAAATTGAACGACACACGACGACAACTGGAGAGGGCTATTGCAGGTATCGAGGGCCCTTTGCACATCGTGCAGGAATGCCTCTACCATCGGGAGAAGAGACAGGGTAAACTAAAACTATAACAACGGAAATGTAGACTTATAAAACCCCTCCTTGACTTCCAGAAGTACAACAGTCGAAGTTTTTTCTCTCGTTGACAGACAACAGGATTTAAACATTGCCAAGCACTGGAAGTCACTTACAGCCTAGGATATTTTAAAGAACATTATTTATTAGCTCTTCAGATGTTAAGGTTAAAGTAAAAAAGTGTTCGAAAACCTCGTCGTTCTTAATAGAGCGTGCAACGGATACTTTACTACGGAAATAATTTAGACACTTCAGAGAAAACGATCATAACGCCGTCCAACAGGTAGCGAGGATCCTCCGACCAGGCGTGGTGAACATGCCTTGCGGGCCGCAGCCCCACTGACTGATTGAAAACTTATGATATAGCGATACAAGAGTAGTACTTAGGGCATACTGAAAGTTCCCGGATTCTGATAAATAGGACTAGATATTACACAACAATACATTTATGGTTTTTGAAAGTATATTCCCTCGCAATGAGTGTATTTCTGCATTCGCTAAAACCACGATACAGAGCAGTTGCAAGCACCGCCGATTCAGGGCTCATAAAACGTGTGCTTCTAAGTTTGTTTTTAATTTTTGGCAACAAAAAGAAGTAGCAGGGTGCGATGTCCAGGCTGTAAGACGAATGCGTCATCAGTTCCAGATTTGAAGCCTTCAAATAGGCTTCTGTTATCGTAATGGAATGTGAGGAAGCGTTATCTTGGTGTTTTTCTAATACTCTGGGCAAGCAAGTGTTGACGTACCAATTTACAGTCACTGTTCTTTGATCTTCAAGCGATACTGTAGCGTGATGTCCTGATTTGATGAAAAAAGAAACCTTTCGGGTACAAAGCAGTACACCCAGGTTTCGTCACCTGTCACTATATTATAGACAGTCAATGGCTATCCTCCTGGCTGTAATCCGTGTGGTGACAAATTAAAAATACAAAGTGTCACCACCCCTATTCCGAACCGACTGCAAAGAGAAGGCAAACTTGAAACTTACCCTATACCAACCCGTCTGGCCGGCATGGTATAGTAGGCCAAAACCTCCTTTCTAAGGAGAGGCATATGTCATGCAGTGGACTAGTAAAGACTGTTTATGACACCACAGACACGAAATCGTCATCAAGTGCAAAGCTTCTGAACCTTCAGATGAACATGTAAAATTTGACACTTGGCTCATTCCATTGCTTAACAAAGCACGAATTTGCTGGCAAGTAATTTTCTTGTCAGTTTCAATAAGTTGTCGTACGGTGTCAATATTAGTCTGTAAACGCAGTCTCCGGCGGGCCTCGTCATGGATATGATTACGTCCACGTCTGAATTCTTCAAACCACGAATACACAGCTGCAACATGGTGCTTCATTATCAATTGAAAATTGAATTCTTGTTGACTTGAGCTGCAAAGAAAATCATAAAAAATCATTGAACGAAAATGTTTTCAAATTAAATTCATTTTGATAGCGTCACACAATGTTCGAAGGGACGTCACAATAAAAAACAAATGACATTCTCGCAAATTTAAAAAGTAACATGTTCCCACAGAGTTCCATTTTCGAATTTCATAATTGTTTCTTCATTATTTTATTGTAAATGGCCAGATCCAGAAACTTTCAGTATGCCTAACGTAGTAGTTACTACGTAGTTCGGTATGTCTGCGTTAGATTTCACTGAATTATGATTCCTTCCATTGCATGTGGAAGTCACGAACCACTTGATTAAGTAGTTTACCTACTTTTGTGAAGAGAGAAATAAATACATATTAATTTTAAACCAACCATACAGGTTATGAGGAAACCCTCCCGAAAATTAAGACAGAAGATAATACTAATGATACGGTATCATTGGTATTATCGTCTACCCTACAGTATTACGTTGTTATCCATGATCAAATGTGATACCTCTGATCATAGGTACAGACGTAATGAGGTCGAGTTCTCTAAACCTTAGCCCGAGCATCAATCGAATGCAAATGATGTATGATATTAAAATTTGTGAAATAGATTGCGCCGTAATATTTTTAGATGCGATGTATTTTATGAAATTACTAGCTTTTGCCCGCGACTCCACCCGCGTAAACATCGGTTATAGCGGTAAAAAGTAGCCTAATGTCTTTCCTCAAGAATCAAAGTATCTAAATTTTATCTAAATCGGTTTAGCAGTTATTGATTCCCCATACAAACTTCCACCCCCCTTTTCACCCTCTTAAAGGATGATTTCTGGGATAAAAACTACCCTATGTCCTTTCTCGGGACTCTGACTATCTCTATACCAAATTTCTTCTAAATCGATTCAGCGGTTTAGACGTAACAGACAGACTGACAAAGACAAACAGACAGACACACTTTCGCATTAATAATATTAGTATGGATAGTTTCATTTAACTTTACTAACATGGTGGAACGTGAATGACTTTGAAAAAAGATGATTTTGTTTTGTGTGATGTAATTTTTTTTAGACCTATGATCTTAAGCATCAGTAGTGCTATCGTCTGTTTTCGTTTTCGGAAGCGTTTCTCTAATACCTTGTATATAGCCACTTAATGACATAATGAATCATTGCACCTCAGGTTTGGAACAGGTTCACGACGCAGTGGAACAGTCTCTTTTAAAAGAGGTCGCCATACTGCGGGAGTGTCAGGACAAATTTCGGAGTATGCTTGAAAAGGTCAGTTTTTCTTCTTTTTGTCTAAGCTCAATGTGGTTTTTTAATTTGCGTGTATTCTGCTGCTTGCAGTATTAAGTTAAAATGCACTTAGATTTAAATTTTGTGGATGCATGGTTTCATGTGCATTTTCTTCTTAAACAAAACACAATTCTACCCGGTAGCTGGGCACATTATTTGAACAACCCATTTACTTATTTTAATTGTCATTATATGGATTACTATTATATGTAAATAGGGCTTTTTTAAGTCTATATATTAGGAATATGAATGTGTCCTTATATTGAAAACCAGACCTCACTTGGATGTTAGGAACCCAATACCTAAGCTTTATATATTTATATTATGAAATGGTAAAGGCACTGTGCACGTTGGTAGGTGAGGGCGCAGTCGAAGAACTGTCGCGCGACTCAACACGAGCTGGAGACAGACATGCGCAACAAGGAGTACGCGCTCGGCATTGACTCCATGTGCCATCAACTCAACAACTTCTCCAAGGTTAGTGCTGTCCTGGATCTAGACGTAGCCCTGTTTGTGGCATTACTAGGTATATCTGAAGTTCTCTTCGGGAGGCTAACGTATCAGAATTCCAGTCACACGCGTAAACTAATTCGTCTTAAACTTAACATTAAGACTTATTTACTTAAGACAGTATTTTATGGCAAAAAATAGATCGTAGATTGATCCACAGAGTATTTTATTTTCAGTTAATATTTTTTTTTATTTACTACTAAGAATAACTTTCGTTGAACCATTCAGTCAGTCATTGTATAGACTTACTATGATCTCACAGAAGGATGCGACCACAGTAAAAATTGTCCCTACCGGCCATGGAGTAAAACGCCGGTAGTCAGAGATTCTCTCCGATAACTAAGACTGCGACGTTCAAGTCGGGCAAATTGCTAGCGTCTGCTGAGCCGAGTCCCTCCTACCCGAGCAGGTACTTCCCGAAGTACTCGTGCCCGGACAGGACTTGCGTCAGTCGGAAGGAAAGGGTCCCGTGATGCCGCCTTACCCACTCACACGTGTGCTTGAATAATTCACCAATTAAATAGTAACGTAATTGATGGATGATTCAAAAGAAAAGGAAAGACCAGGTATAGGTAGGTATCGTGTATTGTGTCTGCAGGGCTTGCAGTTCTACGCCGGCATCGAGCGCTACGACCCGACGGTGTGCGACACGGCCAAGTGGGCAGCCGCCAGCGCCGCCACGCTGCAGCGCTCGCAGTCCGAGAGGGCCAAGGCCACGCAGATGCTCTCTGGTATGTAGCGGACATACTACTAGTCGCCTGGTAGGTACTACTAGTCTAATTCATGACAACTTTCTGAGGGCTCATCAAATTAGGTACATATGGGTATGGGTAAAATGGGTCTAATAGCCAATCCTTTCCGATACGAGATTATAGTAATAATAATTTTGGACGTATCATAGATACGGAGAATCTGATCAACGTGTCCGCCACTGAGATCTGGGATCAGTGGAGCAACACGAATAGTGCGTTCACAAGACGTATCGCAGAAACCATCGAAATCAAGAACAAATTGCAACTGCATCTACACAAGGTACCTACTTGATATCTTTGCTTCATCTTATAGCACGGCATTCACACCTCATGACGGTAGTGTCATGTGCTACATAGTCTTTCTTCATTTTCTCAACTTCGTTCTATTCAAATAGTCGTCTCCTGAAATATTACATTTTCTCACCAGGTGGCCTCTTCTAAATATGACGGTATCATCGCAGCTTTCTTGCATTTCAAGATTTTTAGATAAAAAGCCTAAAATAAAATTATCAAAACTGGCTGGAATATTACCGAATTTAAATGAAGTATTGCTAGCCTAACTCGCACACTTTCAGATCCAGCAGGAAATCTTCGACATCGAGAAGACTTTGGAAATGCTGAACAAGGCGATTGAAGATAAGCTTCAGCCGATGAAAGTAGCCCACACTCGTCTGCAAGCCAGGACCAACAGACCACATCTAGAGAAGTGTCGCGACGAAGCTCAGATCAGGTAGATAGCTTCTTGATAGACTTCTGTACTTATATCTTTGCACAACCTCTAGGACCAGTTTTCAGGTTCAAAATCCCAAAATGCCTTACAACTTTTATAATAAATTGTATCAAAACTACGTAGTTAAGAGCATTTTGACTCTCATATCTCTGTCAAACAGGCTGGTCAAAGAAGTGTGCGATCTTCAAGAAACGATGGAGAGTCTTCGGTCCAAAATCGCCACAGCGGAAGGAACTCACCAGACCCTATTAGGAGTCCGCGCTGGACTGGAAGGGGAACTGAGGTCCAAAGCTACGACACTGTTTATTGACAGAGACCAATGCATGGGGCTCCGCCGCGGGTACCCCGTGACTGCCGCCATCAAGGTCTAACAGCCTTGACACTGTTCCGACTGATGAAAATTTCTCAGTGCAATAAAATTGTTAATTTAATATCTTGTCTTTTAATTACGTGTATAGAATAAATGTGGTCACATATATTACAAATATTAGTATAGTAATGTTTGAGAAATCGATTAGTAATTGATTATAAAAACTGCAGTCCAAAACATCTAAAATAGACGGTTTAACCGACTTCAAAAACAGAGGAGGTTCTCATTCTTTTTTGTGTTACGCGATCATCAATTTGTGGAACGATTTTCAAAATTCTTTACTAAGTATATACTTTACGATATACACCCGTGGTGATCCCATTACCACCAAATCAGTATCTGATTATGGAATCCAGAGAAGTCAAGGGAAACCCTCAAATTTTACAGCCCCGATAGCGTGTTTTAGGTTGTTTCTCTAGCTATATCAGTATTTGCGTTTGGTAGTCGTTCTGTTGCTGAACTGACGATGGAAGAGTTCTTGAGCTTCAGGACTTAGAAGATCTCTCAATAATATGTTCAGTTATTGACCTTCGTTTTATTCTTTCAAGATATTTGTTAGGTGTTTGTGTTGGTTTACAGGGATATGTGCACAAGAAAGTAACAAAATATGATACAAACAAGCCAAAAAAGACTCATTCGACTGTTTTTTTATCATGTCTTACCTCAACGATCTTTCATTTGTAAAATTCCTGTTTTAATTAGAATTGTATATTGTCCCTTTGGTTCAAATGTAAAAATACCACTTCTATTGGTGGAAAACTTAGGTTTTTTGTAATTGGAAGAGGGGGCAAATGAGCAGACGGGTCACCTGATGGAAAGCAAGTCGGATGTCACAAGCATGTTGCAGGTCTTTTAGGCCAAAGTACGCGCTCTTCTGGAAGGTCGTATCGGTCCAGAAATACCACAGAAGATACCTTGTTCCACTGTTTTATTGAGGGTCGCACTTAGTTTTTGCAATTAGATTTGTAATTATTTTTAATTTTAGTGCTCATTCTCAGTACTGTTTGAAGTCTTTTTTTTTTGAAAAAGGATTTATCCTTTCGACAGTCTAATAGGACGGAAAAGTTTACCGTTATCTATGTTACCAAATTGGATACCTGATGAGTCACTTCTGGAAACTAAAGTAACAGTGCAGCAGTGAAATGGCAGTCATGATTAGGGTTTAAAGTCAAAATTAAAGTAGGTAAGGTGTTTAATAGTGAAAATGAAACAATAACGGAAAACAAACGCTCCCATCTATTAGGCAGCTTTTTTAATGCAAAAATAAACTTAACAAGACTATTAATTACAATATGTAACACTCACTAACACGATAAGAATTATAAGATGTATATAAATCTCATGTAGGATAGAATGTAACACACTACCTATTATAAATTGTTTTAATTCAATCTCAAACCCAACATTAACGACCAAAAAAAATTATTATTCAATCCATGATTGTCATACTCATTTCCATTTTTGAATTGCCGCGCGTAAATTGTCAAAAAATTGCATTAATACAATTTTGTTCTACATAAATGACTTCCTACTGTTACGATTGAGTATGGAGAAAAAATAACGATGTTTAAGCATTTTCAGAACAAATTCGGGATTTCTGACAAATAAAGCCTTCCACAATACGAGTTTATTATCTGTAGACTTATATTTGAAACCATCACAAATTTAACATAGTTTTGGTTAATATATAAGTAAATAGAGAAGGGGGGGGGGGGGGGGGGGGGGCAGAAATAAAATATTTATAAATTTACAAAATTATTACAGGTTTACTTATTTTTACTGATGTGAAAACTGCACAAATTACAGTTAACATGTTTATAATGTTAAGAGTTACTTAAAACTTCTGTGGCAATATGGCCTTTGAACTCAGAGTTGCCTGTTATTAGTGATCTTGAGTGATAAACCGAATTCCATATTAAAGGCTGTTTCATCTGGTAACCATGGCACTAGCTCTGCCTAATTTGGGATCAGCTGGCGGATTCACGAGGTGTCATCATGTTACCTACGTCATCAATCTCATAATTATTACATTATAAATGAGTGTAAATAATTCAGTGTTTGTACTGAAACTACATTTATTTCTTCACATAACTAGGAACAGGCAGTTTCAAGCCCTCTTTAGCCTCAAAGAATGTGTACGAGAGCACTATCTCGTCTACGTACTCCATCTTGGGGTCGTCAGTAAATTCTGGATCTATATAAAAGAATACTGGCATATCCACCTGCAAATATAAAAAAAATATTATTAAAAATGATATGCCCCGGATAGGACAAATCTGTACTGTTAATTAGAGGTGTTATAAAAAATGACAGATCAACTAAATAAGGTGTGATTCACACTGACTATAATATGGCTTTTATGACACAGTTTGGGAGACAGCATTCAACACACATTGAATTTAATTGTCTTTAAATTCATTCTGCTGTACCTCATCTAACAACTGTTTTTCCTCTAAATCTAATTATGACATGGGCGTAACAGAATCCGATGTAAAAGGCAGCTGCTCCCATATTGGCTGTTGTGTGCTTACTTATTTTACAATACACTAAATACTCTTGACTCTAATACATGTGTTTGTGGTTGTTTGTTTAGTATACATACTAGTCCTAATTCCATACCAGCCACTCTAAAGTGGATTCTGTGGAACCTAAGGGCTATTACGCAATGTCGACTGGTCGCCGGCGATTGTGACTTTCTATAGTTTAACTACGTGCTGACGACGCACATGCGACTGCTGGTCGCCAGCAATCACTAGGAATACGGGTTCAAATGGAAGCGTTCACGCTGCAAGTTACTGTCGAGACAACTACAAAAATAGCTATGGTTTAAGATACCGAGAACTTTATATTGGAATACAATTCTGAAAAACTGTTTGTTTGCTGATGTACCCACCCAATACTCTTTTGCATTTCTTTTACTTTTTCCTCATAATTAGTAACGCTACTGTTGCAGCTTCTTCGACGTCCATTGTGCATGACTCTACAAGAAACACTACTTTAAATTCAGTTGTTCGGCTTGGTCACTATCAGTTTCCAAGTCCCCATCACTGTACAGTGTGTAATAGCCCTTAGGGTTGCTGTGAGGAGAACCAATTCTTTTATCTGGCAACCCTCTATCTGGCATGGTATCTAATACAAACTCATATAATAGTTGTTGGTAATAATAACAATACCTGTTCTTGTGGATTCAGTTGTTGTTCCTCAAAGCAGAAGCACTGAATCTTGTTGAAATACTGTCCAGCTTCAAATGGGATAACATTGTAAGTGCTTATTCCCGTGACTGGTTTGTTTGTGGGATTGCGAGCTGTGTAGAAGGCCAGAGCCGTCTCACCAGGCACAACCTGGCAAACACAACAAAAAGGGACTCTTTAGTAAAAGAATATCAATAAGCAAAAAGCTATATGGTTTTTATGAAAATCTCTTATAGGTTCTATTTTAAATTTATTGAAGAAGTATTTTTATGTTGTTAACTCTGCAAGACTAAAATTTCTCTTTAAACTAAAATTAACATTATAATTTTTTTCATAATTCAAATATAATAGGTATGTTACTAGTCTTCCTAATTAAAAAATCAAACTATTCGATTTCAATTACCTCAAGCAGAGGAAGGCGTAAAAAATCTGGAGACGATCACATCAACAGCCTTTAATAGTCCACTGCTGGACTTTGGCCTCTCCTTAGAAATTAGGTTTTGGCCTACTATGCCACGCTAGCCAGACGGGTTGGTATAGGTTTGAAGTTTTCCTTCTCTCTGCAGTGGTGTTGTTCTGCATAGGTTTCTCCCTCAATCAGCTCTTACGACACCCACGGGATGAATAGGCGTGGTGACACTATGTATTCTTAATCCGTACAACATACTGCTTTTAGTCAATCAGATCCTCAGTCAGTTATCTATCTGTACATTAGTTAATATAGTAATAGGACTGATTTGGCTTATCATCACTAAATAAAACACCTCATAAATTAAAATTCAGCCTGTTAGACACCTGATATACAAATACTACTCACTGTGATATCATGCTGCTGAGGTTTAAAGTTCCACTGCATAGACGATGCAGTGTCAGCGTTGAACCGGATCTTGACAGGTCTGTTCTTAACAACTGTCATGTTGCTGACAATACTGTCTGACTCCACGAGACCTGTTGTACCTCCATAACTGTAAGCCTGAATTAAGCAATAATATTAAATAAAGAAAATAATTTTAAAGATTATGTTTTAAAGAAACCAAATAATGTTGCTACTTCAAAATTTCATAAAAAAAGAAAGAATTCAATGGTTCTAAAGGTACAACAATAACAACCTATAGCTAAGTAGTGGTAGTAGTAGAAATACAAAATGGTAAAATAAAATCTATACAAATAAATAAAATTGAAGTGTCTGTTTGTAATGTCATAATAATAGGTTTTTTTCATGCTCACACCGTTATTTGCACAATACCTATGCCTAAAATCCCATATTTTTTTTGCCTGTCTGTTTGTTTTTATTTGTGTTGTGTGGACCAATTTTATTAATATTTTACTTACAGGTATCTGTCTATATAAGGAGTAACTTTAGCTATTTTTCTCTCAGAAAAACCCTATAAAATTTTGCCTGGTCCGAGAATCAAAGCTACTAAGGCAGTAATTTTAAGTTTACGTGGACAACGTGGGCTAGTTAGTAATATATAGGACTTTTATAGTTTACATAAATGACTTTACTTGTTTCAGGTTACATATTTGTCTGTTTGGTTGCTCAATAAGTTCCAGAATAGATGGGACAATCCACAGAACTATCACTATCATACAAAATCCATATATATGATTACGAGACCAGAGCCGCAAAGGGTAAAGCTAGTTAGTTGTAAATAAGTTTGTGCAAGTGTTTTTTAATCCTTTTTTTATATAGGTTATCTTACCTGACAAAAAATCCTATAAAGTGGTACTGCGGCATAACTTAAACCTACGGTCATAACGCCAACCGCTATCATATAGTTAAGGGTCGACCTGATCTTGTGCCTCTGATCGTGGGCCCCACGAGAAGTAAACAAATTACATATCGTAGGACGTTTTGGATATAATAGTGGGGGACTTGAAATAAAATTACTCCTAAATGTAGTGATATAGCACCGATTTAAACAAATTAGCTTGTTCATAGTTACTTTTTGTGATATAAGGAACAAAAATTAAATCATTTTGCAAGACAGCTGCAAAAATCTCTTCTACAATTTGACAGCTGCTGAATTTGACAGTTGACATTTTCTGTTTTGCTGCCAATAGAGGTCAGTGTAGAAATCCAACCCATAGAGAAAATACAAGAATAGAGCACGCCAATCTCACCTAACCGAATGCTTTTAGGTGTCCTATCGCTGCACGCAGAGGCCCTCTATCTCTCTCGCACTGCATAGATAGCGAGAAAAAGATAGAGGGCCTCTGCGTGCAATGATCTCTCTCGCACCGTGAGGCTTCTCTTGCTCTATTCTTATATTATGTCTATGATCCAACCTCATGAATGCTATGTTATAACTTACCTTGGTAACCCAAGGTAGGTTAATTAATACTTAACACAAAACAAAGATATTTTAGGACAAATTTTCAAGAGATTTCTGTATCTTTTTGCCTTAAATCAAATTAGTTTATCCTGATCAATAATTTATCCTGGCTCCGGAAAATTATGGTAACACTGACAAGTTGGCGGTGTTTTCAAAACGATTAATGTGAACTCTATTTTTTGTGCTCTGCAATTTCTTTTTATTCTTTGATAAGCGTATAGTTCTCTAGGTTTAACAAATAATATAGAGACAAAATAAAACTTCAATAGATTTAAAAAATAAATTAACGTTTAATATCACAATTTTTAATACTTTCTCATGTAATATGTGCATCATCGTTTGTATTCTAGCGTCATTAGTTTGTGTTTCGTCTTAATGTGAGCGTCCGTGTGAGTTTTTTGATACGCTTTGTAAGTGCAATCTAAAAATGGACATCGAAACATGGGTTCTTTGCCGCACTCATACGTCACGTGTCTTCTGTACGTACTTTTGTGTCGATACTTCCGTTTACACTTCTCGCACTCGAAAGTCATGTCGTATTGCGACCAATAATTTTTTGTCTTCATTGGTATCGGCAAAATGTTTTGCATCATTGATTTAAAGAAATCCACGTCACCTGCAACAATGAGATTATAGACTGATTCTTTTTCTTAGACGTTACTAGAGCTCTTACTTCATAAAAGAACGCGCTTACTTGATAGTGATGTTTTACTAATATTATTAATATACTTAACAGACGAAGGTTTTTCAGTACCATATAATTATACTACAGAGTTAACGCGTCCGATGCTCGTTCACGCGTATATTTACACGAGTAACACTACCTAGCTAGCTAAGAATTCATTTACAATTTTGAAGATCAGGTATAGGAATATCTCAAACAAACTAGAAGATTATTGAATCAAGAACATTTATTCACATGCATAATCCAACTAAAAAAGAACAAACCAAACACACTCGACTTCACTGAAAAACAAAATAAAAAATACTTCAAACATTAATAATATTTAACATTATTTTGTGCTGGTCTCACTATGTTGCAATATCCACGTATAGAGAATCAATTATTGAATAGAATCTATTTATTCAACAAAAGATCAACAATTACTTGGCTATTGAATATTAAAAAAAACAATACTGTAGTTTGCGTTTGTACGTTAAGATTGTTAAGGAACTAATATCGATACAATAAAATATTGAGTTTAATGACATTATAATCGATCGTCATTAACAATTTAAAATCGAATAAAAAAAATACAAATTACTACTTTGGCCTTCCATTAAAATATTTAAAAACCAATGTTTTGGTTATAATATTACATGAGTACATAACTATCGTTATAGTTTATAATTTATCTAAAATAAATGTGAGGGTCAGATAATATACCACCGTTTTTATTAATATCTAAACTAATTTGTTGGTGGGTGTCTAAGTTAAACTTTCGTTATGACAAATTTATAATTCTAAACTATACTCATACAATGAACACTCATTACGTTGCGCCTTGACTGTACAAAACTTCACACTGCCTAGCATATAGGGACACCTCACACTACGTTACTAAAATATTAGTAATGGACAAATCAGCGGACATGTGACCTTTTGTACCAAGTATTACAGCAAAAGTTATTTCGAATAATATTCATATCAGTTGTATAAATGAACACTTGATCAACTTCATCCGATATTTGGTTTGACTTACGCTCATTCTGGTAGCTAGTGGAATGCCATGCACTGTACCATTCCACTTGACATTGCTAGCCCCAATTTCCACATTTCATGAGTATAATAATAGAAATCTTACACAAAAACCATCTAATGCATGTCTTAATGGTCTCAGGTATAGAAAAATATTTAACCGTAGGTCACATAAACAATGATCAATTAAAAACTGGTTTTTATCGCCACGTTGGCCGTAGTGCATTAGGTGCCCTAAGACACTAGTTAATTAAAAACTTAATATTAAATAACCATAATAATTTACTTAAAATATTATATAGTATATATTTAAGGCACTAATTTCTTATTATGGCTAAGAATCGACTGGAAGATCCTTTGGTTTACATATTGCATAATTCAAAATTTGAACTCTTTAAGGTAACTTATTAACAGTAACAAATGCAAAGAAAAAAATTCAACAGAAATACTGTGCTTTACAATAATACACTGTTCTGTTACAATTTTCTAGCAGTAATAAATTTTCTTTGGTAACAAGGAACACACACTAAACAAACATTAATAACAAGAACAAGAAAATATAACAATCTATTAATATTATTATGCTCTAGTTTGTATAATTCAACGAAAAACACTGTTGTCTTACGTATTCAAATATTGTAGAAAACTTACACTATAATAATAAACAGGATCGATATATTTTTAAACAACAATTGCCAGCTGCCATTTACGAGCTGGGTACCATTCGTAGGTATCAATTTAAAAATAGTTATAATTACGGTCCAAAGTTATGCACGAATCCGTGAACTAGTGACACACCTAATGAATTGTTTTCTTTTTAAATATATTAGTATGTTTACAGCTCAATGTCTTTCATTATTATACTTGTTACAGATAAATAATACGTGGGTTTCTCCATTTAAATCTATTTCAACGGTATCGTTATATTTTTGGTAACTTAAGGCATTTTCATCAGTGTAGGGTCGCTAGAGACCCAAAAATCCCATCATGACATTAGTTGACGTCACAAACACTACAAGGTATAGTAGGAATTTCGCGAGTCCTGGAGTTGGCTTTTGAAGCAGGAGTATCGCTTCTTGGTGTCTACGAACAAAGAGTTAGAATTGACTTTCTGTGATTGGAGAAGAAAAAAATTACACCCAATTTACCCGTAGTGCTAATGTCGTCATAATGTTGTATAAATTAGTCTACTTAAACTAAATACAAGGAGAAGACAAGAAAGGAAGGTTTCCACACTTTCAAATACGATTAACAATTTTAGGCTTAGCATGTCTAATACGTTCTATGAGATATTGTAAGAAATATCATTCAACCCGAACTTAGTGCTAGAAATTTACGAGTATTTAATTTATTTAAGATACACAAAAAATATTCGTAGGGCATTAGTTCGAAATCAAACTCCGCACTCTACTGCAGTTAAAGTTAACTTTAACGAAATAAATAGAAGGTTTATTCCACTATGTTCACCTAGGTGAAATAATTCCACACCTTCACCCAAGTGAACTAAGGCGACTTTTTCTATGCATCTTGTGTACTTCAATCACCCATATACAGCATGATAATAGATACTAACAAAATTTAAAAATAAAGATGACTTAATATTTAACGTTCATTGCACAAATAAAAAACTGAAAACAGTGTAAATCATGTTACCTAAAAAATATTTCTAGAATGATTTTGTTGACTAGGATATTATAATTTTGTATTTGGCAACACTTACTTACGGTGTAATGTAAAAAGTTGAGGGTAGTTAGGTTACTATTATTATTATTATTATTTTGTTTACTACCTATGTATTCTGAGACACGATAGTTAAATTAATACCAATATTGACTTATAATGATGTCCTGAAATAGTGAAATGGACATTAAAGTGATTTGTCTGGAAATTTCAGTTTTTATTGTCATGATTTATGTGGATGATAAAAGTACACAAAACGAATAAAAAAAGTCACCTGTCCACCTGGTGACCATAGTGGAATTAACCAAATTGAATACTAAACTTGTCTATTAGCCGGTAAATTACTGCAAATTGTTTGTGGATAAAATACTCCTGACTAATACACTAATTAAAAATAAAACTCGTCAAGTTAATAAAATTAGAAATGTAAACTAGAATATAATTTATCTTGAAGATAATTGCTCGGCTACGATGTCTAGTAGTCAAACTCGGGCGTTGAGATGGAGAGAGCGCTCATTGATAATGCTCCCTGCCGGCATCGTCCATGCGCATTTAAACAGTAATATAGTAAAACAACTAAATACTATTGTAAGTGTAAGCAGCTTTCATTTGTAGATCTAACTCCGATATGTATCTGGTCCACAGAACGTCATGATCCTTCTCGACGCCCGAGTATAACTAAATTGTATAAATTTGTTTCCCGTTATTCAAGGTTAGAAACAGAAGCTCTAACCGTCATCGATATTTTGAGAAAACCGACTGTTATCAGGTATTCCAAATTATCATGACGTGAATAAAAAAAACTCAAGTTTTTCGACACCAGTACGTTAGTAAAACTGTTCCTTAATAAATATTGTGAGGTACTTGCGAACTTTTCCTTCTAACCGTTTTATCCTTCGATGAAATTCGTAAAGTATGCCGAATCGTTTAGTTCAACGATTTCAGCTAGTGTATAATATACATAATAGGTATCTGTGAACAATAAAGGCAAGATCTATTATTAAACATATCGACTTTCACTCGAAATTCTTTGGTAAAAATATGATTGCTCTGGATAGATTCCAACATTGCAGTTTAAATTATTTTTAGTTGCACACCAATCTCTTAATTTGTTTGAAGTCTTCATTAAGTATAAGGTCCAGACGTTTCCCTTCATACCAGTTACGGCTGTAACAGAATAATATATTGCAACATTAATATTTATATAAATGTTAGTGCCAAATGGTTAGTAATTAATGGAAATGATGAAATTTACAATGAAATCGTACACGAAATAGATGACATTGAGTTAGAATAAAAAGCATGCTGCTAAGTAAAGCTTATAAAATATAATAGTATGTAGGTTTTAGTGGAACATAAGGATAAGTCCTAGGGCGTGTGTTATTATCATCTTAGTTTGTCGTGTTAGCGTGAGAGTTAAAATAGCCAGCCTAAGACCAAGAGGTAGTATTCTTTTATTTACAGAGTAGGCCCAAAACAGTGTTTCTCCCATAACCCTGTAGTCCTGATAGATGGCATGCAATAACTATCAATGGACGTAAAAATATGACGGTCATGTTCTGATTTTACAAGTAAATTATGCACTTCTGACAGAATATTAGTGTAGTGTTATGCGGAGATAAAAGAAAATTAATTTTCTAAAGAAAAATAACACGTTAGGTCTTGTGAGTTGTGCATCGTTAATGCATTAAACGAGGGTAGTCTTGAAAGTTAGTAATTGTATGATTCAACAGTACTGACATGGAAGCCTTTAGCGGCGGGTCATTCTGACACGAAATCCACCTTCTCCGGCATATCTTTATGTAGATGTCGTTCGTGAAGCAACAGATTGTGTTTCTGATAAGCTCGGTACACACAGTACGGACACTTGAAACTTGGCTGTTTTCTACATTCGTACTTTATGTGCCGCTGGAGCGAGCCCTTGTGTTTGTATTTATTCCCGCAGTCCACGCATTCGTAAAGCGTCCACCCGGCTTTACCGCTGCTCAACCCAGGCGTACCGTAACTCAATATATAAGGTGTGTACAACTGTGCAACTGAAATTAAAACGCAAATAAAAATAAATACGTGCACATAACAGCTACCACCGTGTAGTGTAAAGCGAAGCCACCGATAGGAAGTGTGCTACCGCGTAAAAGCTAAGGAAAATGCACCATGTCTCCCATTAATTTGCTTGTATACTACTGGTATTAATCTAACACTAGCTCCCTTATATCTAGTTAAAGTAGCATGCAACCATTGTTATGCATAGAACTATTAGTTAAATATATATATATATAGTCATTGAAATAACAGTAATGTCCCAACTGAACACTTTATATAAACATAATTCGTCCATGCACGCGTCAAACGCAATGATATTGGATATTAATGATGTTCCAAACCGGTCCCGAATCATTGAGTGAGACACTAGCCCATCACAAAAATATAAATTTATTAAAACAAGTACGTACCAAGAATAGCAACTTTATTTAAAATACAAAAAAGGTTATAAAAATACAATCAAATGCATTTTAATCACTGTAACTTCTTATTGACAGTAAATAGTATCTACAATAGCTACAAATATTCTAGGTAGTAATTTATTACAATAAAAGTAACTATGTATTGTTCGTAACATCACATGGGTCATGATACTGATTAATGGAGCGTCGCTTGGCGGGGTGGCCGACACGCTACTCATATTGTCAAGTGGTAATCATTTCACATTTTGAAATTTGTATATAATCATTTACAACATCTTCAAAAGATGTAATTGTTAATATTTTACGTTATATATTTATTTTATAAGTAGTCAAAGTATCCCCACCCCTTACACTAAACGCTCTCCTCTCCCCTCTACCATTGTATCGCGTTAACTCTATCACAGCTATTTGTGTATTAAATGTGTATAAAAATATGTTTGTTCAAAGTATAGTATTATAAACTTAGTATTATCATAGTGTGTATAGACACTATGTCTATCATAAATCCTTTACAAAGAAATGGCTGACATTATTGTACGAATATTAAAAATCACAACCTAGAAAATTTAGCAATAATAAGTTACTAGAAATCATTGATTGAACCGAATGTTTGTATAAATGTGAAACGTTTTAAACTCTAATGACTAACTCTTCGAAGGCACTTAGTTGTATACTGACAAGATTTATATGGTTGTACTTTGTGAACTTTACATTTTGATTGTATGATGGTAACTCCAGCGGATAATATCTAGCGCGGTAGATTGTCGGTAAAGTCACTGCCCGCTGCGGCCTTTGCCTCGGGCCGGGCCTCGCCAGGAGCCTCACCAATATGACTTTACACACACGCTACCACTTCCTAATCTTATAATAATGTCTAAATGGTAATGTATATAAAATACTTATCAACTACGTGGAAGATAAAACGGCACTTCCCTCAACATACCGACATGATTGTTCTCGATTCATTGTAACAAACCTTAATGGCAGTGTCTAATTTCAAACAAATCAACAATAGTTTAAAGGCACTCTCCTGACTTAATAATCACAAACATTGGCCCCAAATATAACATCCAATATACTAACAGATATCGCGAGGAACTACAGTAATAACCGATCTCAACATTTACTACAGAAACGCATCAAGCTTACATTAAAAATAATATAAATGCATTAGATGTAAAGAGATCTAAAAATAAATTGAAATAAAAAAATTAACTTATGAGTATTACAATAATAATGGAACATGCATTTATGGCAAAGAACTAGTGCTTGCTAACTAAGCGAAAATAGCTTCATTTTCATTAAAACTATGATATAGAGTATGCAAGTTAAGCAACGATCGCGTGCTCGATACTTCACCGACGATTCCGTGTCTCCTACGATCAGGACCTACCAAGTTATGATATGAACTCGAATCTCAGCTAAATAAAGAGCCATAATCTATATAAATTCTGATCGAGAAGATAGTAACTGTGACTGGTAACAAAATTAATCCAAAAGAAACTGACTTGTATTCCAACAAGCGTCTCGAGTACGGACCAGGAATGATAGTAAACATATAAATGCTGTACAAAAATATAAAAGAGAGTAAAACCGTAACTATACAAAATCACTGTTGACTTAACATACTGGATAAATGCAATAGTTGCATGCGCCGCTACGGCAGGGTAACGGGCGTGAATACTATCAGTAGTCGCTCAACTTCATCAAGGTAATCTATAAATGGTCATCGCTGACCGAGACCGACTCGAGGCGACCTCACCGACCTCACCGACGGCGATTACATCTAACGTGACTGTCTGACGCCACTATCACAAGAGAGATTTCATCACATTTATCACAATTGGGATAACTCGGGAATTCGTTAACTTCTCTAACTATATACGGGGTAAACTTTAAAATTTAACATTACACTAACGATTTCAATATTTCTTCTCAAAAATAGACCTATCAAAAAGTATCTAGTTAACGGTGCCAATAGTAAAGTTTCAACAGAGAATGATATGTGAACCGCATCGTCCGTCGTGTACGGGGCGCCGCGGCTATGTGCAGGCGTCGACGTTGTCCTGCTTGATGTACTGCTCGGGCTTGAGGTGTACCTCGCGGTGCATCCGCTCCATGTGGCGCGCGATGTGCATCTTCTGCTTGGCGCGGTACACGCAGTAGGGGCACTGGAACTGCGGTTCCTTGCCGCACTCCCACTTCTGGTGGTTGCGCAGCGACGACTTGAGCTTGTAGAGGCGGCCGCAGTCGGGGCAGCTGAAGCTGGGCTCGCCGGGCGCGGGGGGCAGGGCGGGGGCGGCCACGCGCATGCCCGCGAAGGGCAGCGCCAGGCGCGCCGACCACTGCTCCCACGAGAGGCCGCCGATCCTACTGAACGACACGTCTTCGGGCCCGCCGCCGCCGCCTGAAAGCGCCCACACGTATCATTAGTGCTGGGCGCGGCCCGCTCCCGAGGGGTTAACGACAGTCAAGCGAACATAGATACGTGTTATATACAGGTACACACTATACATACGACTGAATACGTGATACACATACGAGTAGTACATAGATACATATATAGAGGTAGTATTCTACTGTGAGTGGCCACCGAGTGCTGTGATCAAAGCTTGCAGGAAAAGTAAAAAAAAAAAAGAACAAAATAGAAGTAAAACGTTTATTTTGTATCACGATGTTCGGCATCGAGCCTCGACCGTTTCACAGTTCACTCTAGCTTACAGTGGTTTCTGAAGCGAGTCGCATTATCTTTGGAAATACTAGGCATGTAAAGAAATCTCATGGTGCTACTGGAGCTTTTTAGTCACACGGCTTTTGTAATAAACGTTTGGTTAAGGAAATGTAGTCTCCCGACCCATGGGCTTTCTTGTCTACCTGAAATTATTAATTATATTAGTATGAACGAAAAAGGGGGAAAGAGAATAATGCAACATGCGCAGTCGGAGACTAACTCTAAGCCGGTGGGCCTCGATGGTTTATTGGCGCGTCATGCTCACATGCGTTTGTTAGTCGACCAACATTCAAGGGTGCACACACAAAACGACTTACCTACTGGAACGACACTAGCTTGTACATTACAAACGACAAACCTAGTACAGAAGTGGGCCGGGGGGGGGGCCGGGGGGGTGCTACGAGGCAAGGAAACACAATGTCATTTCATATACTATAGCTATATTTGATTAAACTTTTCTACCAAGTAAACCCCAATATATTCATATAAAAATCACACTAATCGATAACTACTCCAATAACATTAACAAACAACATAATAACATCCAATTTTATATAATTCATACACGTGTATACCTCATACCGTAATCGTAACATGATATGAAGGGAATATTGCATATATCAAAAACATTTTATTTCTCTACGCTTAGTAATGACTTGTCTCAACAACAAATAACATTCTCTATTACTTATCACCACGTTAAACATCTAATACTGACTTTGGTCAAATAGCTTTGTTATCCTAGTTTAACAAAAAAATATCAACAGTCAATATTCTAAACGAAAACATGAAAATATTTTATTGCATGTAAATATCAGTTAATATCAAGATAACACGATTTAAACAAACAAATATATATAAATTTTGAACACATTTTTTTCCCAGTTCATCAAAATTCTAATCGAAAACATGTAAAATATTAATAAATATGTTTTATATAACTACAGGTAACATTGTAGGCACATTATTGATGAGCTTTAAACTATCTAAACCGCGCGCGCTCCCAACTCCAGTGGACGGACGGGACGAGCGAGTCGCACACAGAAATTGAGAGCGCGGCGTCAAACGGACAAGGTCCTCGAATATTATCCTAATAAATAAACAAAAACACTAAAGTAACTTTGGGTTTGCTATGAAAAAGTTAGGAAGACAAGTGGTCCCACGAACTAACTAACCGATGAAAGGAGACAATTTAAATAAATTATAACAAGACATAGCGAGACTAAACGAGCCGTGCGGACGGCGCGCGCTACTTACAACTCTACCCGTGCGGTTACACCGCGGCACCCGCCGGGCAGGCGCCTCGGCGTAATATTAACTAATTATTTAATATCATTGCACTAAATTATCAATTTGGAATTACTATCCTTTGGAGGAATGATAGGTTATTATAACTAAACAAATTCGAGTTGAAACAAACGGAAACACCATCGATACGCGTGGCGTGGTTCTTCTATTCCACCGCGTATAACGATTTTAAATTACTGCGACCTTAGGTCGTGTTCCTCCGAATAAAATACTCAGGGTCAGTCTTAACTACCGTAATAAACTCTAAAACGAAAACAACAAAACTAACGCTAACGCCGTTAGGGAATGTGCACATTACAACTATGCGTTTGACGTATATTAAAACGTGTCAACAAAATAAGGTAAATATAAATAAGATTATTGCAGAGCCGATTTGGTAAGGTAGACGCTTTGGTGTGACGTATCGCTGGGGGCTAGACGGAGGTCTTCTTGTTGCGGCGCACCTTGCTGGTGGCGTACACGTACCACTCGTCGTTGTGGTGCTTGCGGATGTGCACGCCCAGGTTGCCGCGCTGCTTGGCGCGGTAGGCGCAGTACGGGCACTGGTGCGCCGGCGCCTTGCCGCCGCACTCCACGTTCTCGTGGCGCCGCAGCGTGGACTTCCAGCGGTAGCGCTTGCCGCAGTGCTTGCACTCGAAGTGGCGCGACGCCTCGTCGCCCGCCTCGCGCTTCACGAAGGGCCCCTTGGGCTCGGCGCCTTGGCCCTTGCCGTCCTGCGAGTCGTCCGCGTGCGAGCTCGAGTTGGACGCGAAGCTGCAGCTCGAGTCGTAGAACGTGTCGGGGTCCTCGGGCAGAACGATGTCGTCCGTGTCGTCGTACTCGGCGTCCGAGTCCCCCTCGGGGTCCTGCTTGGTGGGCAGTTTGAAATCTAGACTCTGCGCCACGTTATTGTTCTGCATGAACGCCTGCTGCAGCAGGTGCGCTTTAATGTTTTCGGGTATCGAGGCGAGCGAGTGGAGCGGTCCGGGGAACGACGCGAGCTCCTTGGCGGGTTTGAGCACGTTAGTGACTTGGATGCACGGAGGGACCAGCGAGGCCAGCGATTGCGACTGCGCCTGCTGCGACAGAAGCGACAGCAGGGCCGACGGTAGATGGCTATCCTTGCGTAACTCTGAAATACAATACATTAACGGTATTGCAAATAATAAATCAAGCGGAACTACATACGTCTTTTGTTAATACTACCGGAGGCTAAAATAAATTAAGGAACCAAAGAAATGCGTTATAATAATAAAAATATAAAAAATAATTTCTGTTAGAAATTATAAAGGCGAAGCTTCTAAATTCATGCAGAACATGCACATCCAAGTGACCGATTTTAAAACTTATCTTCCCATAACAACTCAGAGCGGGCGGGTGGCGGTCGGCGCGTGGAAATATAAACTCAACGAACTTTACTTACAACTTTAATAGTTTAATAGTTCAAAAAATATCGAATATCAATCTGGGCCATACATAGGTAAACGAGTCGAATATAAAAATGTAATATAAGGTAAAGTCCTAACGGAAGCTCGAACGTGGGTAAGGCACTAGCGGTCGGGCTGCGGCTGTGGCGGCGCGGTTCACTTGTCGGGCGCGTGGTGCTCGGGGTGCTTCTTCTCGATGTGCTTCTTGAGCTCGTTGCGGCGGTGCTTGCTGTAGGCGCAGTGCGGGCACTTGTACTGCGGCTCGCGCCCGCACTCCAGCGTCACGTGGCGCACGAGGTTCTTGCGCGCGTTGTAGCAGCGCATGCAGTTGGGGCAGCGGTAGCCCTTGTCCGTCTTGTACTGCGCGCACGGCAAGTTAGCGCGGTCGCCGCGCGGGAAGATGTTGTAGCGCGACGCGGCCGTCTTGTCGCGCTCGCCGCTCTCCCCCGACGGCTTGGCGCCGCCCTTCGGCTCCGGCGGGCTCTTGTTGTCGTGCTTCTTGTTCTCCTTGGCCTCCTCGGCCGCGGGCGTCGCGGGCGGGGGCGGGGCCGGCGCCGGGGCCGGGGGGGCGGGGGAGGGGTCGCCGCCCGAGCTCGGCGTGTTCGGCGGGGACTTGACGTTTTTCAGTATCGCTAGAGTCGTAGTCTCGTTTACTTTTTTACTACGCGTCATTATATTATGTCGCGGTGACGTTTTTCGACCTGCAATAAAAAAATGAATACAGTCCGTTATAGTCTCTCAAAGTTCGAAACTAAAGAATTCCACTTTTAAAAAGTAAATTAAAACAAAAGCTAGTGACGAAAAACGTATATTCAAAAAATTATAGAAAATATAAAGAAAAAAATGGCAACGAGCGACTGGCTATGTGGATGAGCGAGCTAACATAATAAAAAAAAAAAAACAATCTTCTAAACTATTATTAAACAAAAAATCAACAATCAAAAAATCTTTAAGTAAAGTAATACTGCATCATCGAGATGTCGACTAGTGACAAACGTTTAAAAGTTCGTCTACACATAATTGTCTTACTCTTAACAATTCATGTCTTAAAAGTAGATAAAAAATATAAATAATGAAAAACTATAAAAAATAAAACAAAAAGAAATGCTTCAAAAACGTAAGTAGGTCATATGCCGTTCCTAAACCTCCTTGGGATGTTTAAGAGCCACGTGGGAAATAAGAGTTTTTTTTTTGAGAATATTTTTTGCCACAAATTTCACACCCGAACTGAGGCCCAGTGATACATTCGTATTTTTCATGTCTTAATTTGTTCCTTCTATACTTGTATTGTTTTTTCTTGCATATGGAACATACGTAAAGATGGTCTTTGTCCTTTTCATTACGACACTTGTCTCTATCTTTACGACACTTTCCCTTTTCAGTTCGACACATTCCCTTTTCAGTTCGACACATGCCCTTTTCGTTTCGACACGTCCCTCCAGAAGTACTAAATTCTAGTTTCTTTTTGATCCTTCTCTGACCTGACAACATTTTCTTTTTAACGATTTTTCTAACTTTCTTTTTAACGATTTCTTTATCTTCGTCTTGGTTTTGAACATCATTATTCTTAAAATACCCACGAGTTAATGGGAATGGAGTTTTGGCGTAATTAGTGTTAAGCATTTCTACCAGTAACTCTGGAAGATTAAATGAAAAGCGAAAGTAAATTATATACAAAGCATACATATATAGTGAGAAACATGATGTGTAAAGTTATTACACAAATGAAAGGGATAGTGAGATTAAAAAGTGGTGATATTCTGCGATGTGGTATATGCGAGTTGTGCGTGCTGGTGGAAAGACAGGTATGCAAGGCGGCTGAGGTATAGAAGCGTAGGGTTGTTAGCGGTGTTGTGTCAGGTATGTGAGGGATTCATTAGAAATGTAAACAGGTTTACTTTTGTTGTGGCCCTAGGAATGTGTCCGACCGTAGTCTGTTGGCTTCACTGTTTTTTTTTTTGTAATTTCCTATGAAATATTGTACAAGACATTATGAAAAATGAAATGCGCATCCACGTGGACTTCGTAGTGTGAATGACCATGCTTCCGATAATTTTATTAATTGCAAATGTCGACCTAGTGAACATGCATAAATAACAAAAAAAAACTTTAATTTTTTAAACATGAATTGCTAAGAAAAGACGTCTGCAGTGAAATCACATGTGAATGCAAAAAAAAAAAACAGAAAAAATAAAATAATAAATAAATAAGCCACATAACCATCAACTACGTGGACAATGTATATAATTAACATTTACCTTGTGGTGGCCATCGTGCGGTGACAATCCAAATCTTCTATAAACATATCAAATTCACACTTGGTGCTAAAAAATTTTTTTCCACGGTACTTTCGTTTAGCGATGAAAAAATCAACTATTTTATGTACCCAATAAAACATGGGCAAAGTGAGGTGTCGTGCACAATAAAATACATGTTTTAACTACATAATGTAATACAACAAATATCATTGAATAATAAATACTTAAAAGTTTACTTACCATTACATAACAATTCCACTCCAGTGTTAGACTACAAGGTGTACAAATATAGTGTCACTATCGTCTAGTTAATACGAGATATTACAATACTGAAGCATGCAAATTACTACATCAACTAAGTTCCCATATCACAGACAGAAGCTTACACGTACCAACTGGTGAACTAATAATGTAAACCGATACTTACCTTCTCATTACCTCGCCTCGTTAAAGGCTACATCGCAACAAAACCTTAGTTACCGATACCTTTACCTGATGCACTGGAATATCATTGAAAACTTGATAGTCGCAATAGAATATACAACAAGATTAGTAGTTTATAATAATATTAGATACTAATTAATATAAGATTGGAGTTTCACATGTGAAAACACTAGCACTCTCATATCCACTGTCGTGAAAATATAATATTTATATATAACATAAATACATTATTTTAAGCAATGACTGTTTCTCTATCAAATTATGGGAAGACATTGCGCATTTCATCCGTTCCTTGTATGTCTCGGACAATTAAGTTTCCTTTCATACGGTGACACGCTCCGTGTTCGCTATGAGACCAAAACTTAATTGTCCCAGAATATCAATTGAATCCCATGTGACATGTCGCGTTGTTTCGTTTTACTAGTAAACATCAAAAGCGGTGTGACATCAACGCAACATGTTGGTGAGAGCCGCCGCGGTCGGCGGGGGAGATAGAGACTGGTGGGTGGGGGGGGGGCAGAACGTCCCCCCACCGGCCGCGGCGTGTGTACGAGCGAGTGTTGCGCTTACCTTGAGACTCTCTCGCGCCGTCACTCGAGTTCATTATGTCATCTTGAGATCGTTCCATGTGCCATTGGAAATCTGTAACGAATGAACGTCATTGAATTTAATATACTAACCACTACCAAAGTGTTTACACACAGACGTTAGATTACAATCCCACTGGTCTTATATTCTATTTATGTATTTGAATTAGCATTTACACTATGGCATATTATGCATACATTTGTGGCGCGCAGTTGCGTTTCAATCTATGCTGTGACCTATATTTATACATATAATAACAATGTATTTTATCTTAAATGGGTTTTACATTATGTTTTAGTAGAATAGGAGTAAGACCTCATTTTACTAGATTTCTATTATCACAATTCTATTACAGATTGGAAAGAATCAAATATATTCAACCAGGGGTGCATTAGTACAGTGCTCAAGACTAAAAGTTAAAAGATATATTTAACATTGAAAGGGCTATATTAATAAACCACAAACAATAGGTTAATAAATCATTTAATTTATTCTTGTTGTGATTTCGCCACAAAATTAATACATTAAGTCATCAGATTCATCAGTTCCCCCACTCCAAAAGTCCACACTAGTACGACACACATACCAATCAGTGTATATACAATTTTTTTTTCTACAGCAATGATTTCTAAATTTAGCGGAAATCTTTTTTTTTCGTTACGCGATATCTTTAATTGATATACTGCCAAACTGAATACTTTAAAAATGAAATGAATTAATTTATTTTGCAATGTGATTCTGTTGAAATTGAATAATATGTTTTTACAAGTGAACAGCCTGTTCGAAAAGAGGCGCCACTAGAAACATTCAAACTTAAAAAAATAACACACATATATACAAATATATTAATTAACACAGCAGCAACAGTAACAAATGGTAACAAGTGCAGAGTGGCAGACATATTTATTGTGTTTTGATAGTTAGTTTGCCAGTCGGGCCATCTTGAAGAGCTGGTCTAGACTAAAACTGGCCAGCAACTAGTTCCGACGTTCAAGTAACGACTTTCATATCAATATAAGTTGTAGAGATGGACAATTCCAGATACTCACTGCGTACAACGTCATTGTGCGCTACTGCCGGTTGGTCATCAGTTTCCTCGTCCAAAGTTAGGTCTTCAACTCCATCCCTCTGCACCTCCTCTTTACATTGTGGTTGGTCGTCTCCATTGCCCTGCGCGTTGTCGTTCGGTGGAGGTAACGTTAATGATGGCGGCCCTTCGGTTGACATGCGACGCGCTTTCTTTCGGCGACGAGTTGGTGACACTGAACCTTCGCGGCTGTCTATGCTTCCATCTCGGGGCTGCAGACAAGGAAAAAACATGATTTTAATATACCTTTACTTTTTATTGTTAAGCTATGATACTTTTCCGCGGGATGGAAAAAATGTTGAATTTATACAAATATTTTAAGAACCTTTATTTTGCATACGATTGAAGCCTCTTTGATTTAATTATATCTTTGTAGAGAACTCAATTTATAAATGTTATTATTAGTTATTGCAATTGATTGACAGGGCACTATCGCTGTTACATGAACACATTGGTAACAATTTCAAACACATCCATAAACACACTATCAGTTACATAATTCTAAGTGATATGTAATAAATAGTTTCAAGTTGATCTTAATTATTTGTAATTTTAGTAAAAGCAGCAAGTAATGACTTGTAGTCAATATTCTTCATTTACAATACAATACACAAACCGTAAGTTCGGTTTCGGTCATAAAAAAAGTCGAAACTGAAACTCGGTATTTGTGAATTATGGCACACGTGGCAGAAACTAACAGAGTTTCTACTAAGCTGTGACCACGTGGGTCACGGCTTATTTCGCCAGCCCACCGTCATTCGCTCACAATAATTTATTTAATCCTACGGCATAAGTAATTTTATTAAAAACCTATCTGTTTGTTAACGATTTTTCTTTTTTTTTTTAGTAAGTAGGTACCTTTTTTTAGTAAGTGTAAGTGTTGAATTGTAGTACTTGCAACTTGTACCTAATACTTCAGTTTCGCTATATACTTATTGTAAATGCATGTAAAATATTAATTAAAAAGACTAGCTTTCTTCAACAAAGGAGTATGTGAAAGAAGATGTCAAATGATAGACAGAAAAAGACAACCCATAACACCGACACCAAATTAATTTGAGAACAGACTAAGAAGTAATCTAAATGCTTGTTTTGACATGGGTTTACGCTTTACTTGGTCACTACTTCATCAATTCCTAGCTTCTCACAACCTATGACCCACATGCTATGACTTTATTTGTATGGCATGATACTATTTCACATCGTTCTGAACTGTGTTGCATAACACAGTTCAGAACGATGTTTTCTTATCTAGGTACTAATAAATACGATATTGTTTGTTTATTATGCCATTATATCTTAAGAAGAATACGGAGTTGTACTGTGGGGTAACTCCACCAATGCAGACTGTGTTCAGAGCACAAAACGGTGTATTAGAGCTATTTCCTGTCTTAAGCAAACAGATTCATGTAAATCTTTATTTAGAAAGCTAAATATTCTAACTTTACCTTGTTTATATGTATACGAAACAGCTATATTTAAACAGCTATATTTTAAGTGTAATTTACATTTATTTGAACACCTTACAAGGCAACGTCATATTAACAAATTATGCATTAGACCATCTAAAACTGCACTACTTCATGAAAGTATATTCTGCATGGTTAAAAAGTTACATGCTATTCTAGTTGGTAAAACTTATAATTCGGTAAAAGAATACATGGAAGATAATATGTAGAATGATGTAAATAATGCACTACTTACATCTTCCTTTGACATACATCAGTACAGAAATTTTGACATATTAATTTGACATATTATAGTTTGTATTTATTATTATTTGTTTATTTTGTATTATTTTACTTTAGAACTGTATTATTATTTAGAACAATGACACTACTGGATATTATTTTGTAATAATTAATGGCTACTATTTAATTATTGTTAATTTTTGCATGCTGCGACATTCAGCTTAATATGGTGAAACTAGCTGTACCCATATTATCGCGAATAAATTGAATTGAATTGGAGTATATGGAGTGTCACCACCCCTATTCATCCCGTGGGTGTCGTAAGAGCTCACTAAGTGAGCAAACACCGCAGGACAACAACACTGCAAAGAGAAGGAAAACTTGACACAAACCCTATACCAACCCGTCTGGCCAGCGTGGTATAGTAGGCCAAAACCTTCTTTACAAGGAGAAGCCTATGTACAGCAGTGGATTATTAAAGGCCGTGAAATGATGATGTTGTTGATATCTTAAGTACTCAACCAAACTTAATAAATAATTTTTATTTCTGTAAGTAAATCTTTACAGATATTTTTACAAGTAGGACTTTACAGCTATTACATTTTGCATGCAGGTTACCTCTTTTCTAAAGAGAGGCCATGTCGAGGAGTGGACTATTAAAGGCTGTTGATGTGATAGAGGTTATAGATATGGATATAACTTGTATACAGACTTTTCCTCTCAAATTTACACTATTTAAAAAATACCTACAGCAAAAGCTGGTATTAATTAAGCTAGTAGTTTTGGATAGACAATAAAAATATCATCTCTAAAATGTCAAAATACATTTCTAATCCTCTGACTATCTACTTTTAATGATGTTAATGTTATATTATGTTGTTATGTTATGTTAATGTTAATAGTGCAAATACTTTAACCACATTATGTCATATTATTAGATATTAAACTTATTGGGTATTAGTAGAAGACAACCATGATAATTAAATATATGTGACTGGGGCAATTTTAAAATGAGTTAATTTAGCTGTATTACATAGTAATTTCATTACACAATGTTTAGTGAGATTATTATCATAATTGTTTTATCATTTACAAATCATCATATAAACAATGAAGATATGATAGGCCTTTTTGTCTGTTGCCCAATAAATTGTTCTTTCCCTCACTATTTAGAAAGTTTAGTAATCATCATCAACAGCCTTTAATAGTACACTGCCGGACATAAGCCTCTCCTTAGAAAGGAGGTTTTGGCCTTGGTATAGGGTTTCTGTAAAGTTTTCCTACTCTCTGCAGTGCTGTTGTTCTGCATAGTTTTCTCTCTTAGTCGGCTCTTTCGACACCCCCCAGATGAATAGGGGTGGTGACACTCTGTTTTCTTAATCCGTCACCACACAGACCATAGCTTAGTGATAAGGGCCATATATCAATAGCATTTATATTTACCGAAAACTAAGCTAAGAGTTTTATTTACTCAATATTACTAATATCATAAATTGGGAAGATTGGTTTAATTAATGTTTGTTACTCAATCACACGAGAACGGCTTAACAGATTAGGATGAAGTTTGAAATCAAGGTACATTATAGTCTGGAAAGCACACTATTTTTCCAGGTATAATTGTCAAAATTCTGAGCCTGAACGACACCACAGGCAGTAGCTAATAACAATATAGCATAGTACACATTCATTTAATATGAGAAATTATACCTACATGCAATTTGTTTCTTCTTATTATTTAACTGAATACATATCATAAGAAAAGTAGATTTTTTTACTAAACAGTTATTCAAGTCAAAAACATTGTTTAAAAAGCACATACAAACAATAAAAATCTAGTGAATTATTGTTTTTAAGGAAATGTATAGGTAAACACATATGTATCTATTATAATATCACATATGTATCTATAAAAATAAAATAAAATAATACAGAGACAAAACATAAAAATTCCCATTTTCAAAACAAAATAATAAATAACTCTTGGAAGTTGAGCTTTTAATATTGCCACATGTTGATAATCAATTGTAAATGGAACATCTGCCAAGTTGATTTGAATTCATTGCCAAACTTTAATTTTATATATGTACTACTAAGTCAGCCTACACATTCACAACTACTTTTGCACCTGATAGTAAAATACCTAATTAAAGATACTCAAACTGAATTGTTCATTACACTTCAAATAAAACAGTAAATTGTTGACCTACATTGTTTTTACAAGTTTCTTTTATTTATATTGGCGTGTTTTGTAATGCATTTGGTGTTATTTTAATTAAACTTATACTGTGTTTGATTTAAACTAAACATGTTACATTTGTTAAATTTGACAGTATAAAAAGTGTTTTGAAATAGAATGATCTGTTAAGAAAAACAATCATAAAAATTCTTACCTGTGGAGGTGGAGAGGGAGCACGAGGCGGGTGTGCAGGAACTGCCTGCGCTGGGCGCGACGGTGGCCTGGAGGGCTTATTGTCTGATAAACCTTTAATTTGAAGAGATTCAGCAGCCTTCAACAATGCAGCCAGCTGATCCTGAGATATGTTCACTTCCCCACGGTACATATAGTCCATCATAGCTCTCAGCTCTGCATATTTCACATCTTTTAGGATTATTATTGGATGTTTATCATACTGTTGTGATAGTACACTCTGTAACAAAATCATACTAGCATCAATCACTTTGTTTACATTTATTTCTATTGCTGCTTGTTTATAAATACTGTATTGAAAGTTTTCATGTGGTTATTATTCATTGTTAAAGAAAAGGTATCTTTAAAATTACTCATGAAATCAGAATCAATTAAAAATAATAAGCTAATGTACCAAAACACTGGCATGTAATTTAACTAACAACAGCTAATGGTATGATGTTAGGTAATGAATAATTGCAAGCCATTTAGAAAAAGTAGTTGAAACAACTTTCTGTTGCCAACTCATCTATACACCTATGTAAACTGCCTAAATGTTAATATATGAAAGCTAGAATGGTACAAGAAATATGGTTATTAGAGCAAATCTGTTGGCTTGCAGGTAACTTCACACTATCATAATTGACCTACATTACAATAAATTTACGTACCTCGAAATAGGGACTGCATGCCGACAGGACTACTTTGTGCGCTTTTAGTGTCTGACCCTCTGCAGCCAGGGTGCAATCCACGTGCATTCCCTTCTCAAGAAGATTATCGAACACCGACACTAACGTCGACTGATGGTTGTTCCACCTCAAGCAGAACTGCTGATCGTCGTCCATGATGCCTTCTTGCCACTCGCCGCGCCCTCAGCCCTATAACGAGCAATAAAGCTACGTCTTAACAAATCTAATCTAAACACCACGCAATAACTAGGCCACTAGGAAAACTTCACTACAATTACACATAACACTAGCATGGGTTATGGAAGGATCATCACTGTTAAACGTTAATTGTCTCACCGAATCACTTCATACGATGAGATCACGCCCCAACTTAACTAAATTAACTTTATGGACCACATACGAGTTGTCGTAAGCGACGCGGCACAAAGAAAATGGCCGCTTTTCCAGCGCGACAAAAAATAAAATGGCGACGAAAATTCTAAGTTTTACTATTTTCTGAGCAAAGTTTTCATGACACATTTATGTTGTTCAAGTTCATCGCGTTATCAAGGCACGACTTACATCGGAAAAGTTGAACGTCAACAAAGAAACTTCTAAGAAACTTAACTTTGAAAGTTCACAAGTGGAAATTTTCAAGATGAAAAGTCTTAGCAATAGTAAGTAAGCCCTTATCGCGGCCGTAACGCTACACCTAAAAAATTAAATGCTTACCTTGACTATTGCATTAACTCTTCCACCGTATTTTAACACTTTTATTTAATATTCTTAATTGCCACTTCAATTATAACACTTATTGCACACCCGCCAGCTTTCTTGAATGAAATTGAAAACACTAAACTAAAACTATGCTATGTTGCAAGTTTAGAGAAAGGCACCTCTACAAAAATCCAAACGAAGTACAAGTTGGAAGCGACGCGAATGACCCAAAATAAGCTCAATGAATGTTGCCATTAGCAAATAATTAGAAAGCTTGAAAAATAGTAATTATGGTCCGAGTAGCTAATCATTCAGCAATAGTGACTTTTACTACTTATTAATTTAATCTTTTTTTTTTTATAATTCCTACGCCACAAGAATGATTTGTATTAAATTGAATGCATTGCAAACAAAGTGGTGTCATGTTTTTCATTTCGTCCTTGACCGACTTTTTGTTTGACATAGTATCTCGTGATTACAAACATATCGGTGACAAAGTTGATTGTAACTGTTTTCTTTTTCCTTAAAACCATTATTAAACTATATTAAATGTTTCAATTTTAGGTGTTACTATGCACGAACTTTAAATCCAGTTTAGTTTAAGGCAATAATTACGTTTCGTTATACTGCGCCATCTATTGATATGACAAGCGATTACTACTGCTATCTAGTATCTACCTTCATTGCAATGATTCCATAGCTTCACCACAGATATAGAAGCTAAGCTTCACCTCGTATGCTTAAATGAGTAGGTAGGTAGGTTCATATGTAATTATGACGATTTCTTCTGTAATGTTTATTTTTAATTAGATATTATAGAAGAAATCTTTAAAGTAGTTAAAAAAGAACGATTAAAAACTAAATATTTATGTTCTAAATTTCGCCTCAATTCTTAACTAGTTTAGCGGAATTTTGACTTTTTCATTTTGTTGACAGACATGTACCTATATATTGTATATACCTACATCAGTGAGTATTTACAATGCTAGACTGTTAAATTATGGAGGGTTTGTGTGGTAGGAAGCGCAGTAGAAAGCGGCGAGGTGACCGCTTAAACCACTACCTACGCCATTCGTGCAGTCGATTGTCTCCCATGGTTTGGGACACATGGAGGCTCCATTCTGGCAATAGGCTCCATTAGTCCAGTTAAAATATCTCAACCATAATTCAGCGAATCTGGTGTAAAGTTGTGCGGTTAATACTTGAAGCAAAAGCTTGAACAGTTTATATTCTGGCCTTTGACTTTGATGTGTCTGTTTGTCTAGTGGTTAATGGCCCTGACTGCTAAGCCAGGAGTCGTTGGTTCGATTCCCACCCAGGACAAATAATTGTTTTGATGAGTATGAGCATTTGCTCTGTGTCTGAGTGTTATTTATCTACAATATTATGTACTTAGTATGTATTTAAAAAATCTACACATATGTTATTTTAATGAGCAGTCTAGTTTCCATTGTGCTTGCTCTGCCTAGTTTGGTCAAGTTATGATTATTATATTTAAAGTCTATATACATCTAGTCAGACATTGTTATCGCTAAGATTTCTAGAAACTAATGTATGAAAAAGTTGATAACTGATGTATGAAAAAAATTCAACGTCTACGTATAAAAATTCATACTTAAATATTCTTAAATATAATTTTCACATAAAACAAAATAAAATTTATTTTTTAAACTAACCTTACGCGTGAAGAGAACTCTTTGTAGGTACTCATTAAAAAAAAACATGCGAAAGTAGAAACCGTTTTTAAAATATTCAAAACTCACGTTAAAAAGTGCAGAAAGTTAAAAATGTTCAAACAAAATATATGTTACGTCCGTGTGGTGAGGGATTAAGAATACGAAGTGTCCACACCTTTTCATCCCGATGGTGTCGTAAGAGGCGACTAAGGGAGCAAACTACAATAACATTGCAAAGAGACGGAAAACCTGAAACAAACCCTGCACCAAACCGTCTGGCCAGCAAAGTGTAGTAGGCCAAGACCTGCTTTGTAAGGAGAGGCCTAAATCCAGCAGTGGTCTATTTTAGGCCGTTGATGATGATGATTAATGACGAGTTACGTAAGAACAGCTGCATCAAGCTACAGTAGTCAGTCATGGTACGAAAATGTTATGATGATAGTTCAAACTAAACAGGATATACCGACAAAGTAAAATCAACGAACCAAATGCATTTTAGTCGACATGTGATATCACCAAGCGATCACTTAGAATACTTACTTATAATAAAGTAGAAGAAAGCCTTTTTTTGTTTCACAAAATATCAAATTGTAGAATAATTCACATTCATAGCAATTTAAAAATAAGTCCATAATATGCGAAAAAATAAGATGCCTGTGGGTCTTTACTTTAAATTTTACAAAAAGACAAATAAATAAAAATCTGATTACCTGATCCAACGAGAAATATAAATAAATATTTTACTTAAGTTTACAGAAACTAAGGAATTCAATTTTCAGAAAACCAGATATTTACCTGCAAGGAGTGTATCTTCTTTGAAACTTTGAAAGTCTGAGTTACACCCAATTGTTCAACGATCCTCAGTGCAGATCTTATTTGATCGCATACACTCTCAAAAGGACCACTGGATAAGGACAGTCAGGTCGAATTATCAAAACATGAAAAGAATAATCCAGTTAAAATCAGAATCGAAGTCTTTTAGTACCTTACGAAGAGTAAAAACTTTGGTCACGATCGACAATGACAGAAAACCGACTTGTCGGCCTCTGCATGATGAATGTGCACAGGAAGACGGGTTCAGGCAGCACAAAATAAAAATATCAACTAGATTTTAAACCGGTTTGCCGAAATCCTAGCAAGTAATTATTGAAATAAGGTTAGGAGTAAATACTATTTAAAATAGCAATAATTTGTCAATAAATGCTGGGTCCGCCCATGCTACTGTGATAAGTTAAGAGACAAGCGGTTACGCCACTTAAGAACAATGTTTGGTAAATAGTGATAAGTACCTAAGTAGCAACTTTACAAAAACATTCTAATTTCTAATAGCTGGTCGAATCGAAGAACCATTATAGAAGCATTTCACAAAGTATTCAACGGGTATTACGGTATGAATTTAGGTACAAAAGTGTAAAGCTTGATTGTCAAACTATTATTCTTAATTTTAAATTCAGATTTATCATTCGATTCGAGCGTCAACATTGCAGGGATTTTTAAAAGTTAATTTCTTATTCTTCTCTTCTTTAATGCCCCATGTCCCTTGGATGGCTCAGGGAGCGTCCACAGCAAGTCTTCATCGATCGGTTCTGATCCTTATCTGCCACTGTTGTTAATTTAAAACAGTCGAATTGTTCGATTTCAGTCCTGCTAGTGACCTTATTAGACTTAGGGCGCCATAGGCTTGACGAGCAGCAAAAAGCTTGTCACTAAGATAAATAATTGCAGATCTACAGTTGTGCCCTACATAGTGTTGCGCCATAGGATTAAATGGTTCGATTGTATGAAATGTGGAGGACAGCGCCATCTAGTATCGACTAAAGTACATCTATTAAGATTGTGGTTAATACGAGTAGTTCTGATCCTTACAGCGCTAGATGGCGCTGGACCTAACGCGTGACTGATTCTGGAATATTCGTGTTTGTTTGGAACGGACTATCGAATACTAGGAACTTTCTAGTAAAAGTCGAATACTAGGAACTTTCTCTACGTGTCGCTATGACGTATTTCAGTTATGTGACCAATTGCAATATTTACAAGCCCCTTAACACGACTTCAGTAGTAACAAATATTACCAGTGTTTTAGAAGATCGCCAATTTTATTACGGACTGTATGTATAATAGATGTGAAGTGCTCCACAAGACGAATTAATCGAGCCTAAGCACGGTGGGGTTATATTGTGTTATCAGTTATCACAGACAGTTCGTAGCCACCTTCCAGCTTCATCACAGGCCCTAGATATCATCTAGGAGTGAAGTACTCTTCAAGATGAATCTATCGAGCCAAAACTCGGTTGGGTCATGTTGTTCTATCACAAAGATGCCGTGGTGATCTTCGAGCATGAGATCAGGTCCATTGTACTATAATATTACATTTTAGGTGCAATATGGTATAATATCCGTGTGGTGACGGATTAAGAATACGGAATGTCACCACCCCTATTCATCCCGTGGGTGTCGTAAGAGCCGACTAAGGGAGCAAACTACGCAGGACAATGGCACTGCAAACAGAAGGAAAACTTGACACAAACCCTATACCAACCCGTCTGGCCAGCGTGGTATAGTAGGCCAAAACCTCCTTTCTAAGGAGAGGCCTATGTCCAGCAGTGGGCTGTTATAGGCTGTTGATATGATGTGATGTGATGTGTAGTGCTCGGCTAGGTTAGCCTACACTAACAACGTTCGGGTATCGAACCCGCGTGAAAGCACTAAGTAAGCGAGCGATAGTAAGTAGGAAGAATGAATGAAGGTTTAAAAGCAGAATGAATAATATTATTATTAAGGAAG